ACGATTTTCGCTGGATTTCCACCGATTTCACCGCTTTTCCACCGGTTGCACTGCACCCGCCACGTGGCACACACTGCACCCGCGCACGAAACACACTTTTCACGGCACCCACTGCACGCACGGCACTCACAGATAACACTGCACGCACGGCACTCACAGACACTCCACGGCACTCCCACAACACTTTCACGGCACTGCACGGCACAATTTCACCGAATTTTCCACAATTTTCACGATTTTCGCACCACTGCCAGCACGTGCGTCCTAGCGTCGGTCCGCCATCTTGGAAAAGGCCGATTCACGCTTCCGCATCCCGGATTTCGGTTGGCACCTCCTGCCTGCTGCGCACTTCCGGTCCGGGGATTAGGTTGGCCATCCTTCAGCGACTCGTTGTCCATTCAGTTGGTAGTTCTGCGGGGACTGACGCACGGCCATCTTGATTACCATTGCTCAATGACTGATTATTCTTCGCAGGATTACATTCATTTTCATTTTTCGCCTCGCTTTTCTGCAGTGACAGCCGTCTCGCTTCAGGTTGCTGCGTCACTCATAACTGTTGCGAATATTCCACTGCTTCGGTCAAGCGACTTTTAGATTGGCAGTTTTGAATTGTTGTCGAGGACCGTTTTTTCAAGTTGGCAGTCCTACACTCGCGCGACGCTCGTTAAGTTGGCGCTTCTGCGGATACCGTTGCGCGACCATCTCTGTTACCGTTGCTCAATGACTGTTCATTTTGCGCACTATTGTATTCCTTTCAACTTTTTGTTTTGCATTCACATAACGGCAGCCATCTCACTTCGGGTTGCTATTTTACTAATAACACTTGACAGATTCCACTGCTTCGGACGAAATACTATTAGGTTGCCAGGAATGAATTGTTGCCGACGATTGTTTTTTCAAGTTGGTAGTCCTTCTCTACCGTCGTAGCCGTCATGTTGGCAGTGCTGCGGATACTGATGCTCTACCATCTACGACAAATATACTCTCTGACTCTACACTGTTGGCAGTATTGCATCGCTGCTACACGACTTTCAGGTTGGTACAGCCGAAGTCCCGTTCACATATGGTTGACTTATAATGTTGGCTATCATTCACTCCCTCTAAAGCCATTAGTTTCACAATTTTCATGACCATCTTGCTTCCTGATGCTCAGTGACTAACTCGCTGACGTTGTCAGTGCTGCTAGTTTTCGCACCACCCTTATGTTGGCAATCTTTCACTTACGCGATACCTATAAGGTTGGCTCTATTGAATTGCCGCTTTATTGCGCGCAGCCATCTAGGTTGCCGATATTTTGTGACTCAATGTGGTTGGCAGTACTTAGGTGGCGTTTACTTTCGGTACGGCTATTACGTTGGCAGTCCCTCACTGTCGCGATATGCTTAGAGTTGGCATTACTGCAGTAATACCTGTTGACCATCTGCGTACCAGGTTCTCTCGATCTCTCTGAGGTTGGCTATTCTGAATCCCAGCAGTGAATCCTTCAGGTTGGCAGTGTTCATTTTGGCCTTTACTCTTTGATGTTGGCACCACCGAAACACCCGTTCACGCCGATGTGTCCAAAGCGCGGACCATGGAGAGCCGCCGAGGATTCGTTCACATTGGTGCCTTTACCCGTTCACATTAGTGCTTCTACCTATTCACATTGAGTCCTCTGTCCCGTTCACATTCATGTCTATACCGATTCACATTTCGTTCGTTTCGTTAAAATACCGCCACATCGATTTCTTTTCTTCCTTTTTGTCGCTTTTTATTCCATTTCTTTGATTTTCCAAGGCTTTTCGAAATTTTCTTGGCTTCTTCGAGATCTTTTCGAATTTTCTTCGCATTTTTTATTTTAGAAGGTGGTTATTCCGAAACGCGGTAGAGTATCTCGCAGGTTGGCAATTTCGAATTCGTTCGCTCTTCGAGGTTGGCACTTCTGCGTTAATGCTTAATGACCATCTTGATCCTAGCTGCTCTATGACTATTTCGTGTTGGCACTATTGCAATCCTTTACATTTTCAAGTTGGCATTCTTACACCGCGACCGATCTAGATTTAATGTAATCTATGACTCATTACTGTTGGCTATTCTGTATGGAGTCTGACAGTCCTTCAGACTTCGGATTTCAAGTTGGCGATCCTACTGCTCTCTCTCTTCTCTATTCATCTGGTTCCGTGACTATACGGTGGGTAATGCTTTCTGTTCTACGCGCATTATATAATCGATGACGGCGTACATACGGTTTTACGATCTGCGCAGCGTGCAAACAATCTACGTACGCGGTAAATACAATATTTTCTGATTTCTTATTTTCTTCATAAACGTATATATATATATTTATACGTTGCAATTTATGTTACAACGAGTTTCAAATAATCTCTACGTTAATATGGGAATGAATATTAGAATCGAATATGTGCAAAGTATTTCTTTTTTTTTTTGGTTTCTTCTTTGGAAAGCGCTATCTTATGTTGCACGTGATAGAATATAGAATTTCAACGAAGAAACTGCTCGTTTCTTACGAATGGTCGAGTAAGTATAGGTAACGATGGAATGCGAAATGGAACAATTTCGACCGGTTAGTATCATACATATAGGAACGCAGGTAAATAGAACGCCTGCGCTTTTGCGAAAACACGAGATTGTAGTTCGTTAATGCGCGTCTCCGGTAGTTGTACGGGTGGTACGCTGGTACATACGTATGTACATGTCGCATGTTAGGGCGGTTAGCGAAATGAAGTTAGTGGTATCGTTGCTCCTGTTGCTGTTCGTCGGTTGGTCTAATTATTTCGGTCAATCTCCTCGCTCGGCCCTTCTTCGATCTCGCAAACGCGCGTACGTTAGTTTCGTTGGACTGGCAAAGTCTCTCTCGACGAACGTTACGATCGATTCGTTGCTTCGTTTTCCAACATTTGACGTTCGGGAATTGCGTGCGGTTGGTTCCCGATGTTGATCGTAAAATGAAATGTTGACGAACCAAAGGAAAAAAAAACAAACGTGTTACCCTCATCGAATCCCGCGAAACTCTGCTCCATTTTCGATGTAGCATCGTTCGTGACCGATGAAAATTCGAGTCCACTGACTGAAACCACCGTTTATTGTTTTGATATGCAAACACAAGGGACAGCATGTTCGTCGAGAAGCAGGAGAAATGCAAATTTTTCTTCCAACTGCCGATTGGATACGTTCTATTCTTCGTTGGCCTAACCATCGCGATTGATTGTTGCGATGCTAAAGAAATAGGTGCGTTTATACCGATAAACCATTTTTCGATGCGTTTCCTCCTATTTATGCGACTACGCGCGTGTGTGTGCTCTCGTGAATGAATTCATGTATAAGTGAACGTCGGGAAAATGTAAAATGGATCGATAACGATGTCTGGGTACTTTTCGAAAGCGTTAGCCGTTATCGACCGTTCGGCGAAAGCACGAGGCGCATGCGCTATAAAATCGAATAAACATTCTCGCGACCACGTGTTTGGTATTCCGCGCGGAAAGCGGCTACAATTTTATGCGTTTATAAGTTATATGAGACCGATACAGGGACACGTTTCAACCTATTTCTTTCGATGTTTTATCATCTTCTTTATAATACGCGTGCTTCCTTATGGTATGGAAACTAGATTGTAACTTCGTGTAATATCGGACGCGTTTAGTTTCGCCGTTCGGACGTAACGAACTCTGGCTCTGTGCTTTTACTCTTATCGTTTCCAGATACCGATGGCTTCCATCGGGGTTGCAAACTGGAAGGATTACATCCGCTTTTGATCGTCACGTACAAAAATATCACCGTATCTGTAAGTATTTAGTTTGCAACTTTAAACCTTTCGCTTTTTCAAATTATGTGCTTCCATTTCGACGAAAAGAAAACGATAACGATGATATTAGGTGGACAAGATCACGGTGCCGCACGGAGAACGTGTTACCATTAGATGCAGAGAACTAGGTAAATACAAGCTGATCGGTGATTCTTTGCTACATTGTCGCGATACAACTTGGACCGGTAAATTACCTTATTGTGCCCCGACAACGGCGATATCCAATTATACCGGTGGGTATTTTTCAACCTCTTTCCCTCTATGCTCTTCTCTTCTACGCTACGGTTACAAACATTGTTTGATCATTTTCTCCTCTTGCGGATCATTCGACGAGGAGATACAGAAGATGTACCACCGACGATAGTGTTTGGATTACCTGCTGGTTCGGCAGCTGTTGAACCATCCGGTGCTTTGGCTGTCTTTCCTGGAAGCATTCTTCACTTGGAGTGTCTGTTTGCTAGAAAGCTCGGTAATCCCGAATGGACCTGGACCTCTACGTTTCGCCAATACTTGACAGGTATTGGGTTAACAATTTTATGCTTCTTCGCGATATAAATCGTCTCGAATTATCGATGAGCGAAAAATTATCGTGTTGTACTTTGCAGGTTGGGCGATTGCTGCTCGTGAAAGAGACTGGAAGTATAGACTATCGATATATTATGCCAAAGTTCAAGATTCTGGAGTGTACACGTGCTCTACGCCCCGTGGCCTCTCCAATTCCATACGTGTTCGTGTCGTTGGTGAGATGATTAGTCTTCCTTTAAAAAAAAAAAGCCTCCTTATCGAGCAGCGTCGCTTTATATGTTAATTAAAACTTAGCGAAAATTATTGTTGTTACCTAGACGTACAATGCCCTATACTAAGCTTACCGGAATCACCGCTGATTGGCAAAATCGAAGGTGCGCGTATGGGGCACGGAGCAACTTTTGAGTGTCCCGTCGGATTTCGACTCGAAGGAGCTGCGGGAATAACGTGTCAGTACAACGGTGAGAAATTTTTATATATACATACACTGTATAATGCGTACGAAAGACCGATTCGAACGGATGGGCAAGTCGGAGAATCGTATAATTGACGATGGAATGTTGAATAATTATCTTTTAGGTAAATGGTCCGCGGATGTACCGCGATGCGAAACGATCGAATGTTCGTCGGTAGACACCGTTAGCGACGCTTGGTTACAACTTATCGAATATAACAACAGTTTTGGAGGAAAGGCGGTATTCGCCTGTATGTGGGGTCATAAATTATTGGGCTCGGAGAGCATAGAATGTCAAGGAGATGGCTCGTGGAGCGGAAATGTGCCTACTTGCGCCGGTAAGTACGAATAAAACTCGTTCAGGTCATTCCGTAGTTAAAATGATACGAATGGCGATACGTCGACAGAAATAACCTGTCCGCTTCCGTCGATACCGAAAAGTGGACGCGTCGTCGAGCAAACGAATCGGCATCATTCGGGGCGAAAGCAACGTCAACACCAACAATCGCAACACCATCACCATCATCATCATCATCATCATCATCGTACTCGAGCGTACAAAGTTGGCTCGCTCGTTCGATTTGCTTGCTTACCTGGTCATCAGCTATTGGGTGAGGCCTCCATTATATGTACGGAGAATGGAACTTGGTCTCATCCGTCACCGGTCTGTAAGTTTTCTTCGTGTTACCGGTACCGTTTTCTTCGACGATCTAAAAGATCGTAACCTTTTCGACGTAATCCATCGCGTCGATTTACATCGATTTTCTAGGTAAAGTCAGATGTCCTTATCCGGGAGATCCGCCTCATGGACGTATCGCACCGCTCAAGTTTTGGTACAAACCCGGTGATAATATACAGGTAAGGACGAATTTTATCTCGAGGTTGCTATCGATCGCTTTTTCTTTTCTCGATTGTTACAACGTCTGGTTCGATCGATCGTTGCAGGTCACGTGTTCGCCTGGATACGTGACACCTTTGGAACCCGTTAGGAAACCAACGTGTCGAGAGAACGGGATATGGAGTGCCCCACCGCCTCCTTGTAGATCCTACAAGGATGTTTGAAGGAAACGAACGATCGCTACCGTTAGTGACGCGTAATTCGTATCGTAATATATCGAAAGACGCCTTAACGAATGACCGTTACGGAGCCAGCTTTCTACCAAATATTTCAGTTACCTCGAAAATCGCGCGATCAAAATACATACCCGATAACCATTCGATCTATCGTGCGAAATGCCTTGAATTTTTTTCGTAAAACGAACAACGCGACGCGAACGAGTGAAACTCCTCGCTGTCCCGACTTTTAACGATTTCCAACTTTTGTCGCGCGAATCTAAATCGTTCGAAACAATTTCGTTTCACGGTGGCAACTTTTCTCCGTACAGAACCACAGAATAAATCCCGACGAATCAACGTCGGCGATACGATACGAAATATCGATTCGAACTCGACGATCGATAGAGATCTCCAGAGTTTGTCCCCTTGCGCGTGATACGTCTTTGTATGTGAAATAAAGTTACGTTATTCTCTAAAATCACAACTTTTTTACCGACCATTCGTAACGAGACAAATGGCGATAAATAGAGTTTCGAACCGCGTTAAATTGTCGCGAATCGTGTATAACTTATGACACGTGACGTGTAACTAATGACGTTTGATCGTTATACGATACGCGAGCCGGTCAATCACGGCGATCTTTGCCGTTATGCTTGCCGTTAAGGGAACCACTGTAACTCGTACGATCAGAGACGAAAGATGGACGACGAAAGACAAATTGGATCAATATCGAGGAATTTTAAAGTTACACGGTTAGAGAATCGCGTTATCGCGATTAAATATTCTCGCGTATGATGGTATGATTTCGCGCGACGCGACAAGACGCGATGTGCTAATTACATTGCCTCGTTCGAGATCGATCAATTTTCTTCTCTTCTCTCTCTCTCGAGCATGATCGTTTAATCGCAGCGCGCGAGAAGAAAGTAAGATTGCAAGATTCCGTGAAACTGAAGAAGAGGATATCGTGGCAGTTGAGTTCGTTCAAACGGGACGTGAACGAATACCGTCGTATTACGAGTCGACTGACCAAAGGAATTCCGGAAAGTCGTCTGAATAATATATTGCGGACTCGGAAGGATTTGCGATTAAAATGTCACGGACACGCAACGGAGGTAGATTTCATCGAATCCGTAGTTACGCGTTTCATTTCACCGGATCCTTCGATCTTGTAGCAAATTTGTACCTTCGTTCGCGAGGACAACCACCGGAAACGCCGACAATTGGATAAACTGCGTTATCAAAAAAAAGCGAAATTAAAACAATGTTTCCAGTTGCAGGTACGATTTTGCTTCTTTTCTCCTTCCTCTCGTTTATACATGAAATTACATTCGCGGTATATGCATGCGTATGTCTACTTGAGATATGTCTCGTGCGATCCTTTTCATGCGATACGCGAACGCTGCGACGCGTCATCGAAAGCTGGAACACGCGGAACTGTGCGACGATTACGCGCGAGAACAAGAAACACCGTGGACAGAGAATAAACTACAGCAACGATTGGTAACGCGTTATCAGCGATCCGTGGCGAAGCAAAATGCGGCCAAAGCGATAAACGTAACGTACGCGTCTATGCTCGATATTTTGAAACAGGTACACGTTCAAACTTGCTTACATGTTCCCGAACAAACTCTTCGCCGTGACTATTCTCGATGGTAAAAATGCTGTGGGTATTAGGATGCGGTGAACCACGACAATTTATTGAACGCATTGAAGCAAGATCGTCGAAATCAGTGCGAAGCGATAATTAAGGCAACGATCATGGGGCAACTGGCGACCGAAGAAACGGACGACGTTGCTACGAAATATAGACGTATCGCTCGAATCGTTTGGAACAACATGAAACAGAGGGAACGAACGCTGGCAGTGGTTCGTGATCGAGTCGAGGATTTATGGTCGTTCGCGCGATCCTTGATACGTACCGAGGTAACGTTCGAATAGGAATCTATCTTCCGACTAGCATCGCTTTTTGCCCAATTCTATCGATCGATAAGTACCGCTTTATAAAACGATACTCATTTCCTGACACGCGATTCTTATAGAGCGAAACAATCTTTACGATGGATATTACGCGCGGTACGACAGCAACGAACGCAACGTTGGAAAAACAAATAACCCATCTAGAAGAAGTGTTCGAGAAAGTTAAGGAATCCTTGTTGGTGCGTTCCTACCGAGAACTGCTCTCGAGGTAAAATAACGCTTAGCGCGGGTGAAGAACGAAGTTATTCTTTTCTTTATTTACTCGTGACGCCTTTACAAATTTTTCGACGACTTTCCTTTCGATCAGATTGGAAGAACAAACGAAACAGAGAACGCGATTACTGGAACAATTTAATCGCAACGTGAAAGAGCGCGATTCGTTGTTGAATAAAAAGAACGAGGCTTTGTCAACTTTATCCAGTTTGCAACATTCTCTAGTGGCTACTACGGAAGAGTAAGTGTATAGATTTATTCGTGCCAATCACTGTTGTGCTCCTTTCGCTTCCTACCCGTTATGCTTTCGTTAACGATGCGATTTGTTTGTTTCTTCTTTATTCGCCATGCTGTACGAGTTATGCCTTAAACGTTAAGAGAATCGTCGAAATGCGAATTTGTTTTTATTTCCTCACAGATATAACGCGGATAGAAACATCCTCCTAGAACAAATAGCGATACAAAAAAAACGTCAACTTGATCATCAGAATTTAAAAAAAGAACGCGGAGAATTATTGATGGATATAAGAGCAGCCTTACAAAATATGGTGGCGATGCTGGTATGTGTCAGAAGGGGTGGCGGTAAAGTACCAAAAAAGCCGACAGACGAAATGGACGAACAAATGGAAAAAATGGATACGGAAGGTGAGAATCGATATCTGGAAGAATAGATCGGTATATTTTAAATACAATTTGTAAATTACTTTCATCGAGCAAACCGTACAATGCTTAAGGATAGAACTACACTAGCGTTCCTTCCAAAGATCCTTCTCTTACGAGGGAAATTCGTCAACGCGTAAAACATCGGCCTTACCATTTTTTATTTTTTCCCTTCTCGCGTTCGTTCTCGGATACACGCGTGTAATTCTTCTAACAATATTGTAGCGCGTCTCCGGATCCAATTAATTTTATACAAATTGTTTACTTTGTTTTCTTAATACGTTAAGGTTTAACGTTGCTGTCGACCGTTAGTCGTAAAGTGGGAGCACTGTTTGGAATGAGTAATTTTGAATTTGACCATGATAGAGAGCAGCGAGCAAAAGATTTGTATCAGACTTACGTTTCCGATTATCATTCCAAATTAAAATTCGACGATGCGGAAGTTGAACCAGCGGGTAAGTTATTTTCAACCGTTTGTTCGTAAACTAGATAGTGAGCACCGCGTATTTAATGTGACGTAAGCTACGTAGTAACTGGACAAGAGTATCACAGTTTTCGATGATTTTCGTTACTTTTAGGTCTGTTCGTCGAGCACGAAACAATCGATTCTTCGGTGCCAACACGAGCTGAGATTAAGTTAAGGAGCAAACAAGCTGTCGAAACATACTTGAGACTGGAATAATTTTCTTTCAAGAAGAAGAAAGAAATACCGTTATAATTATAATGCGACGATGCGTGCGTTGGATCCCGTTCCATTTTATTTCGTTTAACGAATCAATATTTTTCTACATTTTCGCTTTAATGATATTTTATTTACAAAAAGATACTTTTTACGATGTACTATACAACGCATTGCCACACTTTTTCCACGTGCTTTATTTCAATTCGTTGACACGACCAAATCCTAGACGCTCCTTCCTTATTTCCAATTTCAGCCAAGAAGGTACGTCCCTTCCGATGGGGCACGCGTTAGGATATTTTAGAGGTGGTTTTGGTGCTTCGAAAGGATGAACGCTTTTCAATTTTCTTAGTAGAAATTCTTTCATTACATCCTTTGGATCCTTATATTTATCCATATAAAGATTAAATGCCTGCTTTTTTGGAAACCATTTTTGAGGCGCGACGTACGGTTTTGGAAAATCGTACTGAAATATCGGCTCCTTTGTTCCTGTAACGAATAAACGAGTTTCTTAAATACGATGTATAGGCATGAACCCGTGTACGTACTCGCAGCTATGTGGACGTAGATCGATCTAATCGGTATTTTCATTTATATTTTAACTACGGCTAATAATTTATATTCACCTAATGTTGAGTGATAGAATTCTGTCAATGTAGGATCCCAATCGCTTTGGAAAAATGCCAGTCCAGCCGGAGTTAGATAGTCTTGATATTTACGATAAAAGTTCAATGTATTCCAATCGCGATCTGCCAACCTTAAACTAAAACACGTGTACGCGTTATCGATGCCGTCCAAGGTGTGGATATTTTATTTTAGCTATCATAAATTTACCAAGGTAGGGTCTTCTTATACTCTGCATAATCTAAATGCTGATCTTGTTTATAGAGGATAAATATGTAACGAAAATATCCAACTCCTCTAGGTGTAATCGGTCTTAAATAATCTATTATCTCTTCGCCCTGTGATATTTTGTTTTCAGGAATGTTCCCTCTAGTAATAAGATAAATGGTATTATTGTACCTATCTATGATCGTTTCTACGTGATAATTTTAAGTAAACAGAATGCTATTTACTCACACGAACCAATGACAGTATTCGTTTGATGAGTTTTGCATATTACCATCCGGCGTACACATTATTAAAGTCCATAAGCTATCTGTTTCTGCTTTGTACGTGACGGATGGTGATCGAGATGCTTCTATAGGCTTTATAACGTTACCGGTGTAAACTTTAACGCGAGTATCTTCATCGACCTCGTAATTTATTTCTAATGGTGTGACTGGAAAGAAATATGCGTCGCCGAACGTATCTTGGAAAATTCCATAATGATCAGCGATTATACGAGTATGATATGGACTAGATGTTTCGTGCCAAACTTCCTTTACTGTCTCCAAATTGATAGAAGCTATAAAAGATGCATAAATAATATTATTTTCTAATACAACCATGATTATAGTACAACTTTCGGTGTTGTATATTCAATGCTTTAATTACATTCTCCGCTTCGTAGTTGCCTTTCGAATTCCGCGTTTTGTCTGTTAGCTTTTATCTCGTTCATCCAAATATTTTTTGTTTTTGATGAGATTTTCGGTACGGAAAAACCTATGTTTACTTTAAATAATATCGTTGGATCCGTTTTATTGAGTTCTAGAAATGAAAATAGAAATAAAAATGAAAATAAAAGTGAACAGAAGAGAACGAATGAATAAAACCAAATGTACCGTATTAAAAAAGAATCGATAATATGTGAAATACATTATGTTTACCATCGAGTCGTTGTTTTAAATTTCTGGCAATCATTGGTGGTTTTCCTCGTAAACGATGCCCAAACCGAACTTGCTCCATATAAACTGTTAAACGCGGAGAAACATCTTTTGGGAAAATTCGAAAAATTCTAGTTGCCATAATCGAATGGCGTGAAGAAATATTAATTACAAAGATACAAACAAGTTATTCTCCTTTTTCGAGAATTAGGTTAGAAGAAAACATTCATGAAATATACGCGTAATGTAGTTTGGTATCTTTTCCAGCGCCTTTCAGCTATGTTCAAATGATACCTTGTTACCAACATAGACTACGTTTCCATCGAGGGTCCAAATCGGGTCAGAGTCGGGTTAGAGTCGGGTTGGGGTGAGCGTTTTTACGGTGGAAACACCAAAGGTTTAGTTGAACTCTACCCTACAAATATGCACTGCTTAAGTGTTATTACGTACGGATATCGTTTAAAAAATGTTTTATTTATGACATCGCGTTTAAATATATTTAGTAATCCATGTAATAATAAGACAATATATGTAAGGCATAATGCATTCCGATTTTTCATATACGTATATTCAAGTGCAAAGTTGGTTTTTCTGAAAAAACGGCAGCTAGTTCATTCATAATGAAAGCTTAGGAGGTTTTATAATAGAAAAGAGAAATAGATATGTATATTTTTGTAAGAATTATATACTCGCTAAAAAAGTATTAATAGTGTTTAAGGATATTTGGAAAAGTTATGAGGAAGATAAAAAAGACTGTAGATGTAAGAATAGAGATATATTTATATGTATATTTATATTTATGTACAGGCATATGCCAAGGGTTAAAGAAATAGATATGAGAGTGAGTTGTATGAAGGAGCGAGAGAGTGGGATGAAGAGCGAGGAGGAGTGGGAAAGAGAGTGTGCAATGAAGTTGGCTGTGGGAGAGCTCGGGGCGAGAACAGAGATGGCGCTGATATGTAATAGTATGTGGGGACTGAGGTTCGCGAAGGAGAACCTGGTGTAGGAAATGACGTACGACGACTTTTTTCGCTATTTGCAAGGATTGTACTTTTTATTAAGACGCGCACGTGCTGACTCTTTTTCTTTCGTACAAGAAGTGGAAGAACGACGTTCTTCTTTTTCGCGCCGCGTTCCTTATAAACTAGTCTTACCAACTACTATTTACAACTTAACCTAAGAAATAAAAAGTAACTAAAAATAGGAACTGTCCAGAGGGCGCATGTGACGCTGTCGGTACAGTCGCCACACATTCGTTCGAGAACTGCCATCTCCCGATGAATAGTGAAATTAGCAAAAGGCATTCTTGAAAATTTGACGGATGGGCTTGTAACAAATAAATAACGTGCATGGTAAGATGAATCGTATACATATATTTTGAATACGGTGATATATTAAAAAGTACAAAACGTGCGCCAGTGGCAACTTTCGTTTTTTCGACTATAAAAATGATTCGTTTATTTCACGTAATCTAGCAATATGCCTGACGTAAATCATTACGTTTCTCATTTAATTGATAGTATTATTTTATGCATAAAAATTACTTGGAAGAGTTTTTCGGTAGGAAGCAAAAAAGTGCAGGGTAACAAGTATCTATTAAAATAGGCACTCGTTTTGTAATCGAATTTTAATGTAAATAATATTCAAATACATAATAGTTATTTTTAAATTACTATATTCCAAATACTTTGCGTACGAATATTTTTATTGACAAATCTCTGTATATTACGCTTTATCTTTAATTATTTATAAACTTTTTACATTATACTTGAATAATAATATTATACAATGTTTTATTTCGAATTCGGTTTTGCTTCCTAGTAATCTATCTCCTACGATCCATGAACTGATCAATTAAAATAAGATCCTCTAAACCTGATAACTATATTTTCATGTAAGCTTTCGTTAAAATCTCTTCTGTTCTAACCAATTTCTCGCAAGCAATAAAATATTAACAGAGGCAGCCTCAAACTTCGGTAAAATCTCTGAAGACCATGACCGATGCTCTCTTTGTAAGACTAGCGAGCAATTACTTTCAAAGGGGATGCTTTCTTGTTCCTTAAAAAATTGGTAAAAAGCGACTGATTTGCTTTTCATACAAGTCTCTGAACGTCGCGTTACTTCAAGAAACAAAAAGTACAAGAATCATAGCGCGACGTGCACATAATGGAATGACATTTTCATATATATATATATATATATATATATATATATATATATATATATATATATATATATATATATATATATATATATATATATATATATATATATATATATATATATATATATATATATATATATATATATATATATATATATATATATATATATATATATATATATATATATATATATATATATATATATATATATATATATATATATATATATATATATATATATATATATATATATATATATATATATATATATATATATATATATATATATATATATATATATATATATATATATATATATATATATATATATATATATATATATATATATATATATATATATATATATATATATATATATATATATATATATATATATATATATATATATATATATATATATATATATATATATATATATATATATATATATATATATATATATATATATATATATATATATATATATATATATATATATATATATATATATATATATATATATATATATATATATATATATATATATATATATATATATATATATATATATATATATATATATATATATATATATATATATATATATATATATATATATATATATATATATATATATATATATATATATATATATATATATATATATATATATATATATATATATATATATATATATATATATATATATATATATATATATATATATATATATATATATATATATATATATATATATATATATATATATATATATATATATATATATATATATATATATATATATATATATATATATATATATATATATATATATATATATATATATATATATATATATATATATATATATATATATATATATATATATATATATATATATATATATATATATATATATATATATATATATATATATATATATATATATATATATATATATATATATATATATATATATATATATATATATATATATATATATATATATATATATATATATATATATATATATATATATATATATATATATATATATATATATATATATATATATATATATATATATATATATATATATATATATATATATATATATATATATATATATATATATATATATATATATATATATATATATATATATATATATATATATATATATATATATATATATATATATATATATATATATATATATATATATATATATATATATATATATATATATATATATATATATATATATATATATATATATATATATATATATATATATATACATATATATGTACACACACACGCGCGCGCGCGCACACACATACACATTCTCTATCCTTCAGTTCAACAAAATAGCAGCAATATGATTAATTAATAATATATCCGTCAGTCGATTAGCATGAACGCGCAATTTCTAAAATTATATTATATGTCGATAAACGGGTAGCAGTGATTGTTCTTTCCTCAGTGTTTCTTAACATACATTTCGTCGTTGGTGTAACCAGAATTTTCGTCAGAGAATAATCGGTGTTACAAGATCGCGTAGAAAATTTTTAGGTGTTATATCTTTACAATCAACAATCGTCGTTTTCCTAGTTACACCAATGTATTTTGTACACGCATTCTATCATAAAACTTGTTAAGTGCCATGAAGCAAAATCTCTTATCTGTAATTAGAATACACGGAAACCTGATCTAGTATCGTTTGTTAATTTCAAATCCAACAACCAGAATATATTATACAAAAGTAATGACTAATTTGACAACTATATTCGAAATTGGCTGCTAAATTCCAATTATTGGGTTTGAAGTATAATTAAATCAGATAACCGTGTATACAAAAGTATTCGGAACGCATGAGTATTACTTCTCTCGTGATTGTCATGGCACCCGATCTGACTTTGACTTAACTTCGCTACAGGAACCGATTATATAGAAACACCATTAAAAACGAGCACGTATCAGAAGCATCTTTTACGTTGATTACCATCCAGATCTTGCACAATCGATGCTCGTTTTACGTTTGTAATCTTTCGTATGCGTTCTATTCTTGCTACCTCTCTGCCCACGATGCGTATGACTAGTAATAAATGTTAATTTTAAAATAACTTAAATGTATGTATCATTCTCTAATTATACCACGTGTGCGTATGCGTGTACATATACATATACACACATACATCTATTTCACTTTCATGCTGTCCATCAATTTCTATAAAACATGTTCGTTAAATGGAATGATCATTGTAATCGTGTGATTGGAGTATTTAATAAACGAAAGAGAAAATGGACAAGATATCCGTTGATAGTGTACAGAAAAAATCATTCTGCCGATCCCAAAATGTTCTTTCAGTCACGCCAATGTAAGAAGAATAGGAGTAATGTTTTTGGTCGCCGTAAAACTGAAAAGAGTTACTGATATTTATGCGTTACAACTGGATAATTTTGGTAAGATCGAAGTGAAAAATATCGGAAATTCGAATGTTCTATGTCGAAAGGAGATGTTTCCGAAATCTTGAGCACTTGTATGTAGGAAGATGCGAACCGAGAACGTTCGTCCGATCTCGCTCGACTTATTCCGTACTCGAAATTGGTGTACCAGACATACTCGACAATACGCGGATCCCTACTTATTACGACTTGTAAATGACATATCAATATTAATCACCGAGTTAAGGCCACTAGTGGATGATACGAGTACAATGTAATTTTCATATAGTTAAGCATAGATTCAAAGCAATGGTTATAGCGACTAAACGACGTGTCCACGCAAGAAGAATGCTCGTAAATGAAGTTACTTTAACACTTGTGATCCCTGTTACATGCGGGATTCAGTTATTGTCATAGTTTCATTGTAACGCGACAAAGGCGGCTAATAAACTAACGAGTCGGGGAAAATTTGTTTGACACATTTTACATTCTTGTTGGACACACGTAGACTTAATTACCTATTGCATTGAAAATCTATAAAGTTTTTAACGATAGACGATTCGTAATGCGGAATTTTTAGTTTTCGATACTGTATATATAGTATTTGTCTTCTTCTTAAAAAGTCTTCTAACAACTACAATGTACAATACAATTCACGCGATTCGTATATAAACACGTTATAAATACAAAAAATCAGTAATGCCTCGAGTTTTGCTCGCATTCTCGATAAACGGTCATCGAATTCACGATATTTCCTTTTTATAAATATCACGAAAACAGAAGATAAGATATTTTCACGCGATCAGAAGGAAAGTACTGTTTTATATATATATATATATAAATTTGGAGCGGAAGGTATTTTCTATTAATCGCATACGCCTACTATACCGATTTCTCTGCGGTAGACAAATGAACGTAAGCTTCGCGTCGTATCGTCTTCGTACTCCGCACGGTTCTAATTACCGAGTCGACTGTTTGCACACCCTATCCCAGGCACTATACATTGAGCGTTGCTCGAGCCAGAATAGATCTGGCTTAGATCGTGTGTTACAACGTTGATTCGTGTATTATCGTTGTGTCTGGATCACTGCTAGCGTTATGAATGACCGTGGATGACGGTGGTACGTGCGGCGTCAACGTGATGGACGACATTTTTCGTACCGGTTTAGGCGAAGCCTGCAAAAAAAGAAAAAAAAAAAAAACACAATGTAAAAACACAATATAGATTCGAAAAATTCGTAAATACGCGCATGCGAATACGCTCGGGAGCACCTTTTTAGGCTAGCAGAGATACGAGGATGTCGATGGATCGAAAGTTTGTGAAATTTTCGAATGTCCAAGGTAAACGCGGAGACTTCGAAATGAGTTAGATCGGGAAGAACGTCGTGAGAGAGCGAAAAAGCAAAGGGGTGATTGGGCCTTGTTCCGGTGGATGGGCATTTTTCGCAGGGAAGCCTACCATGCTCACCGATGTACACGCGATCGTTTCTAAGCTTACCCATTCCCTTCTGCAAGGGGCTTCATCGTCCGAGTAATGATCAATTTGTCCGATATCCGTTTCTGTCGCAACGTTCCTCTTCTTCGGTTGCAACGTGGCATAGTTGCGACACCCTCGATTGAAGTTCGTTATATTCTTTTCTTCGACGATCTTTTCTTGACACAGCACTTCCTGCGATTTGCTCTGATTATTGTGCGCGACGTTGTTGTTGGTCTTGTTATTGAAATAAAACGGTGGCATCTTCGATACCCAATGGTCGAGCCCGGAACCGGCCGAACTAGTCGAAGCGGCCGAAGAATTGCCCGAATTATTGGTTAAGCCTCTTCGTTGATAGAATAACATGTACGCTGCGTTCGTTATTAAATTAGTGTCGTTTACCGCCTCGACGCGGGTATCGTCGAAACAGTACCATTGAGTATCATAGGGGTTTCGACAGAAAGCCGTGTAATGACCTCCTTGCAAATCTTGACCGTGATGATTGCAAATAGCGTACAGGTCGTAAACGTTTTCGTCGTACTTTGGTATATTCTGCTGACGAGGTCTAGGTTTCTTCCAGGGTGACCAACCGAGGCCACCCAAACTACTCACGCTGTTATGCGTTTGAACTCCGTTATGGGCCAGATGAGGAGTCATGTCGAAACCGTACAAAGGAAAATCCACCAACATGGTCAGTTTAGAGGTTGATCTCTGTTTGGACTGCTGTCGGAACCTTTTCAAATGAATAACCAGAATATCGGGTAAAGACCAGAGTCCTAGTTTTTTCACAACTTCTTGCTTTTTATTGCAGTACGGACAGTGCCAAGCGTCTTCAGCCCCTAGAATCTCAGCCCTCGTATAGAGATCAAAGCATTCTTCGAGCGTAACGGCTCCTCCCAATTCCGAGTTAGTCTTTAATTGTTTCACGCTAGCGTGCTCCTCGATCTGATCGCTGTCGTCTTGAATAATATTGCACTTGGTGGCTTCGTCCCATTCCAGAATCAATTTCACGTGCTGAGGGCCAGAATCGTCGGCGCAGAGGGCCAGCGCTTGTTCGATTTGTTCGGTGTAAAGGGGATGCTCGACGCAGGGATCTATACAAGGGTGTTCGTCTTGAACGGGCGTAGCTGCTGGATCCGCTACGCGAATGTTAAACAAACCAGGACTTTGACTGGAGGTGAGAACATCGTCGGCTAGAACAGCGTGCATCTCCTTCAACAGAAGTTTCTGCAAGTCTTGGTAGGATGTTTCTCTGGACACTTGCATAGTGTACGGACTACCGAAACGCTGTCTCAAGTCTCCCTTCGCGAGAACATTGATCCATACTAGAAGTATATATGCTTGTTCCGCGGGCTCCTTCAGTTGTGGCAGTTCTATACAGTAGAGTGGATCATTCTCTGTGATCACGGATAGAGGTTGGCAATCTGAGAAAGTTCTAGAAAAGAAGAAGGCGTAAACTTATACGTACAAGTACTTATTCGGTAATTCGCGAGACTTTAAAATATCGAAAAATTATATGAATTATAGTTTACCTATGGAATCCTTCGTCGTGAATTTCGGTGAGCAACATGTGGTTCTCGTCGATCCCGGTATCGCTGGCTAAAATTTCCCGAAGTTCTCTCACGTTCGCTGCTTGATTCACGCTCACGCCGATCTTTACTTGTCTCGGTTGCTGCGAGGTGTAAAGCACGTTCACGAAAAGATTCATCTGTCTGTGATTTTGTGGGACGGGAACCGACACGCACAAAAACGGGTCGAACGTGTTCGATTGTCGATGACATCTTGGACACGTGAGACTAGATCGAAATTGTGCTTGAAACACCGCGTGAACGAACGAATTATTGCAGCGGACATGGTTCGCTAACGTTTCAGCCGCCACGATGTCATCCGGTCTTCCGAACGAATTCTGTGAAATAAATAGAATCGATCAATTCTCGCTATCGCGAAGAAAAGAATCCTCAACTTTTCCCGGATCATTGAACTTTCGTATCGACAAATTATTAACACGTTTGGAAATAGAATTCGTTGTACGCTAATTTAGTCTTTAGATGCTGCACAACATCGCGCGATTAAGTATTTGGAGGAAATGAAGAAATTGGAGCATGTGGAGAAATACTCGTTATCTTAGGATATTAAAAATCATTCGAGTAAATATAGAGACGATGACGAAACATTTGATTGTTATCTGGAGAATCGTAAGAGTATCGATAACGTTTTATGAGAATGCAAATAGTAATGCACTCCTTCTGTATACTCGCGTTTAAAGAAGCTTAAGAATGTTTTACTTCGCGTCGACGATAGGTTAAACAAGATGAAAAGCGAAAAGGACAATGTATGTACATATATCGAAGAATGAATTTACGCCAGACAACGGAAAAACACGAACAGAAGCAGAAGTTGGATTATTGGAAAAAGAGACGAGCGATTTAATAAAACGAGTTAATTTAAGAAAGCATCGAATAAGTTTTCCAATAAAATCGACGAAGAATCTTTTAATTAATGCTCTGTTATATCGTCATTGTAATATACCTACGTGCTGGCTTTTTAGTTATTCTATAATTTGTTACATCCTCCCGGTCTCCGCTTCTATCTTATCCGAGAACATTGAATTCGACATAGAAGTTGAGGAATGCAGGGACGTAGATACGCATTTATGTAAGTTACATTTTTTTTTTTAGCGAGATCGATCGAAAGTCGCGATGTTCGCAGAATCAGTTTATCGCCGAGGATATCCGCTAAAGATCATTTATAACACGTGTCTTCTAATAATAACCGTCTGCCGACAACTCGGTATACTCTTATGTATGTATATGTGTACGTTGTGGCTGCGTTCGATTTCGCAACGCGTTCGAGGCAACAAGCAAAAGCAAGTGGAATGCACTAATCGACATCGAGCAATTGTCGTTGGCTTGCTAAAATTCGCGAGTTCGCGTACGAAATACACTTGGTAACGACGAGAGTAACGAAACAACAAACGGATACCTGGTGAAAAATACATACACGCGATCTATATTTTTCTTTCCGTATCGGGTACGAACATGTAACATTCTACTATATTTACGAGTCTCTACTTAACTTGGACGAATGACTGGAAATTTGTAGACGATAATCGAATTAGTCTGACCGGTCGATAGTATTTTTCGAGATACAACGGACACACGGAGTCTCGCGTGCTTTTCTCTATGTCCCCTTTCTGATCAGCGGATTCCCGGTGGTATACACAACGATGCTTGGTCGGCATGGAAGGCTTCCCTTAATCAGATCATGAAACTTGTGTTTTCATGACCTTGGAATTACATTTCTTTTATCAAACGAAACACGTACATATGGATACGTATATTTGCTACGAACTTTCATTACGAATTTTCATGAAAAGACCTTACTGAAATTACGATCTTAGAGCTCGGACGCGATCGACGTACATAATATCGATATCTTATTAAATGTAAGAATGCTTTCTACCTAAATGAACAGCTAATTATTTAATGGAAATGTAAACGATCATCCTTCGCGTGTGCTCGAAACGCGATAACTGCTGAGCTGTTCACAGGATGTATCACCGATCCGGTTGCCGGAAGTAATTTTCGATGCTTACAGGTTGTAACGACTCACGCTACAATTCAGGACTTCGCAATTGGTCAATGTCACGTCGGTACACGTGTACCGGAGTAAAAAGGTTGGGTAAGTTTGGTCAGTCGGTCAGTAACCTTACAAACTGATCTTTTTTTATCGTCTAATATCAAACTTTCTTTTCTCTCTTCTCGGATCTTCTATCAAAAATTTCATCGCGTTCTTTTCTTTTCTTTTCTTTTCTTTAATTTGTTACGGATAAAAATTGCCGCTATGGAACGATAAATCGTGAACTAGCCTTTCGATTAAAAGTTGAACCGACTGAGAACAAGCGTATTGTTATATATTTAAAGAACGTCACAACCTGTTGATGCATGACCGAAACGTATCCGAAAAGGTAGAAACGCAGCAGGATAAGCAAATATACAATGATAATATTGACAATATACAATTGTCTGATCGCTTAGTTACATCGTCACATCTAATTACCGTCGAACGATGACAGTTGTCGGTACTTTATCGAAGGTGAATTCTTACGACGATGCTACTGTTTTTATTATCTTACTACTGTCGTATACAAGTTATTCGTAACTGAACCACGTCCAAATTGGAAATGACATGTACATATATAAATAAAAGGAGAAAAACGCAATGAACAAGTAACAGTCGTTTAAAGTGTAAGCGATCGATCGTCCCGCGGAATGATTTATTTTTTCCAAGATGAACCACGGCAAGTTTTTCATTGTCAACTCGATCGAACAAACTAAACATTTGTACAAGTTTTACGAAAGATGTACAGACGACGCTCGTTCTCGTACCGAAGTCACACTCCGAGGTCGCATGTATATGAAAATATACGAGAGGTTGTTTACGGAGGAGCGGTATTAACGACGAATGCTTCGAAAAGCCGTAAGAAGTTTCGGACGCTTTTTTTTTTCCACGCGAAACGTGAAAATTTGACGTTTACATTGATAAAGCTCTTTTCGAGATATTCGACTTGAACGGAAATTCGGGCTGTTGAACGCTAAGAGAAAGAAAAATGCGGTAAGTTAACGGGTGTAAGGCAATAATTTTTGCAATGCGTTTTGTTCGAACGTATTCATTTTCCGACAGATTTTATTTCCCAATCATCAGAGCGAAACGACCTCTCGCGTCGTACGAACGCGCATCGTGTTGCACATGCACGCGGTGCAAGGTCGCGGCGAAGGTAAACGTTTCATGGAAACATAGCGTTGCGACACGGTGTTTCGAATTTAATCTTTGTCCACTGTTTAATAAACGTAGGAAACCAGTGGCGAAGATTATCGATGAATTCTATTCGGGTTAGGTGCGGATGAACGAGCGCGATAAAGAAAAAAGCGAACGAGAAACGAGGTGAAATTTCGCGTTGTCAAACGATCGACGAACGATGCTTCGAACGATATATCGTACGTATTATAATTTAATCAAGCACGGATGTCAACGAGCGAAAAAAAGCGTATTACTACTTAGCCTAACTTAATGATAAATTTCTGCGTAGACTATTAAATTGACCGTTACGCTATCCCTATGCGCGCGCGTGTGTCTCTGTGTGCGATAAGCGAGTAATAATTAATACTTCTTTAACACTATGTACAACATTATAATAACTCAACGTCATACTAGTTCGAATTCGCGCTTATTAATGAGCTGCTCCCAAGAAGTATTAAAGGTGGTAGAAATGAAATATTTGTAACTTTTGTATTTGCGTTGCGAATTTAATGAAAATCTAAATATTGTTCTCGAAGGAGTGCACGAATAGATAGTTTTCTCGCTCGCTGCATATAGAAAACATGCGCGAGCGACTTTCTACGGGAGGAGGAGTAAATGTTTTCCAAAGAACGTCTTCGAATTTTCAAGGTGTTTCAATGACCGGTTTCGACCAAGTCGGTCAACGCGACCGACGAAGGGCACTCGAGAAAAAACTGGTCACGAAAAACTGGCACGAGCGGTAAGTTAACAAGTTACGAAACCGATATGTCGGACATTGTTGCTTCCTGATTAGGATTATCGACTTGTTCTTCAAAGATCGTCAATGTACCGTAAATACTCCGAAACGAATAAGGCGCAAACTAAGCGAGTAGAATTTTTCTCCGATACAGACCGTAGTAGCTTTATCGATACTTGTGGAAATTTTCGAAATTTCTTCGATGAATACGGTCTCGGTAAGATGGCATAGTAAACGTGTCGAATGCTTGAAGCTCGAAAGACCTAACGTTTGGTAGGATTATATGAGGTTTCAGTGGTAGGGAGGTGGCTGTGGGAAAAAACAGAATAACGATACCGGTTAGCTGACCAAACGCGATAACAAACACGGGATAAAAGGGAATGTTTCTTTCTATATCGGGAAACTTATTTCGCTTTTGAAAGAACTCGCGTGAAGATTCACCTCGAGCCTTTCCGTATATGGGATAGAAAAGAATAATAAAAAAGGAGAGTATCTCTTAGCTAGTAATAAAAGTAGCAGGTACGGTAGGAACAAAAAATTCAATGGTCAGATACATTTGAGCAAGTTCGTCGTTACAGTTATTAGCCATAGCAGAGACGAAGTGCACGAAATAATTTCACGAAGGTTTTCTGTTTGGTCAAAAACGCGACGACACCATTTAAGTACTTTAGGTGTTAAAAATTTATATACGCGATTAAAAAAAATTATTATGCAATTATGAAAACACGGTTGTTCGTATACTAGCATTTTCGTTAGGTAACATCTATGGTAAACACGGTGAATTTACAATTGCGTTATTGGTTAAAATTATTAGTTTCACATATATGTGTATGTATTACGTAAGAAAGAATCGAATGTGCACGAAGGTTACGAATGATTCTATTCCTTGTCGTATTCGTAAAAATTGAGAAACTCGTAAGTGAACGAGTTCTATTAAACTATCGATCGTGATATAGAAAGAAAAAGTTTCGAAACGAGAAAAAAGTGGACTTTCAAAAAATGAACTCGCAACGAAATTGCATACGATACGTATGCATAACGATGGACCAATTTTCTGATTAACCATAACTGTAAGAAACTGTACCGTAGGAGAGAAAAGGCCCGTATAAATGATAGGCTTTGTTTCAACTTTCCTAGCCTTTCACGCTTGTCCTGCTCGCCAACTGCATATTTGCCTTTTGTTCAAAGAACGAGATGATTCACGATTCACTGTTCGCGGTCATTTTTCTTCGCCTTTCTTACCTCGCGTATCATTCGCGTAATCGCAACCTCGTAAGAGCGTATAAACGCATCGAAAAAGATCAACGGTTGATCGTAAACGAATCGAAATAAAGTGTCATCGATAACGAGCACATGCCTCGCGCGAATATCTACCCTAATAATTTACCAGGAGCGTAAAGACGATATTAGCGAAAATATCGCTTTCTTGTTTTCTTTTGCGTTGCGCTTTGTGCAGGAGATCTCGAATTGGCGATAAAAGTAGAAGAAAATACGAAAGTTGGTAAACCGGGGACCCAACCGGTACTAGGGTCGGCTCTGACAATCTCTCCCTCTCTTTCTGGCATAAAAAACGATCCACTAGTCAAGTTCACGTTTATCGAGTACAGACTATTTTTAGCTCGAGAAAGTAACTATCCGTGCCCGTTTTACCGTATATTTCTATTTTCGATAAATACAGCGGTGTTTTTTAGGAAGAGAATCGACTCGAGTTAGAGAAAAATCGAGCACTCGCGAATCCATGAATTATTCGAGTCGAAGTTTATCTTTAAGCGCGCAAAGGGCACGCAAAGGTGCTACGCCTTATCGCGGCAGCAATTAAAATTCAATCAAATGAATGAAAATTGAATGCATCTCGATAACGCGAGGAAGAAATAAACACCCGTCTGGAAGAATTTTCAAATAAAAATACGCGGAATCGTGTCCGGTTTCGAAAAAATTTATCGCTAAATTCCTTTTAGCTGGAACGTTTGTTTTCCCCTCGTCGATCCCTCGAGATTTGGACGCGGAATCGCTGTGCCATGCCGAGATCTCGGAGTGTTCGGAAAGCGCGGCACGTAACTTCGTACGTGTATACGTGTATTTCGGACGCGAAATAAATTTAGGTTAAGGTCTGATAGCGATCGACTAACCTCCGGTGTTTCTCTACGCGATAAATAAAATTCCTCGAGGTTAAGTTATTAGCATAAACTCTAGTTACTAGCATAAATTCTTAGGAAAGGAAAGAAAAGAAAAAGAGTAAAAAGGAGAGGAAAAGAAAGAAATCCGTTGCGATTTCTGAGTGCCGAATGAAAAGATCCATCTAAAGGAAGGAGCAAATTGACGTGGTTACCCAACGATTATCCGTAGGTATTATGTAATCGATTGCCGCGAATGATTACGAACCTGCTTTAAGCACGCAGCTCGCGAAGGATGCTGCTCAAAGAACGAACGAACGAACCTTACGTTACCTTAATGATTTTATATTTCTTCTTGGTGGCTTGATTCAAGTCCTCGTGCACCTTGTCCAATAGCCACAGCAAGAATTCCTGAGCGTCGTGCTGCAGATTCCCCCGATACTGACTTCCGTATTTGTCGACGACGCTCTTGAACGCCGTGCTCATCTCCGGATCGTATTGACAGCTCCATATAGCCTTCAAAAGAAGGGCCAGTTGTTCGGTAATCTCGCCTTTGGTACCGTATTTTTTCGAGTTCAGTTTATTCCGTCTGGACAGATCGACCTTGTACTGGTCCAGCACGAAATATTCGGCGAGTATGTCCGTGTGCGAAAGACACTGTAGTACCGCGTTCATGAAACACGTGTTACCGTGATTGCGCAAACCGATCACTCCTGGCACCCTGTCCGGTGGTATATGAGCTGGCCTAGGTGGTGGCACCCTTATGTCCCCGGCACTGGATCCAAGATCGTCTCTGTGAGACGTTTTGTGACCCTGGCTGGCCACGTTCGACATGTGCTGTACCATCTTGTTGATAAATTTTTTCCACGATGGCCTGCGGAACACCTTCTTAACACCGGTTCTGTCCGAATAACTTTGACCGCCGTGCAGTCGGCTCAGATTTTGTTGCATACTCTCCACTTGCTGCTGATATTGTTGCATATTGTTTCTGTCTTTGACGCTGGTCGTAACGCCACCGCCACCACCGTCTTTCGAGTCACGATTCTGTTTGGGACGTCGCCGCGACATCCTCGTGGCACTTTGAAACGGATTCCTCGGCAACGTGAACGTGCGCTTCAGTCGCGATCCAGGATCTCGTGTTTTCGAATCCGACAATTTAACCTCTTCCACGCCCAGCTCGCCCTCCGACACCGATTTCATCACAGCACTGGCCTTCTCGCTGTCCATCGCCGGATCACCGGCCAACGGGAACACCGTTCGTGTTTCCGCCTGCCGTTCACATCACGATTATACACCGATGATCGATCCGCGCGTTCTTTACATGCCGTACGTCAGAAACTGTCCACGGAAAAAACGTCACACCAGTCAACTCTACGCTCTCGTACGCTACGGCGGCCATTTGCCTTTATCACGGGCTTCCACGATTCCATCGTGCTTCGACCACAGACTACGCGCAATGCCTGACGGGACGAGTGTTTTCGATCGCGATCGACGCGCTCTCTGTTCGCGTTGATCCTCGTTCTCCTGTACTCGTCGGTACGGTAGAATTCCTTACCCACGATTGATATTACAGAATAATATACCGACGGAATCGATGCTAACACGATACGCGATGATACGACGATGCAACGATAGATCAAGCTTCAGAAATATCGAACGATAATAATCGTTATCTTAGTTTATCCATTGCAATCATTTCGAAAAATTATGCGAAAAGTGTAACGTTTGGCTAACAGTCAACTACTCTGATGTTTAAATTCGTAACTGTACCCTAAAACATATATATATATATATATATAATTAAGTAGTTATCGCGTAAAATTATTTCATCGCTAATAAAATGCATACCTGTTAAGATTATGAGCTGCATTCGTGATGCGAATGGAATTTTCTAGCCTGCTGATTCGACAATTGTCAAGTATTTTAGCTGTCGCTGACGGCACTTTGCCCGATATATGATTGTCGTGAAAATATTGAAAAGCCTTCGTCGTGTAAATTCCTACCATGAGTGCTTATCGTATCGCTAGAACTTGCATCGAAATAACGTTGCTCTTTCTTTTCGTTTTTTCTTATTCGTTTTCGCGAATAGTTTGCTGGAACTTTGAAGCCGCGAATCTACCGGAAGACACGTTTATTTGGAAATTTGCTATTTGGAGAAATCGCGCCTTCTTAAATATTCCAAGGTGTTGTAACGATAGATTAAATGATTTCGGGAGAGTGTGAAGGACCGATAGACTGACAATAAGAGAAACAATTTTTGATTTTCTTGTACTTTGAAGATGATTGCAGAAAAGGAAAAAGAAAAGATCTTTTAAAGAGATATAAGCAATAAATCCCTCACGCGCTTCCGAAATTTCAACGTTTCCATCTCGTGGACAGTCTTGTAAAGGTTTTCTTCGGCTACTGACAAGCGCGATGAACCGATATTAAAGATAATAAGTGTTCGTTGTCGATTTTTCGGGATAAAGTATCGGATTGCTAAAGTTGCGAGTTTGAACGTTTGAAAATGCGAAGAAAAGAAACCTACGGTATTTGTCAGTGTACATTAATTGTCGATAATGTTTGTTGCGCGATTAGAAAAAGAAAGAATTTACCAAGAATTTCAGTGTTGGCATTACAGAGAGGGAAAAAACGAATCTTTGGTAAACGGTATGACTCTGTTCGAAGCTATTTGGCCGGAATCGAATTTGTCCAGGGTGAAACGCAGCAAACTATTCTCATCGAATTCGCGTGGTAAACCCATCGATGATGGGTGTCCGAGATCAATCGTGAAACTGGATGTTGATATTCGAGGACGTTTGTGGTTACTCCAAGTGCCAGACAGCTACGATTGTTCGGCTAGAATCGTCGTTTATAATTTGAAACGAAGTAGCAATTTGGTAAGATTAATTAAATACTCAAAGTCTATTGCACAACAGGGATAGAAGAGTTGTTTCATCGATTATTGAGCGATGGAATGGTTTTAATAGGTTTTATCGACGGATTTGTCGAATGTTCCAGCGAAAAATTTGAGAGCTCTAGTCATCGACGCTTCCGGAAGCAAAGCGTATTTGGGAGATCCGGGAGACGAATCGATTATAGCGTTCTTGCCAGGTATAGTGAATCGCTAAAAATTGCAATGCAAATATGAAAGGTTTCAATGAGAATTTTTCTATCAGAGAAAGAGAGATGGTGGAGGATAATGATGGTTCACGGTCCGGAAGTTCCGCGAGTAGTTAGTACCGACATTGCGATATCAAGGAATAACTCGGTGTTGTACATGAGCGGTTCCGATACATTACATTTATTCAGTATAAACTTGGACGAATTGTGGAACGAGCAAAATGTTTCTGCGTTTAACGATGTAAGTAAAAATAAGATTCGCATATCTGCATCTTACAGGAACAGTAATTCGAGTAATTAACTAAACGTCGCAAAATTTGCTTTATAATCTCTAAACATAACCAGTTGTATGTAGTTGTAACATACAGAATTCAGTTCGGGATGAATTCTGTAACACGGTTTACATTATTTTGTTTTAGAAATCACGAAATGTTAGGGTTGATTGGCACGGTACCAAAATGGGCACTTCCTCCGGACTGATTTGCGACTTCAACGACGGTCTCCATTATTTTATGTCCTCGGAAAGGGCCAGCGTCCGCTGGGACACGAAACTTCCCTTGAGAGTAATTCTACTTTTATTAACCTTTACACGTACCAATGCATCCCCTACTCGATATTCAATATTCAATTTCAAATTAAATTTATTTGTATTTATTTTTATCGCCTGACGTTCTATAGCTAATCGCTGTTTTGTTTTCAGGCTGAGAGTCATACGATTCTTGTACAAAACGAAAACTGTCCGTGTATAACTGATTACGGAATAGACAGCCGGAAGAACTTATGGGGTTTAGTAAACTCAAAGTGTCGATTCGAGTCGCAAGAATCATCGCAAAAATTGCGATTTAATTCACGGACCATTAAAATTATGAAATATCCGACATTGTAAAATTATAGGCAATTTTAACGATAATCCTTGAGTTCTAAAACAATCGATCGAGTTATTTGGTAATATCTGGTTCAACGTTTCCGTTTTGGAGAATGATATATTTCATTATTTTTTCTACTATAACGTGTTACTGTTTTAATAAATATTACGAATATTTCGTTGTTTCGTTGCATAATTTCATCAATCTTAAGACTTTTAAGTCCTGTATAGAGTAATTAAGCGTTTATTCTATCGAGAGGTATGTAATTATATAAGGCTTGTTACCGTTCGAGCATTATCGAGAAAAAAAATTGACATGGACGATTTATGAACATTAACGAACTCTCGCGTGCACGCAAAGTAATAGTTGCGAAAGTACTTGGATCGTTCTCTTTATTCGTTAATAGGATGTTAATAGATAGTTTTCGCTATTTTATTTCATCTACTGGTTTCCTCCTATATAGTTAATATTAATATTGACATTGCTATTGGTACGGGAACTATCGCGTATTAGATATTAAGATTAAGATCGGATTTAGATAGCGTTACCGGTGCCAATGTTACCGTTAACATTATTGCCGGTAGCTGTGTTCCTTTCATAATAATCTAGTACGTCTAATTTCAATCAACGAGCGCGGTAATCGTTGAAGGTTTACTACATCTAACACTGGTTCATATTTGTCCAGACGCGGGTTGAACTGACTTCCCATAGCCGACATACGATCAAAGTTTATACGATAACGTTAACCTTTCGAGCGTTGCGTCCCCGTTCAAAGGACGTTCCTATCGACGTGATTAATCAAGTAAACTAAACGGGTTACTTTAGTATAAAAATTCGAAAGGGTAACAATTGTTGAGAATTTGTAACCGATTAAGCGGTTCAGTTTTATTGCAGGTTCTTTATTCAATACTGATCGTCGCAGGTATTGATCAGAGGGTGCAGCGACACCGACGCACCTGAACAACTGACTGCGTTATCGATGTAGTCCTGGAAGTTGCTCTCAATCACCCACATGAGCCCTTTATAGCCTGGAATAACCCCGGTTGGCAATCTACAATCACCAGCTTTCTGTACCAATAGGAAATTTTCCGAAACGAAAGGAGTCTCCGTGTTCCACATGTAGATATTCGAATCGCCTGTAAAACAAACGAATTGGATCCGTCGATCGAAAATGTTCGAACCTTTTATTCTAAAATCTTACCTTTTATTCGAAAGAAGATGGCTGCTCCATTGTCGGTACCTAGTAGCACGATTTTCTTTTTCTTTCCGCCAATGTCCACTATGGATCCATTGGCATTTCCGGTTCTCAAATTGCTAGTCTTGATCGCGAACATCCTGTTGGAGCCTAGGTAGGTGAAATAAAGGACCTGGGTGCCGCAGCTTCTTCTCACTAACGCCATGTACAACGCGTCCGGTTTCTCCATGCCGGAAGCGACGGCACTAGGAAGAATCACGCGATATCCGGTGTCAGCTGTCACGTTGTAGACGACGATGGCTCTGGTACCAGCGTCAGAAACGTACACGTACACCTGGCCATCGGTTGCATAGTCGACGACCATGTATTGTAGACGGGAATACGCGTCAACCAACGTACTCAAGTCGATTACTTTTACTACCTGAAATCGCGCGTCTCTCCGTTAGATTTCGAATTTCTGCGTAAATCAGGGATTTACGTCGAACTCGATAAATTTAGTGAATCGCAACGTACCTTGCCGCTGCTGGCGTTTATGCCGACGACTTTAGGAGGGCATCTTCTTACAGGCTGTTCGAGAGTGTTGACGATACCGACATCGAGAACCCAAAGGATGTCTTGCATATCTAGGACAATGTCGACGGCACTCTGCAATGCCTGACAGTTTCCTTCTTCCTGGATCGCCCAACAAGGGAAAGGAGCTACCTTCGGTGCACAATCGCTCGATTGCAAGGATATAACACCTAGAGTGAAGGGTACACCCGGTTTGTAACGTGGCAGAGCCAGGATAGCCTCGTCCTTGTACACTTGTGCTCTGGTGGCAATCACGTTTCTAGCGATGTATCGTCCACTGGTTTCGTAAATGTTTTTCGTACTTTGACAAGGCCAGTCTAAGCTCTGCCCTGAGAGTATCAACGATCGCGACAACGCTAGATCGCTGTGGGTCAGTAGCGAATTTTTTACGATCACCGTTAGACACAGGACGATATATAGAAACCTCTTCATCCTGTTGTTTACCGTGGATCAAAGAATGTCGCGGGATCGATAAGCGAATCTCGCTTACTAATTTGCCGTGGCTACGAACTCTCCGATATATATGTACACGTCAGATGAAAATAATTCAATGGTTAACTTCCTATGTTTACGAAGCATCGTATTCTTCCTTCTGTCGCAACATTTTTCACGTCCGGTCGAGGTTACACGAGATTTTTCGGTCAACAAGGAAGTACTTCCTGCTCCAACGTTTATTAAACGTTTCGGCAAATCGAGAACCATCGTTCTAGATTGTTTATCGGGGATAAAGCATAAACCGATTCTATTAAAGTACCGAATAAATTTAGTCTACCTATAGATCAATAATGTGATAATGAACACGGTACGCTTCCAGGGAGAAAACGAAATTTTCGTCTCGCGAAACCTTCTATATGCTAAAATATCTATATATAAAGTATTTTATACGGTGATACACGGAAGCGTTGAAACATATTGAATTTATGATTTTTTGGCCGGTTGAAATAGTATATTGAAATAGTATAGTAAATCGAGAACTATAATAGGCCATCTCTTTCGGAAATGTTTAAATGTAGAAATGTAGAAATCTCGAAAATCGTTATCCTTTCAATGAATCGCCAGGCATCGAAATATATTATATAAAACGTCTGTAACGAATAACAGAACGTGTAGGAATGAAAAACCTTTTCGTTCTCGACATTAAATATTTTGATAAACGTGTAGATTTCGTAACACGCAGCGACCACGTATATAACTGGCGTAATCTCGAAGAATTTTCACTCGAGACGAGTTCGGGAGATTTCTCCAACATGTTTTTCGCAGAAAAATTTCTCTCCTCGTGCGGCGTGATAGCAAATTTGTTCGTTGTGGTTGTCGTGGTTGTAGCAACGACCGATAAAACGTCTCTGACTGGCAATGTGCAATGGACAGCGGGTAGTTTCCAGTGGCCGTGTCCTACCACGAAGAACATGTTCAAAAGTAGCGGGCGATACGTCTCTAAAAACGTAATAGCCACGAGAGCTGTGATTTATAACGATGACGCCATTGTAGCTTTACCTAGGTACAACAAAGAAAATAATAACATAAATTAATTTAACTCGATATTGTTGAACGAGCAGATAAACTCGATGCGTGGATATTTAATTGATTTTCGATTTCGATTCAGGTATAAGCAAGGAGTACCAGCAACTTTGGCGAAAATTCAGAAGGACGAAGAAAATTGCGAGGCTACTCTGGTACCTTATCCTTGCTGGTCCCTTCAAGAAGAAGGTACATGCACCGCCTTACAAAATGTCGTGGATCTGTATTTGGATCCGCAGAATATTCTCTGGGTCCTGGATACAGGAGTGGTGAACACCTTGGACCAACCTGTGCGCAACTGTCCACCAAAGGTTCTCGCTATTAACATTGGCACTGGAAAGGTAAGTAGATTTTTCATTTTTCATTAGAACGAGTAGCACTAATTATTATTTGAGGTTTCGTCTAATAGCCCTATGTATGTAGGCTATACGTTATTACGCGTAATTGTGTAAACGTTCAAATCGTCGTGTTTCACGCAGTTGGTAAAAACAGTGGAGCTGACCGGTTTAACTACGTCTACGTCCCGCCTACAATACCTGGTAGCCGACTACAGCCCAGACGGTAGAGTGTTCGTCTATGTATCGGACGCAGCGTCGAGAGCAATCTTGGTGTACGACGTCACTTCGGGTCGTGGATACCGAGTCGTTTTACCTCAAGCTGTTACCATAGGCTGCACTCGAAGAGACGTTTTGTATCTCGCCCTTCTCAGACGTTCGGACGGTAGCACCTGTTTGGTGTTCACCTATCTAAGCGGCAGTCGGATGTTCTCTGTACGAACCGAACATCTTCGTAATGGTTCCGCTAATGGAAGAATCCATGATCTTGGACTAAAGCCGAAAAAAATGATTTTCTTGGGCACGGACAACGGAAGCGCCCTCTTCTTCCGGTACGAGGGCGAATCGGATATCTATAGATGGGACGCGACTGCTCGATTCAACGAACAGTGTTTCCAACTGGTTTATAGCAGTGCCGAGTGTTTCTTAGCTACTCACGTGGTCGCTGATTATAAAAGAGGAAGGATGCGAGTGCTGGAGTCGAATTTCCCCGATTATATGCAAAACACTGTCGGATGCGGTTCTAATCAAGCTCTCAATCTCATGTAATTTCGATCAATTGAATCTTATTCTGTTTAAACGCATAGACATTTTTATTTGTTCCTTTCTCATTTACTCGTTTTTGACCATTTACGAGATCAAGGTAAAGCCCTTATTCTTTATTAGGCTTTATTCTTTAAAATGATTAGGGTCAATCAAGTTGGGTAGTTGGCGTAACTGAAAATCGGTAGAGACAGATATCAGGTAATTAATGGGCAGCGTTAGTCGGTGTTTGTAGATTTCGATGCAAATCGTTTCGCGATGTCGGCCGTATATCCTGCACTGCCAATGTAACGGAACAGAAGAACTTTAGCGAAAAAATGAAACCTTTCTCTCCTACAATCTCCACGTTCGGCGCGGTGACCTATTCGATCAAGATTGAGGCTGTCCTGAAGCGGTTTCAAAACAGTTTCAACATACAATAGCGTGTAATAGTGGTTGCTAGTTGTTACGTAAACGAACTATCAAAATGTCATTTTATTCGAATATACGTTATTCGACATACAGATTGCCGTTAAATTAGATTAAATGAAATTATATTAAAAGTTTGATTATATCGGGGTATAAGATACAGTTATGTCGAGTCTCGGTAATGTTAAGTAGAAGTATGCAGGTTAGGTCGGTACGAAGGTAGATTGGCATAAAATTGAGTCGGAGGTGTAAGAAAGATCGGAGGTAGAATACATTCCTTACTAAATAATGTCCTATTATGTTTAATGCGGGTTAGGTTAGCTCGTAATCGTATACCTCGAGGTAATGATACTAATTTGAAGCTGAACAACGATCGAAGTACACATAGATGTACATATATGTATACTTATATTACAGTGTTCCTTTACTTTTTTATTGTTTTTCATTTTCATTATGTGCGTCGAATTACACAAACTTTGATTTCTCTTCCCGATTGTTATAACGCGAACAGAATTTTTTTTATCGGTATCATCGTTGCCACGTATTCTACGAGCTTTCTATGAAAATTGATATTCAGTATCGAATTTGGTTCCTGATTCGACGCGATTTCGATCAGTGAAAGTTCGACGATATATATTGTTACGCTAGCGATTAAACCCGATGCGCATGGATGACATTTTGCAAAACATATTTCTTCGTATACTAAGTTACTTATTCTGTTTCCTTCTAGATTAATTATTTAGAGTTTATAGTCTAAGACGTACGTATTCGTTCCGATAAAACGGAATGTTCGCGCGTACGCGTAACACGATTTATAGATTCGGTGATTAATTAATGCTATCGGAATTCAACGTTTCCCTTTTATACGCTCGATAGTTCTTACGCGAAAATCTACCTCTAACATGATTGTTTATTCGCGTTGATCATTTTTTTCCTGCACGGAAAGTTAATCGAATCCATCGCTTCGAACGTGAAAAAAAGTTTAAACGTTAACGCTGAATATTCTCTTACACTTATTTATACATAGTCGTATACGTATAGTATAATCACTGTGAGCATCTTTGGTACGAGTAGATTTACACGAATGGTTGTTCGAGGAGTTTGTTAAACCCCTGCTAAACGTTCCTTCCGAACAATCTGATAAATCGCAGAGAACCGTGCGTGCAAACTTATCGATTTTTGACCATGCGATTATTCGTGTAGCCACTTTGTACCGTCAACCGTCGGATCTAACTTTAACACGCCGGTCGATAATGTTATGTCAATTACAATTGTTCTCCGATAACGATAACGATCGATCGATCTTTGAAACTTTTCACGATAAACCGTCTAGCCGCGTGTCTTCTTTTTTCTCTCGAATTAACGAAACGATCCGTTACACGGCAATTATACGCAGTTTTTTGCTGCGAATTATACGGTAATTGGACGGTAACGCCGGGACGAGCACGGGAAGCAAGTTTTTTCTCTCGGCGAGATATTCGGAGCTACGAATAAATATGATTTTCGATGCCAACCGTTCTAGTTGTTATTCCTTTTTCTAATAAATAGACAAATTATTCGTTTCTATACTATAATTTTATGCATCGGTCAGTGTGTAACTTAAATGGATGTAATTTGAAACCTGAACAAAATCCAAGCTAACGTGAAAGTACGTCTAGGGATATAGAAATGTCTGTAACGGAAGAACCCGCAAGAACGGACGTATTCCTATTGCTTTCGTAGATTTTGTTAGGGTTAGATTAGCTTTCGGAGATGCGACAGCGGTGATTACTTCTTGAACACCATGTACGACAATGTCTAGCGGTTGAGCGGTTACGTTGCTAGCTTTCCAAGCCGGACATGTACGCAACGATATAGCGCGGCGCCGTTCCACGCACAAGAAAAAATCAATTCGGCATGAAAACACATCGACACTCGTCGAATGACTTTACGTAAGTCTTCTTAACAGTTTCGCAGTCGAACCACGTTTAACGGTATCTATGCAGTTTTTCTTAGCCGTCCAAATAATCGAAATATAGAAAAGTTTTCTTGTCGGGTCACGTAACAGCAATTTTCGATTACGTTGTTCTTCCCCTACCGATGATTTAACAGTTTCGTTTAAATTTCGCTAAAATTCTCTCCGTTCTTTTAACGATAAATTCCCATCCACCGACAATATCAATTTCATTCGAAATGTTTCTTTTATTATTTTCATATTTTATTAATATTTTATTATTTTTTCGGTAGCACTTCGCTGGCCAATCGGACATGTGCATCGATCGTTGGGGGCGTCAACCGATCGTCAGCTTTCTAGGCAAGAACAGATGTTGCAAAAGATTTTTCATAATACAATAATACAATAATAAAATAATAACAGGATCAGAAATGGTGTTTCTGCTTACTTGACTGCGCGAAATATGTGCTAGGTATTTCTGAATCGATTATTAAGCCGTGGTAGGAAGTATTCTGAAAGTGGTATATGATTATCGAAGGAAAATGAAGTAGCAGTGAACTTTTAAACGTACGTTTGATCACGGTTGTTTCGCGCTCGCGAAAGCAGCAATGATTTTTTAATTGTCACGATTATCTAACAATGTCCAAAAACGTAGCTGGTATCCATAGCAATGGGCGCGGTCTACATATAGTTCCGGGGACTTTCGATCGGGGCTTACGTATCAAGGACTTCCACATAACATTTACCAACAGTTCGGTTCGTACAACTGCCATTTTCTTTCGCATACCGGTTACGTATCGTTTGTTCTTAACATTATTCTCATCGATAATCACGTATTCGTGACACGATTGCACGACTTTTCTTTATTCTCATTAGCCATATATTGATATTAGATTTTGCGAAGTAGTCGTTTCATGCACGGATTGTCAGTTTAAAAACTGTAAGAATCTTGCGGCAAAACTTGTGACCTTCGATCCATTAGAATGTTTCCACTTAAGTCGCTTAATATCAGCTGCGTTAGAAAATTTCGATATAAATAATTTTGAACGGAACAGTGCCGTAGCGAAGAATGAAGCATTTTAGGCTTACGCAAGTCGATATATCATGAGAATTACCGTGTCTATGGGAGTCGCTGCCACTCCCACGGAAGAACGGAAGTAACGAAATCTCGTTATTATACACAGCTGTTTGTCGCTTGACAAATAAAAAATTCACTTTTTGACACGCGATTCTAATTAAAGGCATCGCGTTTCTTTTTTCTCCGTCGATTTGAAATTCAAGGTTTTCCAGTGAAAATTCTGATTCCGAGACATCTTTGTTATACAACTTTTCTGATTATCCAAGGCTCTGTAACGACCTATCGGAAGTATATCTCCCCGAGACTAGGCTAGAAAAATGACAATAAACATCTAATAGAGAAAGACGCCTAATAGAGTGATTGGATCACAAAAGGAAAGAAAAAGCGATGTATGAGGTAATTAAAATTTTGATATATAGGTAATAGATAGCAGCGTTCGAAATATCGATGTCGAAAATCGAGCGTATAATACTGGCGTGTTTTGTGTTCAATTAGCGGAGTTAACGCGAACGCGAATATACGATGAAATCTCGCGTGAATAATAGCCATTCGTACGAGATGGAAACAGTTTCTCTCGAATCGTTCAATGCCATGATCGATCGTAACCTTTTCTCGAAATCGCACCCACACGGTCTCACGGGTGTGGAGGATCGATGGCGTATGGGTACGATTACACAATGTGTACATTTGTGCGTTGTGGTCGGCTTCTGTCTCCCAGACGGCCAGGCTCAGGATCTGACCGATGTAAGGAAATTAGACCAGTCGGTGCTCAGACAGCGGGACTTGATACACGCTCTCTGAACGGAGCTTGCACCTTTATCTCGATTACGTACGATTTTCTATTCGACTTTTCGTTAAGAACCATCTCAGACTCGTTTTTTCCTACATAATGAGGTTAGTGCTCTTTTCTTTATTTTCAATTTTTTTCAAATTTCCTCGCATTTTTCTTTTTAATTAATTTTTAAAGGATAAACACGATACGTGTACGTATCGTATACGTGCATGTACGTAGACGTTCTATTAAAAAACTTCAATGATTCTTTGTAATATGTACATGTTCGTTTTATAAGGACTTTGACTTCGAGATCGTGTTACACGCGAGTTTGCATAATTCTTGTAATTTATTCGTCGCCAAGGCGGAAACGTTCGATGGATTTAAGATCAAGTTCGAAGGAATTTTTCTAACGACGGTGTAACATTCGTTTCCTTTTGTTCGATTTTCTTATCGAACAATGTTTCTATAGTATCCGTGTTTAGCGCCGTAAAAAAATTCTTCGAATACCTTCTAGTAGCATCGTAAATAATAATGAAGCGAAAGTATACGAAGCATTTTATATAGAAGAATTTTTATAGAAGAATACGATCGATAGTTAGTAATGATAGTTCGAAATATCGAAACGTCGTAAGAATACTGTAATCGAAATACCGATTATTTTTAATCGGTCGATGGAAACTCGAATCACCGACTGAAATCCTGATAAAAGTTTGAAACTTTCGTCGCAGGATCGTACTCGTGATCCTTCTGGCAGGATTATCATCCGCGGAGGTGTTGCAAACGATAGCGCAATGGCCCCTGATGGACTTCGCGCTGCCGTACGACGGAGAATTTTTAAATCGATATCGTCCCGAGAACGTGGTGCCGACTGGAATCGAGATTGGCTGGGACAGGATTTTTATCAGCGTTCCAAGGTTAAGAGCCGGCGTACCATCGACCTTGAACTATATTCCGAGGAATCTTCCCGTAGAAAGCAGTCCGCAGCTTCGAGCGTATCCATCATGGGATTGGCACAGCGCCGGGAAAGGGGATTTGAATTGTTCCAAGTTGATCTCTGTCTACAGATCGAGGATAGATAGGTGTAACAGACTATGGGTGATCGATAGCGGAATAATGACGTCGATCGATGACTTTATGCCCGTTTGTCCGCCGAAAATCATGGTGTTTGACCTACAAACCGATCAACTGGTGCGGCAGTACACGTTTCCGCGGGAGGTGAGTTTCGATACGCTTCCGTTTTAGATAACAGTTTATCTAATGCTTCGTATTGGATAAGAGAAATGTTTGCGTTTTCAGGTCCTGAGGCCCAACACCTTGCTGACGAACCTGATTATAGACGACGTTTCGGCTACGACTTGTGACAACGTGTTCCTCTACATAAGCGATACGGCAGGGCCTGGTTCGCGTTTACAAATTCTTTTCTTACAGTAATTATCAATTTTCCTCCTTTAATTACATCTATCGATGTTTTTCTTCAGGTTTATTAGTGTTCGACGGAGCTACCGATAGAAGTTGGCGCATCGTGCATGCTTCTATGTATCCGCATCCAGATTTCTCGACGTACAGGGTAATGCTGCTTCGTCGCGGTTACGCGAAATGTTATCGCGACGAAAGCGGATATAATCGATCTAAAGTCGAGCTCTTTTTCAGATCGGTAGCGACACGTTCGAGCTACTCGATGGCGTGGTGGGTTTAGCTTTTTCCGCGAAACTCGGACTGGTTTATTATCAACCTTTGGCAACGGATCGTCTATTCAGTGTACCGACCACGGCGCTCCAAGCTGGTCCTCCGGCGTTTGGGGAACAATTACCGGTGACCCTGATTGGCAAAAAGTCTAGTCAAGGTCTCGCATTGGCCGTTGATCCTCGTGACGATACCATCCTATTTTCGCCGTTAACGGAACTGGCGATCGCTGCCTGGCATCCGCAAACCAATCGGCAAAGGTATCATCCGTTTGCAGTAGTTCATTCGGTATAGCCACGGCGTGGAGCCGGGAAGAAAATGTCGAGGAAAATGTTTCTGTTTCAGGATCGTGGCATACAACCCGGAGAAATTACAATTCGTGGCCGAAATTCGATGGGCCGATCACGACAATGGCAACTTTTGGTTGTTGAGCAGCAGGTTCCAAAAATTCTTCCGAAAGGAGGTGAACGTACGCGACGTCAACATACGAATCATGAGACTAATGCCTGAACAATATTCGCTGAAACACGCGATTCTTAATTCGTACACTCAGCCACCCTTCCCGTTACAGTATTATAACAATACTTTAGGATTGTAATTGGTCGTCGTCGATAGCGGTTAACTTTTCAGCTTAAACATTTCATTCGGGCATCGTTTACGTTTCTCGTAATTTCGAACTGGATCAACTTGAAAATGTTCACGCTCAACTAGATAGCTGTCGGTCCCGGTAATTGAAAGTTTATACACCTGGAAGGATAATTTTCTTATCGGTTCTCCTAAATTCTCAGCGTACCTGATACCTACGAATCGTCCAGATTCTATGCATTCGAAACACGAAGAAAATTCTCCGAATCGCGTGTATACTATATGTAAATCGATCGAATCCGGGGTCATTCGCTCAAATAGATTTATGCATCTTTATTAGATAAGCGTTGCACAGACAGATTGAATTACACAATTGAGATTAAACGCGTTTCTTAATCAAACGATTTATCTGTTATTATTTTCTCCGGCGAATTATTACAGATAGGATAATTATATAACCGGTAACATAGCCGCACTCTTATCCTAATTTCCTGCTTAAGTTGAAAAGACTCGAGTTCGGTGAACGGATTCGTTTAATCAGCGTTACGAGCGATTATGACCGTGAGCGAAAAAGGCCAAGGTATCGAGGTATTCGACGAATGTTGCTTGGTCTGTTGGACGATTTCGCGGAAGACTCGATTAACCGGAATCGTTGTTCCCCGAGCATCGTTGATCTCTTCGGACTCGAGTCGATCAGTCGGTCCTCGGACGCTGCGAGGAAAGCAACTTTCCGCTTGGCGCTTCGTCTTTTGAGTGTACCTTAATCGTGTGAGCAGAATCAAAGTTTGATATCGCGGGACATTTATCTCGAATCAACGAGAAGATCGTGGTCAGAATACTTGACAGGTAAGTAAACCGTCAACTTATACTTTAAAATCCTATAAAACATTGTACGGTGAAGTCAAGATACTCTACATTGTTATTATTATTACGTAAGACGATTACTAAGATGGAACGAGGATAATAACCTGTTTCGAGGTCGGCAACTTATTATTTAAACTTTGATCGAAATATCAAATCGATAGAAGCATAGATTTAAAGTTTTCGATTTTCCGTTAGAAACGAAACCGATAGTTCCCAGAGCTCTGACACAGAGAGGTTACAAAAACCTTTGAAAGTGAACGTTTGTCAAAGTCGATAAAAAATCAAGGTTCTCTCTCTCACACAAAAAATTCCTAAACTGTTGAATTATTTCGGAAAAAGTTTGTGATCGGGACACGATTTGTACTTATTAGTCGTATCGGGGTTATCGAGTAGTTTATTCATACTCGTATGAACGATAATGTCTAACGATTCGAGGTCGATCGCGCGTTTCCTGGAAGACCTACGATGTTCGTGAATGGATAAAACTTCTCGGGGTTTTCCCCGGGACGGTGAAAGTTTACAGAGAAAGAGTCGAGCGACACAGAAATGATATCACGAACGGGAGAAAACAAGGTGCAAAAACAAACGGTGTTAAGTTGTGCCGAACGGTCGTCGACGCTTAATGGTTTCTCGACTCGTAATTGTAAAGCGACTCGATTATCCGGGATTTTTCGACATAGCCCGAAACGGTTAATATCGTTTGTTCATAGCTCATGGTCGAAGATGTTTTTGCCGACGAAGACAAAATGACAGATAAATACGAATATATGAATGGCTGGCAAACGTTGCGCAATCGTTCGAGACACGTTCGAGACGCAGCGAGAAAATTTCAATATCGCGTTCTCGAGAGTTTGTTACGTAGGAAAGAAACGAATATTTTATTCGGCTTCGCTTTCGGTAGTCTCGTTCGACGGTCGATAGTTTTTGAACCGCGGCGCGAGGACTTTCGGCGTAGTTTTTGCGCGATAAAAAATATATAATTATTGAAAGGATGACTAAAGAGAGATAAGATTGTTCGAGTTGAAAAACAAGCTTCGCAACGACAAGATTCTGTTCCGAGATAGCGTCTCGCAACGTTTCTAATTTTAAACAATTACGGAGGAGTGTTTTTTTCTATAGAGGCAATTAACAAATTACAGGTGAAAATATTAATGTTCGAGTCGAGAACGGCATCAACGATCGATGCTTAATGCAAAGATGAGACGAGTTTGTTGGACAATTTTATCGTTGCTTATTGCCGGTGCGATGGCACAGATCAACCTAAGGACCATCTACTCGTGGAAGACGTTGGAATTTTTGTTTCCGAACGAATTCGTAAAAGAAGTAGCCATTCGGAGCGGAAGTTACGTAGCCGGTGTCGGGGTGCCTATCGACGTTGACGTCTATAACGGAGGTAGCTATGTTGTCGTTTCTAACTTCTCGCGGAACGAGCGTTGATCTACTACCGTAACGGCGGAAAATAATCGACGCGACGTTCGATGTAGAATATTACTTAAGTTAACTTAGTTTATCGAAGGTTTGGACTCGAAAGTGTTCGTTACGATTCCAAGATTTCAAAAAGGCGTACCGGTCACTTTGGGCAGTGTTACCGACCGGGTGTCAGCGGCCGGAAATCCCGTAATTGCACCATTTCCGAACTGGGAGTACAACGTCGCAGGAAACTGCGATATGTTCACCAGCGTTTTCAGAATACAGGTAAATTAGCTATCGGTTATTTCCAATTTATGTATCTACGAGAATTTGTTCGATTACGGTTTCGGTCAATTATCCAAGTTAAAGCATCGATTTCGTCGAATACGTCTAATGGCAGCTATTTATCATCGACGAACAATTTATCGTAGCGACAAAAGCGAGGTTCGACGATAAACGTTGACAGCCAACGTGAATTATTATTGTCTTTATGGGCATTTCCGATTACTAATCGTTAAGTTTAAATCTAGTAGCCGTGACGGTACGAGAGAATTCCCGTGATTATTATCGATCTAAATTATCGATATAAATGATCGGTAAAGAAATATTAACGAAGGGCAACCCTTTGTTAGATAGACCAGTGCGACCGTTTGTGGGTGATCGACACGGGAGTATTGGAAGAAACAAGAATCTGTCCACCGCGATTACACGTGTTTTCTTTGAAGAAAAATACGTTGCTCGCTCGTTACACGTTTCCTCCTGATCAATTTAAAGCGGACTCGCTATTCGTTACCGTGGCAGTCGATGTTCGAAACGCGGATCACGAATGCAAAGACACGTTTGCTTATATCGCCGATGTGTCTGGATTCGCGTTGATAGTATACGATTATCGTAATTCGCGATCCTGGAAGATCGGCAACAATCTGTTCTATCCTTATCCACCGTACGGTACATTCCACATAAAGGATGACACGTTCGATCTTATGGATGGCATCATCGGTTTAGCGTTGGGTCCACTACGAAATAACGACAGGATTCTTTATTTTCATTCGTTGGCCAGCAGAGTCGAGTCATGGGTACCTACCTCTGTGATCAGGTAAATTTCTTTAACGAGTAAAAAGTATAAAGTAAAATAGCCTAATTTCTTCGAAATCATTTTTATAGAAATTACACGCTGTTCGCTGAGAATTCGGAGGCTGCGCCGAGGTCATTCGTTGCATTTGACCAGGAACGATCTTCGCAATCGGCAGCCGAGGCCATGGACGATAACGGAGTGCTTTTCTTTGGTCTAATGTCCGAACTGGCGATCGGTTGTTGGAACAGCAGACATTATCCGAATTTTGGAGGCAGCAATAACGAGAAACTTATCGTCGATTCGGAGACGTTGCAATTCCCGTCGGGTTTGAAGGTAGTATCATAATACGGATTTTTAACCAAGTATTTTAATTTACTCTTCTCGTTATTCAGATAATTAGCTCGAAGAAAGGCAAAGAAGAATTGTGGGTCCTCTCGGCATCTTTCCAGAAATTCATGAGCGGTTCGTTGAACAAGAACGAGATCAATTTCCGAATTCAAGCTGGTTTCGTGAACGAATTGGTTCACGGTACGAAATGCGACGTCACTGCCATGGAGGGTAAAGCTTTTCGCTTTTCCAAATGAATATCCCAGCACCGCGAGCACTTTTTTAACTTCGATTACCAACATTTCTGGCATTCTCGTTGGTATTCGTTTTTTCCTAAAAGAACCAATAAAAATTACTTCGGCTCGTTTCGTGAGTCCGACTACTTTAAATATTGAAATGAAATTATGCTCGCGGTGCTGAATCGTATTTTCGAAATGTTCGCCCGTATCTCCGTGGATCGATTTATTTATTGCTACGCGTCAATAATTTATTAACGAAATAATTTTAAGTGTATATTATTCGCCGATTAGCTCCGAGTTCCTATTAAACAGCTATTTAATAGAGCGGTATTATAATTGTAGAGTGTTATAATTTATTCGTTGAAACGACACTGCGAGTCGTGTTTGTTAGGAATACTTGAAATATTCGTCGATGTAAATAAATGTTTTGATATTTTACTTCGTTTCTTTCACCTTTCCTTCTAATTTAACGCTCGTCTTCGTACGAAAGTACGCGCCAGCATGTCAATACTATTTCCTAATGTTTCGGAGCCGAAAACTCCGAATAAAGAAAGTTTCGAAACAATATCCTCGCAGCGAGTAATTGTTCCTACAGTTATTCGCCACTACTCGAATACACAAATACATATCGGTTACATAATATCTCGCTTATAATATGTACGTGTCCCAGAATATTATCAGCGTTCTTCGGGCTATTACCTGACGCATTTTAGATACATTAATCGTTGGAAAACTCCACCGGTGACTGTCCCCACAAAAGGGTAAATGTTTCATTTTTTCCTCGTACGCTTATCTGCTCTTATTTATTGCTAGCATCGTCATGGTATATATTCGAAATCGGAAGGTTGCTAGTCGTATTTATTGCCGCGGTACGGGTCACATCGCGTATTCGTCTGCTCGCGTTCTTCGCGTGAAAAACAGTGTATTCGATCGATAAGAAGAAAAGAAAGTAGAAAGAGCATCTATAAAATATGCGGACATCGTGGTTGACGCTATTATGTTTCGGTGGAATTTCTCTCGACGATACGCTCGCGTTTTCGAAGAAAGATACGATGAAAGTGATTCGCGAATGGAAGTATATCGATTACTCGTACCCGACCAAGGAACAAAAAGAATCTGCCATTAAGTCCGGCGAGTACAATCACAGTAACTGTTTTCCCATAGATGTCGATCAATGGCACGGTAACGTACGCTCCGCAGACTCAGGCGTTTCTCCTTTCTCCTTGAAAATGGGAATATTTTGATTTTAAGAGAAAACATTCGTGACCGTGATCAGGGACGTAGGTGTACCCTCCTCTTTGAACGTCGTATCGAAGAAAGTCGGCGATGGCGGTCCTTTACTCTTGCCGTACCCTAATTGGAGTTGGACGAAAACCGACACTTGCGACGGAATTATAAGCGTTTACAGAGTCGCGGTAAATTTTTCCTAATTTTACTGCTCGTCGAAGAAATTGTTCGATTACGGTCTAAAGGGTTTCTAATGTTCCGAATTAGAACCGTTAATCGACAGGGTGCACAATGTTTTCAGATCGATAGGTGCGACAGACTGTGGGTCATAGACAACGGTATCATCGGTTCGAACAGAATTTGTCCGGCAAAGTTGCTCGCCTTCCATTTACCGACTTCGCGGTTGCTGGAAAAAGTCACGATACCTGACAAGGTCGCGAGGAACTCTACTACGGGAAATGGCCTGTTGATAACGCCGATTGTTGAAACTTACGGTCAGCGCTGCGAAATAACCAAGGTAAGTGTCTGTCGACGATACGTTTGTGGTCAGGATCTAATCGTCGATCAATTTGTACAGGTGTACATCTCAGACGTCGAAGGTTACGGTATAATAGTGTACGATGGATTAGCTTTTCGACGGTTAACTTCGGCAGCGGTGGTTTACGATCCTAAAGCGACAAACTATACGATCAAGGGACAGAGTTTCGCGTTGAAAGACGGCCCTGTAGGAATGGCCTTCTCTCCTTTCACGAAGAATCTTTACTACAGTCCAATGTCCAGTTACGATATGAATATACTTCATACTCGATCGGTTTTCGCACCAGGACATTCGAATTATCGATTCTCGGAGTAAGCTTAATGGTTCGATCGCTGCAACGTTTCCCGCGAATCGGTTCGTTCATGTTCCATACGTTTTAGGAATAAGCATATTTTACCGACCCAGGCGAGCGCTAAAGCCATGTCCAGTAGCGGAATTCTGTTCTTCGGACTGGTAAATAGCACGTCGATCGGTTGCTGGAACGAATCGAAATTACTTAAAAGGAAAAACTTTGTTAGTACCGTAGCTATTTTCATTTATTCGGGAGGGTTTTTTCGTCGGAGCAATCGAATTATTTGTTACTTCGGTTACAGGATTTTGTTGCCGTTAACGATCAGACTCTACAGTTCACCAGCGGCATGAAAGTGAAGAATCGTCGTGGACGGGAAGAATTGTGGGCGTTGTCTAACCGATATCAAAAAATAGCTACAGGAACTATGAACTTCGAGGAAGTGAATTTTCGAATATTGACAGGACACGTAAACAGATTAATCGAGGGTACTCTTTGCCAGGCGAAATATTAGAATACTAACCTAAATAGTTTCCACCCGTGTTCGACGATCGGTCTGATAAACAGTTATCTCGTCCGTTGGCTGCGGCTTCCTTTCTTTGCACCTGCTACAACAATTACGTACTTACCGGAACACGCGACAAGTTTCTTGCAACTTTTTTAAATCGTTATAAATTCCATAAGATACCCCTGGAAATGATATTATACATATAGGAATAAGATGAAATAAAAGAAATTTATATTCGTTGGCAAATTATTAGATTTATTGTATCACCACCTGTTAAATCGGTATGCATTATGTATGTATGGTATAGCGAAACTTTCCTGCCTACCTTATAAAATATCAATAAATTAGCGAAACGTTAAGATTAAGCAAATTTTCAAACAAACAAATGAAACAATGTTACGTGACTATTACGATTACTTAAAAGCGAGCGTTGATTAGATCGAATGGCTCGATAACGATCTATTTATTTAAAATATATGTATAACAAAATGCAAAGCGGCGGGCGCAGAAAAACATTACTTTCCGCTTTCTCGGTTCGACCGAACCAATTTCAGTCGGACGATCGATGGCTTCAGTGTCAGTTCGCGAGATTAAGTAATCACGAACGGTTGTATGCACCGGGCAACGAAATTTTCTCGAATGTCGAAGAAAATATCGAGCGTGACGTTCTTTTATCGTGGCAAACGTTTTCACGACTTTAACGCGCCTTCGAAATTATTCATTTCTCATCGCTTCTTCTTTAATAAATTAAATCAACGAAGTAAGAGAGCGGAATAACGGAACAGGAGCGAATAAAAGGGAAGGACGAGGAAAGGAAAGGAAGAAACGGAGGAATTCTTTCCGAGATAGGAAAGATGAAAAAAATCGAGCAATTGTCCAAGTAAATGAACAGAATGTAACTGTTTTTAATCGTAAGCTCTGGTGGTGGAGAGTGAATTAAGTTCGATTCGGTCTCGGGTGATTTGCAGCGTCATCCGGACGAAACAGTGTTTCTCCCTATGTTCGATCTTTTCGTTGTCACCATGAGCCCGAACTTTCGCCTCGGTCCAGACGTAACGATATCCGGCTGACGAAAATCTATTTAAATTTCAATTTCAAGTTAATCAACGTGTTCGTTACTGTAGACAAGTTTTTCTAGCGCGGCAAAAAAGTTCGAGTTCCAGTAACCTTTTTCAAAGATAAATAATAAGCTTCGCCGAGGATATACCAGAAATGGTAGCGGCGTTCTTTTGCCTGTCGTGTTCTCGACGACCCGATTCTGTCGTTTAATTGAGTTGTACCGATGATTTTTCTTTCCATTCTTGTAGGCGTTCAGTGATGCGAAAAAGGAAAGATATCCGATCGAAGTCGGGATCGCTCGTCCTGCCAGAGTATTGTTGGGTATCGTCGAGTCTCTCCGACCATCCGAACAGATACGCTTACGTATCACCGAGTCATTCGTTCGCGTACGCATGGGACGATTCTAATTCCAGATACCAACATGAGTGCATCGATTGGAAAGCATCCAAGAAATATACTTTTTCTGGAAGCGGTAAGTTTTCTTCGCGTAATTAGCCTGCGTAAAACTGAAAAGTGCGCGGTAAAGTCATAAAACGAAACTGTTTTCCGAGAAAACGCGTTTCTATAATTGATCGAGTGTCTTTGTTTTTCGCTGCAACAAAAAATATCGTTAATTCGTTGTTGCGTAACGAAAAGTCAGCACGCTTTCGCGAAACAATAGAATTCCTTCGCGAAAATGTTATCTACATATATTGCTTTTAGAATCGATATCGCTAAGATCGATTATTGACGAATGTATTTGTAGATATTTGTAATAAGGTGTAGTAGTAGTAGTAGTAGTAGTATTAGGTACGTAGTAATTATGATGGTTAAACGCGAGAGGATGTTAACGGTGCGTCACCGTTCGCGGTATGTAAACAAGGTAAAACGCGATGCGCAGACCGTGCCGTCACCTTTAAGCGTGAAATTCTTCTGTCCCGAATAGAGAGAAGTAGGCAATCACCGTGGAATTTCGATTTCTTTCGCATCGAATTTATCTCTGTCCATCCACCGTTTTTATATTCTTTCTACGATTTCTTGTCGGTGGCTCCACAGAAGATCGAAGAAACGTCAGAGTTCTCACGAGAATTAATGCTGGCGTAACGATGCTTCGGTGCATTCTACCGAATAGGTCCCCCGTTGCGTAACGACGAGACTTCGAGACCGAACGATTGCTCGAAACTCGCTCGAAATATCGAGCGTTACCTTGTTGCGAGTTCGATGGGAAACAACCGGTTAATGTGCCGAGTATGGTTCACGTTTTCATTAGAACGGTGTAATTACTCGATGTTCGCTCGATTAAGACATTCATTTTCTCTTCTGCTTATTATGCATTCTACTTGTTGCATTATCGATAAACTATCTACCGTATTAATTATCTAGTTATTTAGAAAACGAATTGTGCGAAAAATACTTCCTTCGCTCGAATCGTTTGTCTGTTATTAACGCGATATACCATAAGGGTCCAGAAGATTCTAATTCCGATAGAAGGGAATGTTCTGCCTTGCCTGAATTGATCTGCAAGGTTGCGGATGGCATTCTAAAATGCCATCGACGCAACGATCGAATAAATGCTATTTTAATACAGTCGCACCGCTACGCTGCGCTACGGTGAATTGCATAGCTGGGCGGTTCATAGAGGTCGTTGATAATTGGAGTGCGCGGATCCGAGGATACTTGAGCTAATTTCTATGGGAGTTACGTTCGACCGCGTAAGAAACCGGGCTCGCGTAAAACTGGAAAGATCTTGACCCTCTGCTGTTCCGCGTCCCATCTTACGAACCACTAATAGTATACGTATAACCAGTCTGCGACTGTACAGCCGATTCAACGAAATAAGTACTGTTTATATCGCTTAAACGGAAATAACGCGTATGACAGCAAGACTCGAGAAGCTCCCATGAACTCGTCGTCGCCAATGACCTATACAGCGGAGAGTCTCGTAACGCGGACGAGAGGGAAAATCTTCTCCGAGAGAAGGGATTCGCCATTCTCTCCTTTCGTAGTACACCTAGACACACTTATGACCCGGATAGTGAATATGGCAGTCGGGTAACATCCACGGTCTCATCCCGAACGAACATCTTTATTCGATCACTCTCTGTCGCGTTCTTGCTCGTCCCCAACATTTTAATTTTTCGTCTTTTTTTCACTTTATCTCGTTTCGTTTTATTTTTCCGTTTCGTCTCGAATTCTTATGTACCCGAAATAACCGATAGAAGGTTTTTCGAATACTCGGAAGTCGGTGGGTCACCTTCAGATACACTGTCGCAGGTACAGAGCGTTTCAAGAAATTCTTTCTCGAATCGTAAGCGCGTTTGTGTTTGTTCGATAGTGAACGTGTTTAAAGTGTATCGAATATTTTTCACGATTGGTCCACTCTAATATAGTTAATATCTCGAATTTTGATCTAGTGAATCAGTGATTAGCAAAGCAAGATGTGTCGTGAACATTCTCGATTCTATCGAGCGGATAACGGTTATACTTTTTTGCCATTTTTCCATTAGTGACACGGTCATCTTGGAAATAGCGAATGAACCACGGAATCGTCTCGATTACCACGATCGAGTTCGCTTTCCTTCGAAATTCACCGTTCCTTCCTGGCTAGCTCCGCACGTGCTGCGCTTAATTAACGCTTATTACGATCTGTTACGGACGATAGCGCGAGATACGGGTTTTAACGCGATTAACACTTCATAGAACTTTCGTCGAGTAATTTCCCGGTGAATCGTACACCTGCTTCTTTAAACGATTCTTTCGAATTCCGCATGCGAGACCGAATCGACTCGGTTTCGGTATTTATGCATTGAGAGCCATTGACGGAACTCGATAAGTCGCTGAAGGAAATAAGGAAGATTGTTCGTAGGCGCGCATTGAAATCTCGTTTGTTCGCAGGTATGGGGAACGTTATGCCATGGTTGGTGTCGATGTGTCTTCTAGGCATGCAGGAGTTTGTCGGTCAGCCTGGAAGTAACGCGTTGCCGCGGCAACTCGAGACGACGCCTCCGAAAAGCGGTTCTCCTAACTTTCGATCGGTACTATTTCGCGCTTTTTCACCGTACGTTATCGCGATAAAAAATGCCATCAATAAAGAATGAAATTTCACCAGTCTCTAAGGAATTACAAGGCACTGATAGCGGGTCACGACGAGTTGCCTGGTCACATAACGTGCATCTCGCCTAAACCGGAAGAAAACTTATCGGATAAATTCCCTACTACCCCCGAGTACAGTAATCATCTGTACGGTTCGACACCAGATTCGAGCGAGTACTTTCTAAGCAACTTCGACAGAAGTAGATCTCGTTCGAGACCGGCCAGTAGGAATTTGAACACGTTTAAGAGCGATCCTCGATTGACGAATCAGCTCGAAAGCCACGGGCTCAATTACGATCCTGGACGAGGACAGGTCGAAGAGGATTACGTTGGCCCTGCCATGCAACTGGTAAGGTTTTCTCCTACTACGCGCTTCGAGTACTCCGGCAAATTTATTATTATTATTTATTATTATTAAAGGTCTACGCTTGGTCCACGATCGATTACGTATACGATAGCGTGGAGGCTAGGGATTCGGCCATCTTCGACGGAGATTTCATCGCGGAGAATAACCTCCCTCTTGGTCTGGAAGTTTCGAAGGACAAGGTTTTTATCACTCTACCGAAATGGAAAGAAGGAATCCCGGTTACGTTGGCCACTGTTCCGAAAAACTCCAAGACTAAGAGTCCAAAGTTGAGACCGTATCCGGATTGGGGCTGGCATCAAAAAGGTCCTTACTCTAGCGAGTTGTTCAATACCTAATTGATCCGTTAGGAAATATCGAGGACATATCGAATATCACCGAGTCGAAGCTAAAATAGGGATTTTATTGCAGGTAACTGCGACGGTCTGACCTCGGTGTTCAGGATCCAGGTGGACGAATGCGATCGTCTGTGGGTTCTCGACACCGGCAAAACGAACGTAGCGGAGGGTGGAAAGCAAATCTGTCCTCCGGCAATCTTTATTTTCGATTTAACCACGGACACGCTGATTAGAAAGTACGTTCTACCGGAAGAGCAAGTGAAAGAAGATTCCTTGTACACGAATATCGTTGTTGACATTAGAAACGAGGACTGTGGTTCGGCGGTGGCGTACGCTTCCGACGTATTCAGATACGGATTGCTCGTCTACAAGTTCTTCGAGGACTCATCGTTCAGTTTCCAACACCATTACTTCTATCCGGATCCATTGGCTGCCAAGTACGAGCTCCACGGCACGAAATTCCAATGGACGGACGGGATTTTCGGGATCGCTTTGAGTCCGGTCGACATCCACGACGACAGAACCTTATTTTTCCATCCTTTGTCCAGCTTTCGAGAATTCGCGGTGTCCACGTCGATTCTCCGAGACAAGAGAACCGTCCAAGAGAATTCGGACTATTTCGTGCCCATCGGCAGACCCAGAGCCAAGGATTACGGGCATTCCTCGGGTTCCGTGATAGACAGAAACGGCGTGATGTTCTTCAACATGGTCACCAGAGATTCTGTTTGGTGCTGGGACACCAGGAAGGAGTATATACCTCAGAATCTTGGGGTCATAGGAACCAGCAATCTTTCCTTGGTCTTTCCGAACGATATCAAGGTGGATCACGAGTACGATCAGAATATATGGTTACTCTCGAACAGACTAGCCATGTATCTTTACGGAAGCGTCGATAGTAGCAAGATCAACTACAGAGTGTTCAAGGCTAACGCTAAAGAAGCTGTCAAGGACACCGTATGCGACCCTAATCACCTGGTGGTTGCTTCCGAACACGGTTACGACGAGACATGCTGAACTTTCCGAAAGTGTTGCTCTCTCGAAAAAAACCGTTCGCCTAAATAGTAAACATTTATGATCGCGTTTTAAGGAAATTATCGTTAGCCCGTTTCATTTTGCCTTCCGTTATCTCCAGTTATGGCGATTGAAAGGATTAAGCCGAAAGGAGAGTTCACGATTTCTGTACAATTGTAGGAGGATTGTGCGATAGGAGAAAGTGTAACGCGAACATTTAGCGTAAATGTACTATAAATGTAAATTGTAATTAAAATTCTCCCCTTTTTTCGGGAGAACCGCACTCTACTGGTCTGTACAGTTGGCAGGAAGATGAATTTCAATTCGGTGCCTAACGGTTCGTGCATTTGTCACGGGAATTTAGAAAAAACAGGATTTACGGGATTTGATGGGAACGCGGAAAAATAAACGACTTGGTCGTAATCGTCCGTAGAGAAGATGATCGTCTCGTTGGTAGTTTCGTTGGAAAAGGTTTTACCGTTTTCGTAAAAGTTCCCGGATGTTGGATCTGGAAGGAAATGATTATAACGAGGAAATTTTCTCGCTACGGTGAAATTGTCAGGAGGCGCGCGTATTCGTCGATTCCGTTCGTCACCGTCATTTATTTCGAGCGTGCTATCGTCGACTGTTATACCTTAAGCGGGGGAGCCGAGGAGGCGTTCGCGTTCGTAACGAAATTCCGGTGAAGGCGAAATAACTAAACGCGTCGAAATTAACGTGGCTCTCGACGGGCAAAGTGGTTATTTAAATTGAAGAGTTCCCCGATCGAGAATTACGTGACGAAATACGAGCCGACAGACCGAGTCGAGGATGATCGGTTCTCGTGGAATCACCGATTCGTTGGCCTTTCGGCTTCTTCGAAAGTTTCGTGTTCCTGATGCCTAGCTTCTTTCGACGACTTTTTGGCTTCTCTTTCCGAACCGAACGCTTAATAATGAATATTATAGGACTGGTAAGAGTTTCCTGATAATTAACCTTTCGATCCGAAATTTTTTTATGCTCTTTCGTTCTAACCTTTCGCGTATAACCTTCAATCTCGCGGAAACTATCTGTTCTGTAAAACTTTCGAAATTCTTATTTCATTTCGAGCGATAAACATTAAAACGTGCAAGTTCAGAAACGCGAACGTGGGAATTTTCGTTGTTTTCCGAAAACGGAAAGGAGAAAAGTTGGATCGATTCCGCTAACCGTGCGAAAGGTTAAAAATATCATACAATACGAAATATAAAATATAAAATATAAAATCCGCAGATTAACAGCACGTTGGACTGGAGTCCTCTGAAATGGACAAATGAACTGGAACAAATCCAAAACGTATCGTTAACTTACGGCACGCTGATTCTCGGCACGATCGGCGAGGACACGATCAAAACTGGTTCGAAACGATTTCAATATTTAACGAACGATATCGCGTAAACGTTACTAACGATTAAATAGGCAATTTCTCTAAAAAGCGAAATATTTGTTAGTTCTGTCATGGATCGTCATCACGCGAATCGTGATCGCCCACGTGTACACGTTTAGCTATTTGGCGAACATGTATCCGATATTGACCTCGAGCCGACCAAATTTACTGCTGCCATGGTTGATTTTGAGCTTTTTCAAGAATGTCGTACTGGAGGTGATCGTGCTAGCAGTTTGCCTCTTGTATTGGTACGACAAGAGATTCTCTTTGGCCATTTTTCTGGAGTTCGTTCTCGTTAAAATCGTACCTCTAAGTAAGTGGAGAATAATTACTTTTTTAACTTGCTACAAACCGAGTTAGATCGACGAACGAATATTTTGTCGAAATTCCTCGACTAACCTATCCCTGTATCCCCATCATCCTGATCACTTTTTACACGAAAATTCATTTCTCCTTTTTTCAGTCGTAGCCACGTACAACTGGTATTCGACTTCCTGTTTCTTCTTGGAACTTCACGCGGAAAAGACGAACAAGTTCAGGAGGAGCTTGAGAAGCGAAACGAATTTTCTAACCGGTCGTATTTTCGCAAAAATCCCAGATACCAAATACAGAAGCAGGTCGTTGATCACTTTGATATCGTACGAGAGTTACGAAACTGTCGACACGCAGGATACTATTTCGCGAATCTTCGATGATCCTGATTTAACACCGGCTCTGAAAACGATGAAAATCCTTGGTATCACGCAGCAGGACGTTGCAGAGGCTCGTATCAGAATAAGAGAAAGGGCAATTAACAAGAAACTGACCGCGATAGACGACGATTCTGTCGGAAAGGAAAAATTCCTACCGAAAAACTTCTTTATGCGCCGCGATGACGAGAGCGACGAACAGATCGTATCGTTTCTCGAAGGAAAGAACCGGCTTGCGACCATGGTAATATTAGAAATATCGTCTTTCGGCTTTGTTGTAGAGTTCTTTTTTCACCGTTACTCTAATTCGCGTTCTTCGTAACTCTAGAGAGTTACCGAGATTGTTCGGAAAGTTCATCAATTTTGTATGTCGATACAGATCGAGCAAGTTTCATCGCGGTCAGAGGTCGAAACGAAGGAGGGGACCATCGAACGTCTGCCACGAGCGGAATTTCAATATTCCGAACGAACAGAACCGAGTGATATCGAACAAGTTTCGACTGAAAGGCGAGAAGAAACGGACGAAACCGAACGAAGCGTGACGGACTGTACGAAGTTGTGCGCGACGACGTTTTATGGCGAACGCTCGTTCGAGAATAAGTGTAACTGTCCGAAAGAAGCGCAATCTTCGCTCGACTGCGATTGTACGATAGACGAGAAGTCGGTCGAAGAAACGACGGGGCATTGCTGTTTGCCCGCTAGCGAAATCGTGCCGGAGAATTCGACGTCGAAATCGGATCGTCGCGTGAACGAGTTTCGCACTTTTGCCTACAATTGCAATTTCCTAAACGAGAAGACAAACGATAGGTCAAACAGTAGCGCGCGTATAGAGGAGAAAATATTGGAAGAAACGAAAGGAAGAGCATGTTCGAGGAGATTGCTCGCGGAAGAGAAATTGAAAGAGGAGGTAGAACAAGTTACGAATAAAATGGGAAACCTCGAGATTAGCGAGCGGAAAACGTTGGAAGACAACGAGAAAGAGTCGAAGAAGACTGTTAAAGACGATTCGCGCGCGAAAACGTTGCTAGTGGACGAGGATTTGAAACAAAGAGTTCTGTTAGTTACCAATAAAATAGACAATATATTAAGGAACTTCAAATACGATCCGTCTTCGAGAAGATCGATGACGGAGCAGCTGGTCGAGAATCGAATCGAACAGAATCGCGATGTGCCGATCGAAGCAGAGAAATTTTCGAAAATTCTAAACGATACGATTAGAAAACCCGTGCCATTGACAACTTTTCGAATGGCAGCAACGATCGATTCGGAAGAAGGTAATCTATTTTATCCTCTATTTATCTCTATTTACTTCGAATCTATTCTCGTACGCGTTTTTCTTCTATACATATACCTTATTAAAGCTGTTAATTACAACCGTTTAACGATATTTGTTCGTTTCAAGACACGAGTCCAACACGGAAGGGTCATCGTTACGAACCCGAAGTCGTGGGAAATCGGTTAACGATCAATTTACCAGAGTATTCGTTCGGTGACACCGGCATTAGAAGATTCTTCGAGGATTCTATGAAAGTGTTCGACGGTTGCCGCGAACAGGACTTTGACGAATTGCAGTGTATATATCGGCAATTAGAGAAAAACAAATGGAATCCGTTCGCTGGTCCGTTGAAACGAGGCGACGAAATTTCACGGAGCACGGCGTTCCATTCTTCGATGGACGTTCGCGAAAAGACGGAGATGGAAAGGTATACCTTTATAGAGTATAGAAATGTTCTCGATCCCTTGGAATTTCTCGAAAATTTCTCCTCGTCTTTCAGATCGAAGACTACAGCAGCCTCGCCTACGAAGAACATTTCGCACCGCGAGAACCTAATCTCTCGAAAAAACCAAGTTAACGAACGATTTATCGACAACGTTTCCGGCAAGTTCACTCCTCGTAATGAACCCTCTTCTATAATTCCGACGAAAAACTGTTACGTTCAAACGGACCTGACGCGCCCTTCGTCCCATAAATCCTCCGAGCGCGTCGTCACGGACACGAAAAACCGCAAGAACGCGCCTTTGAAACGTAAGCGAGTGCAAGATCCAGCTAGCGTCTCGTCCATCCGCGATCAACGAGACGACAAAGCGGAAACGCGATACTTTCCGAATCCTCATCGGGCTCAAAAGCGAAACAAACAACACTACGACTCGAAGAGACAACCTAATGTACCCGAGTCATCCGAATCGGATAGGAGCGTGTGCGAGTGCAAGATGGCACAATTAGCGGGCGAATATTCGGAGCCGAGATTAGACTCGTCGTCCAATAAGAAAGATGATCGTCGAAGAGGCAAGTTGAACAGTTTCGGCACCGTAACGCTGTCGCGAGTGACTCGCGACTTGGAGGGTGTCGCGCACCGAAAGAAACCTCCGATCTGTCCGAAGAAACCGAAGATCAAGTCGATCGTAAAGAAACTCGAAGAGTCGAAAAAGTCGAACGCGAACGATCGAACGGAATGTTTCGAAAATGCCAGAGAAATGAGAGCGTTGAAAGCTTACAACGAGGTGACGTTGTGCAGGGACAAGGAGCATTTCGATACGCAACGGAAAATACTTTCGAATAAAACCACCGTAGAACTGCTTCCGGAACAGTCGAAACATCGAGGACGTTCGAAGAAAAGCAACCCTGTCAAGAAAATTGGCCAGGAGACGAAGTTAATAGCGGACGAGTACGTAAACAAAGAGAACTTGTCGGCCGATAAGTCGGTGAAATTGGAACCGGCGGCTACCGCTTCCATGTCCAACGACGATCAATCCGTGAACGAAGGCACCCGATTATTCGGAAGTTCCAACGAAAATTACGCCTGCTCGAATTTGTCCAAGGTGAACAGGGTAACGGATAAGTTATTCGACAGACTGTTCAATGTTCAAAAGCAAACTCGCGAGAAGAGTAGATTGGCTACCGACCTGGACACCAGGAAACGATTCAGCAAGTACAGTAACCCGAAACAGATGCTGGACGAACAAGTTGTTTCGGCATCGTCGAGTAAAAGATTGGAGGGTGTGCAAACGGGTCGTGAACTCGAAAGGACACCTGCAAAGGAGGATATCAGGGATCGATTCGCGAACGCGGATCCAACGTCGTCGGCTGTAACGGAATCTAACGAAGGTTCGATTAAAATTTTCCGTTTGATAATATCTAGCGATCGTAGAAAGTTTGAAAACCGGCATGTCTCGATATCTTTATCCGTGTACAGGCGGCAGCAATGTCGAGAAACAACAGGATCGCTCGTTGGTGACGATAAAGGCCAGAATAAACACCGATATATCGTCTTCGTGGTCTTCGAACACCGTCGATCAAACGTGCGAGACGCAGTCCTCGCTAGCAGGTGAGAGATTTTTCCTCTTATATTCTATGACGCGATTTCCGATCGTTCGATTCGTTCGCAGGTTACCCGCGTACCGAGGATCGATCTCCGTTCGCCGAAGATACGAAGAAAGACTCGGAGGAATCCGGGGATCGAGATGAAACACCGGGAACGAAACGAAACGAGAGCGAAGAGGATTTCGAGCGAGACAGCGGCAACGTGGAAAGTCTCGAAGACGAGAACGAGGAAAGCAGAGACAGGAACACCGATTACAGAGACTCGAGCAGGAACATAGACGTGAGCTACCTCGTTCACGGCGTAGTTTTAAGCAACGCGAACGCGGATACGAGTAAACAGCCGCGTCTACGAGACATCGTAGACGACACGACGTCTAGATTGCTTCATAACGCGTTCTCCTATGGATCCATGGACTCGATTTTCGATTTTACCGAAGACAGCTTAACCTTGGTTACGAACGATATAGCGAACGATAGCCATTCGAACGCGTTGGACGATTCTTTCGTTTGTCGATCGAGTAACGACGCTGTCGACGCGTTGTTCACCGACGACGTCCCGATCGTCTCGCAAGCTCCCGACAACCTCGAACAAACCATCGCCGTCCGCGAGCCGCGCCAGCTAAATCAACCGGAAGAAATCAGCGTTCGCGAAGGCGAACATTTAATTATAACGAGAGAAAATGTACGGCATGCCGGGATCGACGAATTTCGCTTGGACGATGTTCTGTCGAGCATTGGCCAGCTCCTGCGGACCCTGAACGTCGATAGCTTTAGTCTGGAAGACGTCGACGAACCAAGCATCGAAATTCTTCGAGGTCCTTCGAGGCAGGCCGATGCCGAAGAGGTGGACCGATTTACCGTGGACGATGAAACCGAGGAAGAAGAAGAGAACGAAGAAAGTTCGGAAGAGGGTGATCGAACGTTCAGATTCGTCGAGGAAAACATCTTCACGAATATCAAGTTTCCCGTTGTTATCAATTGGTCGGAGTCTCTGGCTGACGCGAACCATGCTCCTGAATCTTCGAATTCGATGTTCGATCGGCAAGTCGAACGATTCAAACAGATTAGATTGTTGCCTCTCCATGGCTTAGACGAGGAGAAGAAAAAAATGAAAGAAGATGCATTGTTGAGAAACGAAAAGCCGAAGAATACCGAGCAGTCTGTTTTCTTTGGCAGATTGGAATTTTCAGAACAGCCTGAACGAAGCGATTCGAAATTAGTCGGAAGTTGTACAAGCGTTTCTTCGGATCAACTTTTAACTGACGCGTATCGGGTAACGAAGGTAACGAGCGCGTCGAGAAGCGACGTAGAATCGGAACAAGATGAAGGGATTACCGAACAAACTGGCAAGAATAGTACGATCGAGTACGAGGAGGAAAGAAAAGAAACGATAGAAGCTCGTGAAATCGATCAAGCTGGCCAAGACCAGAGCCGAATTCCCGAATTAAACGAACAAGTGTCTTGGGTTAGCGTCGCTGTAATCGTCCTGATGGTATGCTGGTTTTACATTCGACATTTTTGGCAGACGATAGTATCGCCGACTCAAAGTTCGTCTCTGAAGCCGTTCGATATTCACGCGGTGCCCGCGCCAACGATCGCGCTTCTCGAGAGAATCGCGAACGACGAAAAAGAAGACGATTTACGCGCGGGACGCGAGAATTTCGAAGAAACGGAATATCAACACTCGGAATGTATCGAGGAAGAGGCGAAACGTTTATCGGATAACGTTCGAATCCCGTCATTTTCAAATTCCGACCAAGAGAAAACTCGATCGGATTTATCCTCGATCGCGTATACGATCTTCGAAGGTGTCGAAAGGTCCGAGGAAATTGTCTCGAAAGCGGAAAACGGAGAAGTCGAGGATTTGCGAGCTGCCGAACAAGAAATTCGAACTTTCCGGTTCGAAGAAGCGGACGACGACTCGAGTTCGGCCAACTCCTTCTCCGAACGCGACGAAGAAACAACGCTGCTGATCGATAGTGTTCTCGCCGAAAAGAAAGTCGACGAAGATGATCTCGTGGAAAAAATTGAAGGAATCGCAGGGAGCGGTGATAAAAAGGAACAGGATGCTCTAAGCGACGATGGACATCCGTTTAAAGCGGAGAACGCGGAAGATAGGGGGTTGTCGAAAGACGAAACGATGTTCGGTGAGGGGAAGCTCGAAGAAGCCGACGGCTGCGGTTCGACAGAAAAGAAAACCACCGTCGAATCCAACTTGCAGAATATCGACAGTTTCGATTCCACGTACAGTGAAATTTCGGACACGTCGCAACCTACAGTTTCTATTTTCGATGGATCCTCCATGGAAGAATTTCATACCGCTTTTAACCAAGATAATTGAACGCACGAACGAATTTGTATTTTAATTTTCACGATATCGACGAACAGGTTCTTTTAATTTCGTAAACAGTATTAGCTCCGTTTTCCTTTTATTTTCCAAATATTTTCTTTTCGCAACAAATAGTATTATTTCTTTTTCATCGTACAAATACGTTTGTTCTTTTTGTTCGTTCGAATTTTTTTTATTTTATTTTATTTTTTATTTTAGTTTCTGTTCGGTTTTGTCGTAAAAAAGAAGGATAGTTCGAACGCGATGCTTGTATTCATCGAATGAACTAGGCGTTTTAAAGAAATTCGCCGATATCGCTAATAAACGTTCCTCGAGCTGTTCGCTCGAATCTAACTACCCATTAGTCGGTCATTTTATTGTACGGCTCAACGAGCTTAATGCGCTTAATTAAATACAGTTCCTGTTTGCCCGATGTGGTTTTTTAAACGATCAACTTGATCGCTCTGTAATTTCTTACCTTCCGCCGCGCACGAACGAGATAAAAGTAAGAATCTTTTAAATTTAGAAGTTTCGGAAGCTGGCGAGAGTAATTGGGGAAAGTAATACTATTGGGGAGGTATACTATAAGATCGAATCGATGTTTGTCGCCGGTCTAGACACGTATTATAGGTATTGGGCAGTTTCCGCGATGGATATCGGTTAACCGCCGCGCCGCACCGGTCGCGTAGTAGGTGTACAACAGGTCCGCGACTGCCGCGGCGCTATGCGACGCGACGCTACGGCGTGCTGTTCTTGGCACAGTTTCTGATCATCTCCTATTGCGAGCAGATCGCGTGCGCGCGCGCGCTGGACCTCGAGCGTAATTTCGTCGCGCTACCAAAAAATTCGTTTTTCTCTTTTATTAGTTTTCTTCTCGGTAAAATTATTTCTCTTTAGAATTTAGAATTCGCGAGTGCTGCGTCGAAAAGAGACCGATTAAAAAGTGAGTAAATCGGAAGAAATCCGATTGATTATTTTCAAATACATTTTGACGACGGTAGAAAACGGTTTAATAACTTTTATGCGGCTAATCGAACGCTGCCGGACGCAACTCGATTTTCTATTTAAACGATTCGTCCGATCTTGCGACCGATTTCGGGTTAAGTTAGATCGCGATACGTATGTAAAGTTTGACGAAAATAGCTTGTTCCGAACGATTTCGGAGGAAAATTCGAACGAGAGGCTTCGAGTCGACTACGGGAAGCTAACGTGCTATTCGTTACCTTGGTAATTGATGGTAATCGCGGGAATTGTGTAATCGTTCGTGGCAATTTCTTCAATTTGTTGATAGTACGACGAAAGTGCTTCGTAATGGCAGGAGGAAATTTGTGTTTGTGTAGGTGCACCGTGATGCGCAAATAACGTTGAAAATTCTTCGCGATTTCTCGGGAAACGCGTTAAGAAAACGAGCCTGCCACTTCTACGTTCTAGTAACTACGGAAGACATTTTTCTTCCAACTATACGCGCTCTTTTTCTTACTTGTTGGACGCGTCATTGGTATTTCGAATCCGACTTCTCTTCGAGGATATTATGCGTCGTTACGAAATGTTTCTTTTCGCGACCCAGTCGCTGTTTTGCCATTCAGACTTGTACGAATTATCTATTTGCTTGCCGTTTTATCGATTATCCGTGCTCTCCTCGTCCGCTGTTACCGAGCTTGCTGAAATTTCTACTCGTTATCGACGAAAGAAAAGAAAAAATTCAGCCAACTTCGATAACGAACGAAACTGAAACGCAAACTGCTCGATATTGTTGGCAAAAATATTTTCTCAGCATCGTTTCGTAACCGAGCCTAAGTAAATATTATTTCGTCGGTCTTTATTCGCGTTGTTCTCGATGAACGTGTCGCCACTCGACGAGTAATGGAAATAATACGATATACATATTAATAATAATAATAATAATAATAATAATAATAATAATAATAATAATAATAACAATAATAATAATAATAAGAAAGAAAAGTGAATTCCACGGTCGAAACGGAATAATCGACGTCTGCGGAAGAAATGTACGATCGACAGGAGAGAGATATCCGTGCGAGCGGTCTGTGCGAAGATGCTCGCGGAAAGTAAAAGGAGGCCACGCCGCGGTCGCTTTATTTTATTCGACGGTTTACGAGCAAACCGTCAAAATTTACTCGTTATAATTAGTTATAATTAGTTATAATTAGTTATAATTAGTTATAATTAGTTGTACTTAGTTGTAATTAGTGGACGCTTTAAGAATTTCGTTTGATCGAGTATATAATCGCACGACGCGATTTCTACATACCTGGAGAATCGATTACGAAGCGTCGAAAGATCTATATTTAAACGATATTCGATGCACCTTCGATGACAGATACAGCTGACTCATTGTGGCGACGCGGATGCTGCGCGAACAACGCGTAGGCAACGAACCTTCCCATTAACGAACTTTCGATATTCGAACACAGCGAATTTAGACGTTTCTAACACGCGTTCGCGCAACGGATCCGCATGGCCTCGCGCCTTACTCGTACTTGTTAGCCTCGTTTTGCGCGCGACGCGTAATCGCGCTTTCTGTTTCGTTAATAATTTATTTTTCCGCGACGTTTCGTTTCTGACGAAGGCGAAAGTAATTCGACAAATTTCCCTTTCGAAACGTATAAATAGAATAGAGAAAAGGGTCGACAATTAAATGAATTTATTTAAACCGATGGAAATCGACGTCGCGATCCTCGATTCCGTCATCGAGACCGTAAAGCTTAAAAAAAGAAATGACAAGTAGCGAGGCTGTGACGCGTGTCGCGTCCATTTAGAAACGCGCTATAAAGCAACGACGGCGCGTCGAATCTAAGTAGAATCGGATCGGTTCAGGTGCACCGAACAGCCAAAGGTTTCTGAAAAATCTCGATATTCATCGTTACGACTACGTTCCTGATTAGACGAATACGAATAACGCGACTATTCGCGAAACACTTTGGCGCGTTGTTTGCGAGAAAAAAAACGCGTTGCGTCATCCAGCAACGGATCTGGCTCGACCTCGAGTGTTTCTTTTCCTCGAGACGGACTTTTCTCGTGGATTACGAGTCGCGATTCGTAGAGAATCCAACGCATTACAGCACGCCGACAGCATGCTTAATTTACTAGTTCTAGTTGATGTTGGCAGGGATACTTCGCTCCGACGTATCGTGTTCAGGAACCGTCTTTCATTCAAAATTCATCTTATATCGCTTCTACCGTTCATTTTCTTCGTCTTGCACGGACGCGTTGATCGAACGAATATACATATTAGAGCATCGATCATCGTCGGCTTAACGATAAATAGCGCGCTAGTAATATTTTTCAACTTACCTCCGCTCTTAAGTCTTAAGAGATAAACTATTAAGCATCTTTTCTTGATAGATAGATTCCTCGAGTTATTAAGATGTTCCGTATCGATCGAATCAAATTGGTTCGACGACTCGAATAAATGACAGATCGGCGACTCGAGCTGTTGGCGACCTGTGCGGTGGCCAATGTCAATGGACTGGTTCTTCGTAGGCTGACACGTTTCCTTTTTGCACGAGGTGAACCAGAGAATCGCGCGATGCGATTCCTTACGGGGCTGAAAAGACCTCGTGGCTCGGCATTGCTTGTCGTGACCGTGACACGCTAACTCCCGTTTTCTCCCGAATTTCTTTTTCTTTTCCTTTTCCGTTAAATACATCCCTTGTTCGAATGTACGCGTACTTCGAATCTCGATATCGAACATGGAAACGATTATCGGAATGTAAATCGTTTCGAACGCTTAAACGTACGAAGCGGCTAACGCGAGGACGACTCAAAGTCTGTCCGCTGAACGAATTGGGATCGAATTTTAATAGCTAACGAGTTAAAAGCTCTAGGTTTATTCCCTGAATTTCTACTCGAAGCAAAACGCTTTTCCCCCCTCTGTGCGAGGGAAGTTCGACTGGAAAAATAATAAGCGCGAAAAGGAAGGTCAGCGACGAAACAGCGAGGTAAACGAGTTAAAATAGAATAGCCATCCATGCCAATGACCCATATTCCCCCTATTCTTCACGCGTCGCGTAATAAACCTTGCCGAGTTTTACCGGATATACTTTATGCGATGGATTCAACGACGAATCGCGATTCGATAAATAACGCGGACTAATTCCCGCGATTCCCAATTACCGAGAGGAACGAGGAAGTTGATCGTCGATCGGCTTTAAAAATACGCGACCGCGTAACCAGGCTTCTAAATCTATCGGTGATCGAAATTCTACCGCTACGTTTATTCGCGTAGTCGAACGAACGAACGCGTAGATCACGGGTTAGAATCGCCGATCGAACGATCGAAATAAGCGAATTTCATTTCCAGGATGCAGCTGACAACGTGTTGTAGATGTTTTTCTCTGAAGACGGGGACATTATTTACCGGAGTGTGCGGTATAGTGAGTATCGTACGATTCTAACGAGCTTAGAGACATGGACTTGGGACTCGGACCGATTCGGAGTTTCTTATCTCGACGCGTATACGTACATATCGGGAACTAAAAATTACTAACGAATAATCGAAACTATAATAATCGAAGCTAACAAGTAACAACGACTAACGTCGAATTAGGTTAGGTTATTGATGCGATTTATTGCTACTTAGATTCTATCGATCCTCTCGTTGATTCTGATTTTCACTTTGAACGTCGAATGGAAAACGATACTGATCGACGTGTTGGACAAAAATATCGTCAGAATAATTTTCGCGATAAACCTCTGCATGACGATCTTGATTTCGACGTTGCTGATAGTGGGTGTTCTTAAGGTAAGGTTCATTTATTACGATTAGAGAGGAGCAATGAAACTGATGAAACGATTGTTGGTTTTACAGAGGAACACGTTTATGATGATACCATGGGTGGTGCTCGGTATTATCCTAGCAGTTGGTCTGTTGGTGAGCGTCATTTACACGTCCATCATGTTCTTCGTGAATCACGAAGTAATAAACGGTGTCCTGTGGCTTGTCCTAGGCCTCGTAGCTGTCGGTGAGTATTCGATTCTTCGGATCCGTCCAAATACGATCGAACAAATAAATGACCGTTTTGCTTTTTACCTACATCCGTTGCTTGGAAATGAAATAGGTCTGTTGTTTCTAGTGATCTACACGTACCTGTGGCTGGTCGTCTACAGCTACTTTCAACAACTGAGATACGACAAAATGAGCAGCAAAATCGGCCCATACGGTAGGCCGTACAACTATCGTCGACCTTGAAGTAATCCGAAATCGATCGTCTCCGCGAAGGAATTAGACTGTTCTCCGGAGAATCGGTGGACCAGAAATCAAAAAGCTGAGCCTAGTTTACGTCGATAAAATAACCGAATGAAAACAATTCGACGCTTCTTCGGACTTGTTCGGACACACCGTCGATAGGGTGGACTCTGCGCTACGCTATGGCACGAACGCTTACAACCAGACATTCGATAATAGAGTTTACGGAGAATAGAATTACTCGGAAGCCAGCATAAGCTCCCGATGTAAACCAGATTCAAAGACTCGAGCGGGTGTAGGCCACGCGCGAAACGGTTTGATCGCTTTCGAGAGGAGTCGTTCCAAATTCGATTATCGAGCTGAGCGATCGAGCTGAGAAATCTCATACTTCTCTTCGCGGTTCCAAACGTCTACGAGGTAACAGATGTTTATAGGTTGTCGATGTAACCGAAAATTGACAATTTACATTGCCGCCCCCTTCTGTTCGCGGTACCAAAAATGGCAAGGCTGATCCAGTGCCGGACGAAAATAGATTCCATTTTCAAGGATAAACGAAAACGTAAAGCGTACGCAAAAATATACGCGTTGCCTCATCGTACGGGGAACCAGTCTCTCCTACGCAAGGCTAACGACTGATTTTATTTATTTTACCGACTCTCGACTATATCGGGTTCCCATCGAAGATCGTTACGAGCAACGACGAATAAATTATTATCGTTTCTAATTGTTTTTCTCTTATCGCTCCTTTATACTAATAACAACGATTTACAGAGAGTTACACGGCGATTTCGCGATTTAATCGAACGCGATCTCCACGTTTTTACGAATAAATAAGGATAGGGCTGCCGCCGCGAGACCGGTCGCGTGGTTGTCGCAGCCGAAATCGGTTTCGGCCGAAGATCTTCGAGCCACGTGGATCCGGTCGTTGGAAAATCCGTTTCTACAATTTTTCTCCAATTACCAACCTTCCTTTTTGTTTGTTCGATTAAATTACGGATTAAATTACGGATTAAATTACGGATTAAATTATGGAAAGCAATCGAAGAGTTTTTTTTTCGATCGAGTTCTTTCGTCGTATAGGTAGACAACGTAGAAGGAAACGTGGAAAAATTGAGCAAGGATGCCGATCCTCGTATCTTGCGCATCGATAAACAACTCTTCGATTCCTTTTGCTACGATATCGGAGCAGATACGTACCCGAAGGAGCTGAAGCAGCCACTAGGATGAGACCAGCTAGTTATTAAACGCTGGTAGTGATCGTCGGTGAACTCGAGGAACCCTTCCATACCGCAGAGAAGAACTTTCGAAAGATAGCATTTACGATGCGTTCAACATCGAAGAAAGAGGAATACTCGTTACTCGTTACCTTCTTCCATCATCAAATCCATCGGTGTATGAGAGGGAAATCCGGCTCTCTCGATGTCGATCAGATCCTGAAGAATCTTCGAACAATAATACAGGATCAATTCGTCGGATGAAACGGGCAGAGGTTGATCGCATTTCATCTGAAAGACGAGAGATGTAGGTACCGATAGAGACGAAAGAACGTTTCGAAACACACGTAGAAAGACACGAACCGCTTTGGCAACTTGAACGATCAATAATCTATGCGTGAGAGGATATCCTCTGGTAAGACCAGCTTCCATCAATATTTCAACGCATAGCTCGGGAATCGAGCAACCGAAATACGATTTATTCCGAATAATCTGAGCGAGGCATCGGTCGCTTTCTTCTTCTTTGGGTGTTCCTTGCATTATCACCTCTCGTATATTTCGCCAAGTTAACGAACAATTGGCTTTCCATGTTTCTAGGGCACCGTTTCGCCAGGGTATTGCTCGCATCCATAAAACTGGATTATTCAACGTCTCGTGCACTACGATTACGACCTTTATCTTACTGAACGGTAACTCACGATCACGATCTGTTCGAGCAGGTCACTTACGTAGTCGAACGTCCTCGTTTCCTGGAATTATAATACCGAGCAGGTATCGTCGAATCGAATCGGAAACTTGTAAAATTCCCGTGAGAATCTCGCGATATTCGCTTCGAAGGTATAGCGCGTGTTCGTGGAGAAGCGTGCTGGCTATGTTAACTGTCGCGAAATTCACCGTAAAGTAGAGAAATATTTCGAGATAAACTATAAATATCGTTATATCGTGGATACGAATTTTGAATTTTTTTATTGTTACCTTGAACGATGGTGATAGACAGTGTGACATCGGCGTTCATTTGATGGGGTCTACGACCAATGTAATCGATTACCTTCGAAAGCGATAATAACTTTCGTTCTAAAATCAACGATTCCAAGTAACTTGACCGTCGCGTCGACAGCAATAATCTCCTGTAGAATAAAGTGATCTCACCGAAATGTTCAGGAACGAACTTTCCATCGATCGACCGTAAATAATCGCAGAAAAATAGAATCGTCCAGAAAGCTACGAATCTTCCGAGTCTCTCCATACTCTCGATGCCCGACTCCGAAGAAGCTGATCTTTTCTTTCTTGCAGCTTTTATACGTGCGACCCCGCCAACTTTCCCTCGCCTGCCGCCTCATTTTAACCGAGTTTACGCCGAATCAATTTGTTTATCCCGTCACGTACTCCCGAACGCGGAAATGCGGCCACTTTTCTTCGTGATCTCTTCGGGACCTCTTCGGGACGAATCAATCTAGCTTTGGCCAGACTCTCGTGGGCGTTTCATCCAGAGGATGGGACATCGAACGAACCGAAAGAAGCGATACTTTTTCCTCACGACACACGTTTATTGAGAAACTTCTTTTTTACAAAAAGAAACGATCGATCGTATCTACGTTTTAATTGAAAAGATATTTAAAAACAGTCGGGATGAAAAGGATCTATATAATCTTCGGACATGCATCCGCTTATTCCGTTGCTTATTCGCATGCACTTCCCTGCTCTCTTTCTAGTCTAAAAAATCGCAAACAATTCGTATTGTTAGACGGTGAAGGAAAGCGACTTGCTAGATTGTAAATACGGCAAACACTCGTCGTATTACACCACCGTTTACGCCTCTCCGCGTCAGCTATACAACGAGAGTCTGCAGTTGCGTAGACGTAAAGAAGCTTACAACTTGATATTCGATCTGACAAAACCTATCTTCGCCGTTGTCCATCTTGTCCTGTATCGTTTTAATCTGAAATTTTACGCGTAAAACTGAATGCATATATTGAAAATATTGTTAACGGTTAGAAAAATGTAGATGTTGCTGGTATAAAATTGATTACCATGCTAGGGTAACTGTACGTCATGATCACAGGATTCTGAATGCCGTTTAGCAGATTCGCCGATTCGACCGTCCTCGAGGAGATTCTTGCGACGAAGCTCGAACACGCGAGGATCAGAAGAAGGAAGCGAACCAAGTTCGATGTCCTTTGCATGAAACGCAACATTTAACTCGTGACGAACGAACTGATTTTCGAAATGAAAAACGAACGAATCGTTGTTCGAAATGAACGAGTTACCGGCCGGTTGCCAATTTATCGACGCCGACTTTCGGTGTCGATGCTCGTTCACCTGAACTGAATACTAATTTACAATTAACGGATCTGTTCGATCGATTCGTGAGCCCGAGTCCGATAACGTGACCACGGTGCCACGGTTTGAAGAACGTCGATGAAATTTTCGGGTTTTTAAGCGCAGCTCGATCGCGAACCGGCCACGTACGCGTACAATATACGTACGCTATAAACTGCCAACTACTCTAGGCTGATAACGCGTGTTCCGGATACGAAATGAACGATAATATTCGTTAAAATTGACCGAAATACCTTTCGAGACAATCGAACGAAACGAGCTACTTACATGCTAAACATTTATTTGCTGGTAAGATACTCGGTTCGAGGATGAAAAATGCTCAAGAAGCAAACCTCTACTGACGTTACTCTGGCTACAGAGATCTTTTATATTCGTCAAGAAGCCAACAAAATATCATTTCAGTTACGAAAGGGTTTCGTCCCTTGAAAGGGGTTGTGATTATTTTCGAAATACGTATACGGGCGCGATAATATTTACCATTTGCTCGAACTATTGCTACCGATAAAAAAATATTGCTGCATTTGAAAGTGAAATGCGCGGAATGTAGAATTAAAAAATGTCCAGTTCGTATTTGAAATTCGATGACCGGGAATCAAGATCGAGACATATCCAAAATACTTTTAAATTTCAGATGTCACCGTGTAACGTTCGATACTAGGCATTTTAAATTTAAAGTTCTTTCGCGTTTCAGAGATTTAAATCGCAATAAATTTTATTAAATCGTCTCTGCCATACTTTGGTTTATTTATGGAAGGGAATCGCGCATGCACGGACTCTGATATTTCGTTGCTTTCTCGATACGATATTATTGATTCCACTGTAGAATTGCTTAGAAGCGGTAGAAGCACTTTATAAAAATAATTCTTTCGTTTATTTGTTTAATAACATACGGCATAACCGTTTACAGTCGATAAACGATCGATAATTCCTATAAATTAGCTTTAACGCCAAACAGTCGGAATCCTAAATTGCGTCGCGACAGAGAATCGTTTCGAATAAATGATCATTTACCTGCACGATAAGCCTGATCATTTTATTTTCGGTACGTTATAATTTGTATAAAACATTGATTCGCCGATTCAACGATATCGCCGTTTCACGCAAACAATGAAATTCCACAATTTTACTAATCGATGCGATTCGTATGTATACATATAAAGTAATAGAGAATATCCTATTAAATGTAAAATATTAATACTTGAAGAGAAAAATAAAAAAGGAAGGAGCAGAAACTATGTCGATATATCACCAGCCTTCTACAAATATTCGAGTCCTTTATATTATATAAACTAACACATTTTCTCGAATAGATTTTATAAACATATACATATACATATATCTATACACGTGTGCATCGATAGGAAAAATATACACGTATTCGCACAATTTACACTTTCGATAACATAATTTCTGATAGTAGCTAGCACACGTAATCGTAAGAAATTTCATTGACTGTACTTTGTTATTCGTCTCGAACGCATTCGACATTTTAGTGTTTCGTTTCTTAGTAATTAATATAAAAGTTGATACGAAAACGCAAACACGACAGAATATTTCGAATCTGCCACGAAATTTCTCACAAACTATTATAAATGTTTCGAATTTAAAACGCGAACGATTATTCGACCGCTTAAACACAATATTTATGTACAATTAACGCTTTCTGTTTGTCGTAACGTAACTAATTAAACTAATAACTTCCTTAATCCAGGCGACTCCGAAACGATATCGATTCGCAATGATCGGACATTGTAATAGAAACGACTAAAAATTTCAACGATACCCTTTTATCCTTAAATTCCTAGTTATATGTACAATGCAAAATATCTTTTCATATTTTCTACGATGGCTTACAACTTTCTTGGATGATATATTTTAAAACGGTGCAACTTATATCCTTAATCACAAATGATTATGTTGTTCCGGATTATTTTCAAATTCGATCTCCAACTGAAGCCTATAATCCATGGTGACGAATACGATAATCAATAGTATGGGTAGACGAAACCTCGATTGCCATCCAAGCTTCAGCATGAAAATCAGAGCACGATGGAACGTTCTGCCGCTTCCTAGGAAAACTTCGGATGCCATTGTTCTCAGGAATGCGACGATCATTCGAAACCGAATATCCGTTTTCTGCTGTCTACTTTAGTCTTGGAGCTGGAGGTATCGATTAAAAAAATCTATGGTATTCCAATATTCTTGAACGATCGGTTACATATTTGGATTTATCCTGTAAAAAAGCACAACAATTTAGAATAATCATAACAATAGCTGTTCATAATTTTGTCACGCAGAGGTAAAAAGTACTTCTTCCAATTTGGCAAACTAACCATTAAGATAAGAAAACCAGCTTCCTTTTCGAGTTCGTGACGTATCAGACTCGCGACTGACAGTCGTCTACGTGCAACGTAATATTTTCAAGAGTATTCACGACAGGAAACATCGCTTCGTTGAGGTTAGCTTTAGAAGATATCGATATTTAGCCAGTGAAAGGTTCGAAACGATCGTGATTAATAAAATGCTCGTTAAAACTTCTTCGTCTCGCTCATCGACACTTTGACAAACATAATAAAATATGTTTATTTATTGTTGTAACTTCCAAGTGTATCAATTTGACAGATACGTATGATTTACACCTTCGATGACGGTACGTACTACGTACTACGGTTCGTTCGCGATATCGATGCGTAATCGATACTTCGATACGATTCTATTGTTTTCGATTTCGAGAACGCGAAGTAGGAAATTTGAAAAAGTCAAATTCGGAAAGGTCAAAATTGGAAATTGACTGAGAATCGATACGTGCGAGTGCGCGTTCTTATTTCGCGATAATTTCAAGTTCGTCACAGTCGATCTACGAGAAAAGAATGGACTCGGAGTGGGGATATGTCGAATTACTGCTCTACGGAACAGAATAAGTGCTGATATCAGTATTCGCGATCGACGGTCATTGGAGAGGTCGAATAGGATAAGTATATCTAAGAAGAAATATAACGCAGTCGTTAGTTAGACACAGGAGCCATGAATATCAACTTCGAAGGAAAACGTATTCTCGTCACAGGTGCCGGTCGAGGTATGCTACATTTATAAATTTAAATCCGATTTCTATTTAACGGGCAGTTTACGCTTATTTCGATCTTTTTCATCTAAAAAGAATACAATGAAAAAATGGAAATAAATTTGTAAGGTTCGTCGAAATTTTGCTAAATGGAAACTTCCTTATTGACCGAGTATTTCCGAATCGGATCGATCGGCGATAATCGTTCGTTTTCCCTTACGTACTTTTACTCGACGAGCATAAACGACGATAATATTTGTATACGAAAACGATATATTCTATCGAATTCTGTCGAATTCTGTCGAATTCTGTCGAATTCTGTCGAAATAACGTTAAACGTTTGAAATTGTGAAAGTTACGATCGTGTCGAAATGCGTGTACGTCGGAATATCTTTGACGGAGAAAAATAAATAAATATATTGGAACGTTCCATCGAACGGATGATAAACGGTGTCGAAACGACGCGTTCGCATCGCGTTGGTCGTGACGTCGCTGCTTCTCAATTCCCCGTGCGGGGAACAAATGAAGAAATGATCGACTTAACAGGTTAATCGCGGACGTTTGCTTGCAGGCATTGGCAGAGACTTGGCCCTTCGGCTCTCCGAATACAAAGGCGAAGTAATAGCGTTGTCGAGAACGAAAAAGAACCTGGATAAATTATGCGCGGAAGATCCTCGTATTAGGAGCGTTTGCGTAGATTTACGCGATTGGGATGCCACGAAGAAGGCTGTCGAAAGCGTGTTACCCATCGATCTGTTGGTGAACAATGCAGGCGTCGCGCATTTGAAGCCCTTCCTGGACGCCACGGCGGAAGACTTTGACGAGACTTTCGCCGTGAACGTGAAATCCATCTTGAACGTTTCTCAAGTGGTCGCGAGAAACATGATCGAGAGGAAGGTTGCCGGCAGTATCGTCAATATATCTTCGCAGGCTTCGCAGGCAGCTTTGAAGGATCACGCTGTGTATTGCTCCTCCAAAGGAGCTGTCGATATGTTGTCCAAGTGAGAGAGGAACCTCCGAATTATGTAGATTATGTAGATACTCGGTTGCTATAAACGCGAAATTGAACGTATTCGAAATATCGCGAACATTTTATTTCGATCTAACGAACACTAGCAAATTATTTATTATTATTTTGCAGAACAATGGCTCTCGAACTTGGTCCGCACAATATTCGAGTAAACACGGTGAATCCTACGGTGATTATGACAGAAATGGGAAAACTAGGCTGGAGCGATCCGGATAAAGCGCGAACCATGTTAAGTAAAATACCGCTTGGTCGGTTTGGCGGTGAGTACTCGAATATTCGGTAATATTCGAACACTATCGACGACAAGTTTCACTTTGATTTTACCCTCGCAGAAGTACACGAGGTCGTCGATGCAGTTACGTATCTGTTGAGCGACCGGAGTTCGATGATAAACGGTGTTACGTTACCGGTAGACGGTGGATTTTTAGCAATGTAAATCGTAAAACGTATGTCGTGTCTGTCTTAAGAAAGCTCCCTTTTCGAGAGCTAACGGTATTTCTGTATTTTAGGAAGGACAATATGACGACGGATCAATCGGATATACAAGATACCATGGTATAAAGAAAAACGGTATTAAATAGAGGAATTTTATTAAATAAAATAAAAATAAAAAAATAATTTCTTCCCCATCCCTTTCTTTTCTTTCAGACGATCTTACACGAAGAAACATGTATACGCGTATAAAGAATGAAAGATAACGAAAGGAATCGTAAACGTACGTTAAATCTAGATTCGGGATAAGTGAAAGAGAAATGCGAACACAATTACTCGTTTATCTCGTTTAATTTAAAAAACGCTTCGTTTCCTCTTCCTTTTTTTCTTTTTTCAAAAGTTTTTCTTATCATTTAACTAGAATTCGGCGAGCAAACGGCAGGAAACATCGTGAAACGACGTAACGCTCCTGAAAAAAGTAACATATTCGTCTCTTTTCTAATCTTTTTTCTCTAAAATATTCGACCGAGACACGCGTATTTTCGTTTCACGATTCGCTCACCGTTGTTCGTTTCGGTCTAAAAACAAACTTGTTCGTTTCAGCTCCTATAATCGATAATTACATTATCTCTACGATGAACATAAAGTGGCGGAGAAAAACGCGAAATCAGGCTGCCTTTCGAGACATTGATCGTCGAACAGGCGTTTCTTTATTTCTTCTATCTCGCGTTTCACTCGATTCGCATTCGAATCTCTCGGAATCGATCGGCTGCGAGCGAAGCATTCTTTTTTCTTATTAAATTAATCCTTTACAGCAGCGATTCTTAATATCGTTTCGCAAAATACGATTAGCAAACGATAAAGCATACGAAAGATAATGGAAAAGAAAGGAAAAGAAAATAAAAAGAATAGAACGTAAATCGAATCGATCCTGATTGCGCTAGTTTTCTTGCTCCTCCGCTAGAGAGGTTTCGTCGTGTCTCGTCTTCTGTTTATCAAAAATTAATTACAAACCGCGTTTCTCGTTTTATTTCAAAATATACACGATATTACGTCGCAGATTAAGAATCACTATATGTATACATGTATATCCTACGATTCGATAGAGTACAAGTATTAAAATCGATAACACGTATGAAACGTACCATTCTGTTCAATACACCTTTGCGCTATTACCCTCTTCGCGCTCGATCGCTCCTCGGTTAGCTGCCTACGTATTTTTGATTATTTTGTCGCTTGGAAAAATCGCGTTTCTATCGTTGTCGATACACGCTCGCATTTATCGTTCGTTATACTTAGGTCTCCCTTGATCGAGGGAAAGAAACTCGGTACGCGTAATTTTACCGCCAAGTGTTCTCTCTTCGAGAAAGAGAGAGAGAGAGAGCCTCGATTTATGTTAAACAAGAGAAGCCTACCTTACACCCGAAACATACAACGCGAACAATTAGCGTTTGACGAAACAACGCTTCGTTCGTCGACACTGCTCGCGTACAGATCGAGCGAAAGACGTACGATAAACGAAATCGAATAGTCCTTTATTACTTTGCAAGCATCGATTTCGAAATATAAACGATTCTAAATGGTGGGTTCGACGCATTCGGTATTACGAAATTCCCCAAAACAGTCAACGACTTTTCGATTCGTTTAGCCGCGAACAGACCTTCTCTGTACAGAAACGATAGACGAAGAAAAATGAACGGACAACTGGAACAACATCGTTAATTTTACAATTGCACTTTAGCTGGGAGCTGAGGAACTCCTGAAAGCACGAAAACGAGAAAAGATGGCTTAAATTTTCGTCGCGCCGCGCCGCGCCTTATGAATTGCCGATCCACTGGAATAGCGAGAGTCGTGGCAACAAAATGCACAAGTGGATCGGTGTTCTAGCAGCGATCTCGTTACATTAAACTATCGATAAATTGTTATTTTTCTTTTACATTCCGATCCGCCCATGCTCGTAATGATCTTAATGATCGTAATGATCGTAATCATCGGCCGATCCCAATTTCGACGACGCGACTACATTTTACCGCATGTCTAATCTTCTTTTTCTGTTTTCGATCGTTGATCTCTTGCCATCCTTGCAGAAGTTATATGACGCGTTAACACGTTTCGCAACGTGCGACGTACATGTACGTGATGGAAAACCGCTGGTCGCTCGTCAACGCTGTACTCGCGCGGCATATTCCTTTAGGCGGTGAATCTACACGCTAAAAAAATAAGTAAAAAAATGTTATTCGACCACGTACACCCGGATGCAAATTAGGCTTCCTTTGGCTAAAAATTAGCGTAAGAGAAGAAGCCCCTCCTCCCCCAACACTTTCATCGTTTTTCGAATCTCCGTTAGAAATGACGAAATTACAAGTTTTCTATTTGTACGTTTGCGAATATACCGAGCATAGTAAGTAGCCCCTTTCCGACGCATCGTCGTTTCCCCAGGGAAGCCTATCGTGCTTGCCAGTGTACGCGCCTCCTGTATATCGTAGTTTCTGAGTTACGGTAGGTTAAAAGAAATTCAACAATTATTTCTTTTCAAACGATCGCGTGACGAAGGGACTCGTGCAATCGCGGCTATTTACTAACGCTTACGTTTCTACAGAAACTTCGAATAATTAGAATAACGTATCGTTCGTAGCTAAAATATTAATTTACTGTATGTAATGCGAAAACATTTAAAGAGAGAGATTACTCAGAAACTACAAGGTATACAGCGTGAATACGTTGAAAAAACGTACGCGCGAATCATCCGTGCACGCGAACGAATTCGACCGACTTATCGCGGTCGGTACGTTATTAACGATAATAATTCTGTTTTCCGGTATCGGAAGAGACGAGTCGAAGAAAGAAAAGCGTGGAACGCGCAGCGAGATAAGATCTCCTCTAAGAAGAGAACTTTATAAAGTTTATAAATAAAGGACATTTAACCGTGGTTACGGCGTTAAGAAAAGGACAAGAATTTGTGTTCGTGTTCACGATCGGCGTGGTTAAAAGGGATTCTTCTCGAAATTCGCCAACGGAATTAACTCGACGATTAAATCCGTGGGTAGACCCGCTACCGTCTGTTCGTTTAGCCGCTCGTGCTTTTCATCAACCTACAAAGAAAGAAAGCGTGAATTCTAGGAAAACGGCCAGATCTCGAAGATGGCAAGAGAGAATTTACTACATATGTATATGTATATATGTGTGTGTGTGGCTCACAACGGTTAGGTGTTTATGTGGAATAATGAGAAAAAGGAATTCGTACTAGAGTGCATCGAGAATACTTTCAACGAAATAAGAAGAAAAATTCCAACGATCGTTTACCATGTTTCACTTATTTAATAGTGTAGAAATGCGCGCAACGTAGACTATTCTCTCGTAGGCGAAGGAGAAATATAAAGGATTTGTAAGAATTTGTGATAGAGGCGTTACGAAACTTATTACGAGACAGAGGCAGCCCTTAACCGAAGAAAATCCTCGTTGCGCGCAGATATACGGTACAACTACAGGCAACTTGTAAATACTCCATAACCTTTCTGTGAACGCTGCTTCGTTTCTTTCGTACGATACCGTAATTTCGATCGAACGCGCGTACGTATACACGCCGGGACATTTGCACCGCACGCACGCACGCTTATCCTTTTATCGTTTCACAATAATTTTCTCTCAAATAAGTCGTACAGTAATTCTATATATGTACATATACAAATCGTATCGATACAAGTTTCGATTAGCGTAGCTACTTATCAGAATACCGAATAGAAGTTTAACCGTTTGCAAGTTTAACGGGTTATTCGTCCTTTTTCATTTCGTGGAAATGTCAAATCTGCTGAACTTTGTCGAAACGAACAACGAGCTTTGTCTGCAAATGGTTAAATCGCGTCGATTCACAGTCGAAAGTAAAAACATTCTGGAGTATTAAACTTAATTACACTTAAAAGTGAACCGTTCAATTTATTGCTTCGTTTTGCTATTTCGAATCACTGCGAAATAATTTTAGCTAGACGTCGTTCGATTCGACCGAATCGAATTCGTAAAGTTAACCAGCGACGACCGCCGAGGCAGTCAACGGGTTAATCGCGATTTATACACAAATATATATTTATACATCGATGCCGTGATCGTCGTGACGCCTTTGACCCGGAGACCACATTTCATAGTACGTTCGTTCGTATTCTATTTTCGTAACTTTCCTTTCAGCGTTCCAACTGCCTTTTTAATTTCTTTTACTTTTTAATACGCTCTTTTATTCCCGATAGCCGATAACTCGACAATGACGAAGAGAAAGAAATAAAAGTAGAAGGAGAAGAAGCTTCGCTAGGCCGAACACGATCAATTGTGCGAGATCGTTTTTACTTTGTTTCTCTGGTATTTTCGTTCGATTGGATTTTCAGGTTATTCGAGGATATTCGGAAAACGATCTCGTTCCACTATCAAAATTTCTCTCCTAAATTTACAGCTTTCTGTCTGATCTTCTTTCCACGCAATCTTTCGACACAACCAAGGATAGATTTCTTTCGATTTCGATTTAACTTCTGAAGACGCGGTGCGTTTCGCGTGGCTTAAATAAAGTCTCACCGAACAAAAGATCGTATCGATCGGCTCGAGAAGGCAACTCTCATTTTTACAAGAATTTCCAGCTATAACTTTTCGATGAAATACTAGCGTTTTAATTTCCAGAGAAAGAGTACCGCGACAAGACTCGAGAGGTTTCCTGGCAAGGGTAACAGCTGCGACTCGAGCGAAATAACCAGTCCGTTTCGCTATGCTGCATAGAACGCATCTACGCTCGTGGTTGCTTATTTGTCCTTTTTCTTATTTTTTGCTTATTCTCCGATGGAACGATACGAGAGAAAAACTTGACCAAACAGATATTTGTTCGCGTATCTTTCGGACGTGGATATATCGAGTTCCTCCTGACACCGGCTTGTGGGGATAAGTGTTTCTCTTATCCTTACGTTCAAAATCGATCTTTCGATCCGAACCGAAAATTTCTAACTTACTTTCGACAAATTTATTAACGACTTTCTTCGAATAATCCACTCGATAACTTTTGCGACACGACACAGCCCACTATTTTTTACTTCGAATCTCGAGTGTTTTTACCTAAATGGTAAAGTTGCCGTAACAGGATCGTCGATGCGGACTTTCTTAACCGTCTCGAGTAGATCGTTACGACCAAGTTTCTTTCTACAAGTCACACCGATAATAAATAATGTGTGATTAACGATTAGAGCAACAACAGCGGCAGTACTTTCATATTAATAATTAATCGGTAAATAGTAGTAGTAATAATAATAATAATAATAAAGTAATAATAATAGCAATGTTAATACTCTATGAAAAAAAATACATAGAAAAACACGTATCGGTACAATATATATTTATAAGATATACGTAACCTTCTTTATATCACTCTTTTTGTTCTTCAGATATTTCTATGGAACGCGCTCACGACACATTATACAAGAGGACGATAAAGGGAAGAGGAGGGGAAGAAATAATAGGAAAGACAGAATCGTTTCGATATCGATCGATATCGATCGATACAACATTTCACGATATTATTCGGTACAAACTGTATCGCCAGAAAATTTGATAAAACATCATTGAAAATATTTCCTATTGCCGGATCGTTGGCTTCTCTATGAAAAGAGAAATGGCTCGGAGAAAAAAAAATGAAGCACGTACGATAGTTCGTTAGAAAGAAAAAGAAATTGAATAGTTAGACGATAAACGATATGTACACGTATGCTAGTAAGTACGTGTTCGATGAATCGAAATAAAAATCGATCGCGTTACGCGTGTACGCTTTAATGAACAGAAAGTTTCGACGATAGAATTAAAATCGAAAAGTAAAATCGTGATATCGATCCAGCCATTCCTATTCGTTCCGTTATCCCGTCTTCCCCCTTACACTAATTTAACACGCTCAACAAAACTCGAAGAGTCAAGGTAATTGTCACGTTAAAAACGAAAACTCAACTTTCATCGTTTCTGTTAATTCGCGGAACGGAAATATTTAATCTATAAAGAAGAAAGTACGATAAAACCTCGAAATTTCCGTGCGCTCGAAGCTTCTCGTTAGCCCGCGAACCCCCGTCTCGGTGTTTCGGGGTTAGCACCGAGTTTTTTTCGCGTGTCGGCAATTCCGTTACATCGTTCTGGCTGGTCCAATCGGTATAGGTATTCCAGGGAACAGTATAGGTTTTAAAACGCGCGCGTTTAGCGAACCGTACTACACTTAACCCAGACTTCGATTTCTCGAGAGAGAGAAAAATATCAAAGTTTTACTCGACCATTCTTTTTCAGTCGTTTCGAGAGAACGAGTAACCAACAAGTTCCATTCACGGTAAAAAAGGAATATTATTTATTCAGAATATTCCAGGAGCACGAACTCGACGAGAAATAACGCACACTCCACACCTCTCCGTTCCTTTCTTCGAGTCTCTCTCTCTCTTTCTATCTCTCTCGATCAGACAATGCAACATTACTCGATACACGCGTTTAACAAACAGACGCAGTCGACATACAGCACGCACTCGACATACACGCACTGGACACGGAGTGAACGAGGGAAATTGATTTTCACGCTGTTCATCGCAGATTTCCGTCCGGAACAAATTCTATGCGAAAATATCGATGTAGAAAATGTGGAATAAAATATTTTCATCTACTCGATCATTTATTTATACCGTTGTATATGATATTCAAAGATTTCTTATCGTTAACGTTCAGAATAATAAATAAATGTTTCGACGCGTTAACCGGCGTATGGTCAACTGTTAGTATGGCTTTTCTATTTTGGCATCGAAAGCGATATTAACGAAACTAATATTCTGAACGAGTGATCATCTCGTTTTGTAATATTTCCCGATCGTACGATTACTCGATGAAAAGAGAAATATTTGCAGAACGAGGTCACTTGTGTCGAAAGAATTCGATAAGCGCGCGACACGAGCCACATACGTTTCAAATTTTTTCCGTATCCCGTGTTTTGCATTCCCATGAATCGAAAAATAAGGGAATTTCTGTTCGCGGCTGAAAACCGAACAGTTTGAAATTCTATTCGACGATAAGTACTCGATAGTACTCTTTCTCGATAGAACAATTTTATTCCACATTCTCGACTTGGAATTTTCTGTACGGAAGTTTAATCTTACTCGTGAACAGAATCAAAGCCACGTGCTCCTCGTCTCATTGTTTCGATAATCTCGTATAAAAAGAAAATCGAAAAAGAAACTGGTACAAAAGAACAGAAGGAGAGGAAGAGACGTAGTACGTTCGCGAATAAATTGATCCGCGATCGAATTTCTACGCGATAGAAATACCAAGATCGCGTCGAACAGCGCGCTCGATTCAGGGCCGTGTCTAGAAGACGAATAATAAGCAATACCGACCACGACAATCCGTGTTACGCTCTGTACTTGTTCGTTTAATTCGTTTCATTTGTTCAAATTGTTACTAGTTCGCGTAAACGAATTTGAAGAAGATCGAAAAAGCAAATAAAGAAAGAAAGGAAGGAAGAAAGAAGAGAAATAATAAAATTAATGATACTTGCGATTAAATAATTTATTTGTTATAAAAAGTATTAAAGTCTAATAAAATATCGTAGTAAATTTGATAAAAAATAATATCGAGAAAGGTAATTTTCTCATACTATGGGAGATATATACCGTAAGAAATTTCTCGAGACGAATCTCGATCGCTAGCTTCTGACACGGCCCTGATTCGATCGGCGTACCGCGACTGGTGTGTCGGTGTTTCTTTCTTGCGCGCGATACGAAATAGCACAACCGTACGAATTATCCTTATTCCTTGGTTTCAACTTACAAGCTAGTCGTTTTCTCTTTTGTTTGTTTATTCGTTCGGGGAAGATGAAGACAGTTGTACTATCGGGGTCGGGGAGGAAATGGTCGAGAGGCCGGAACGTTGTTAGCGCAAAGGAGCTTGACTCTGACTGGTTTTCTTCGGGTTCGCTTCGAAGGGGATCGGAAGGTGCAAGGAACGGTTCGTCTTCGATTTAACGGTCTTATCCGGTTGAAGAAGCTCACGATTTCGCGCGTGCACGGTTTTGGATATCCGGGATCCGTCGTCCAGTCGTCGATGACGATTCTGTCTATATGTATGTACAAACGATGGTTTTTTAATGAAAAAGTTCGATCATCGACGCGATTACGATTTCTCTCTAGAGCGAGCCAGCTTCCTGCTACCCGTCCGTTAACGAGTCACGATCGACGTATCCACCAAACGTACGTTGGAAGTAGACGTAGACCTTCGAGTTGTACGATTCGATTCGAGGGCGACGAGAGAGCAGGCTCACCCTAGTTCCCACCTAGTCGCGGCCATTCGAACTAATGGCCGAGATTCGAACAAGTCGAGCTTTCTCTTCGGGATAAACGTACGACGTCGAACAGAAATTTAATGTTCGCGCGAACGTTGTCGAGATGCACGAGCACGAGTTGAAATATTCCTAAAATGCCGATACAGGAAGCACCAGATATATCGGCTTTTATCGGATTTCCGAAAGGAATTCGAAAACTCTGCGGAATTTCTCGCCCTTACGAACTTCCGATTTCTCGAAAAATACACGTACGATAATCGAAAATCCCGCCAATTCGATCGATCTCGAAAGAACAAAACGATTCGAAACATTGGACGCTAGCTTTCGGAATTTTCCTTCGAATTCGACGATCTCTCGGCTAAAACGATACCCGCCGTGCGCCGTTACGAAAAGCGTCCACAGTCGAGACGGTCGGTCCGCTAATTAAATCGTCGTAAGGATTCTTCGGAAGATGTTCACTCTCTCGACTATCCAGAGAAGCTCGATCGCTTCGATTCGTCTGGAAAGATTGGAAAATCGCTTCGTGAGAGATTCCAAACAGCTGTGGTCACCCGACAGAATTTAATCGCGGTTCACTCTCGGCGCCCGACACTAGACACTCGACACTCGACACACGTAACTCGGAATCTTCGTTGTCTCGATCCCGATCTTGAAAGACTTCGAGACGATAATCGTTCCCCACTCGGATATACTATTCGTTGGCTGTTCATTTTGAAAGACTCGGGGCGGAGGAAAGATCCTATTAACGGATCGCGACATCGAACAGCCACGCTCGGCAAAGCCGACGGAAGGTCGTTGTCAAGATTCGCGAACAGCCGAGGTCCGTAGATGGCTAAACAACGTCGTCGAGGATGTTCCTGGAGCCAGCCGACTATTGCTCTGTTCGCCGCGGTCGTCGAATCAGCTTCGTGCTCCGTGCAGCTCCGTGCAGCTCCGTGCAGCCTTGCTTCTCTGAAGATCGCGTGTCACGTCTTGGAACTGTTGAAAATTCCGAGTCTCGATCTGGTCGCGAGCGTCTATACATCGATTATCCGTCGTTTGCCGGTTCGATGAACGCGAACCACCGCGAGTGATAACGTCAGCAACATGGTACCATCGGCGAGGAACTCGACGAGTCCGAACAAGTAGAAGATGGCTACGAGTCTGCTGCTATTGCCATTGGTGGTTCATTTCTGCTGAACTCTTCCCAGCCTGGCCAAAATGGTGAATAGGGGCGATTGTATTTGACGTTGTTCGAAAGAAAACACCCAGAAAATACATCGACTATTAACGTGACCGTGAACCTAACCACATCGACCTCTCCTTCTCTCTTCGTTCTTTCTTTTCCTCGTCAATTTTTTACTTTTTTCGTCTTTCCTTCGCTTCGTACCTCGTTCGTTCCACGAAAACGTTTGCTACTCGAGCGTCCGCTCTATTCTCTTTCTACCTTTTCCGCTAATCGTCCGCGTCTCGGCGTCAGTTCGTTTCTCGATTCGTGTTTTCGTCGCTCGTATGTATCGCGCGAAAAAATAATACGTCTTTTCGAAGGAGACCCGTTCAGTTTTCAACGAATCAGTTTTCGCCCGTCCATACGGAACATTCGAGAGACGAATCGAATCGTTTCTAGGACGATATAAGGCAAACGCAGCGACAGATGCACGGTAGGATGAAAAGCTCGAAAGCAAAGAGACTCGAGGGCGACGAGGTTCAGAGAGAAGGACGATACATTAGTATTTGTTTGTTTGTTTTTTGTTTTTTGTTTTCTTTTTTTTTTTTTTTTGCGAGGCGAATGCATGTGGATATCTTTTTTCCCAACGATTTCGGTTTTTGTGCTTTTTTTTCTTTTCGTTTATTTTTCACCGGTGTCCGCTACCGTGGCACAGGAGATTATTTTCGACCCCTCTTTGCCTACATTTGCGACTTAGGATTTAGTGTCTTAGCTTTCGGTTACCTGGAAAAAAAAATTCAACGAAAGAACGTAAAGCAGGACGTATTCTAGCAGAGTCTCGATGCCGGAATTTGTTTTCTTTGTTCGGTTTGCTTCGTTAACTTTAACTACGTATCCTTCCCACGAAAGGAGTGACGAAAAGGAGTAAGGACGGGAATCGAGGAACGAAGGATAGGAAAAGGGAGGTGTCTCGTTCGATCTAAAATTGTTTTCGTCGGTATTACAGCTCGAAACGAATCGATAAGTTAACGGAGCCTATACGACCGTAATAAAAAGCGTATAAGCTCGAATCGATTATTTTTTTCCGCTTCTAATAGCAACGAAAATAATTTCAACGTTCGGTTTAAGACGCCGTGTGTAGAGCGTAACTTGAAAAAAGGCCCAGTGCATCCCGATAGCAGGCAAGTAAGTTTCAACGTCGCGTTTGGAAAGAATGTTTCTTTCGTTTTTTAACCCCTCGATGATCGATGTCCCGTACCTTCGTATCGTATCGATCGTTAGCTACGTTTACCGTATCGTGTGTGCATACTTTTCTTCGAAGCGAATCGATTCCACGAGTTATAGCTATAGCTAGCGGCTATCGCGGCTAGCGAACAAACGAGAGAGAATATCGTAGAAATACCGAATATCTAAACATTCTTTCCAAAGGACAAAGTGCATACCCTCTTCCCCTTCTCAATTTCTCCCTTGATCCGTACAGATCGAGAGAGAACCATGCCACGGTATCAAGACACCAAAATCTACGAAAATAAACTGACCCGTACAATTACGATCGAATGCAAACTAAACGTCTATCACCGACATCTAATTCGGAATTGTTCTCGATGATAAAATACCGGACGAAAAAGAAAAACGCAATCGGTATTACGATCGCATCGTGTCGATAACGCACACGACGCGTAAGCGACTACTAATAAGCTATTCGATTACTTTTCATCGAGTAACGACAAATAACTGTGACGCGGTGATCCGTGTCGATCGAAAGATTTCGTGAATCGAATCGCGATACGATGTGCAATGTTTCATGCAATATACGATATAGAACGATATAGAACGAAAGCACCGAGTGTAGCGAGCGCCGATATTCGAAAACCTCTCAAGATCGATTCGATCGTACTTTGGCGTCCAAAAGCTCTGTGTCTCTATGTAGGTATAAATACAATGTACGATCGACGTCAAAAAAACAACTCGTCGCGCACCGTTATCGGAGCATGTTACACTTGGATGCTATTAGAGATGACATTTGCCACGATACGTAATGAGAAACTCACTTGTTCTTCGGCTGCATTTCACCTGCAGCTGCATCCCTGCGATGCAACCTCATGCTGACCCTTCGCTCCTGGAAAACGCCTCCTGACACTGAAATATATCAGTAGAAAACAAATGATTCGTTGCCACTGAACAAACCGATTCGGAAAATTCAAAGGCAGCTCACCCGTGTCGGAACACGAACTAATATTAGTTGAATAAATTCGAAAACTTTACGATAAATTCCTTTCTTCGATAAAAGTATACGATACATTATATAGTTAGATAAAAAAGAAAGCTGTTTCTTCGCCTTTACGAAGAAAAGCCTTTACTTTCACCTATCAAGAAAGGATGAAATTTTTCATTAACTGAACCACGATCGAGATTTTGAAGAAACGCGTGTTCGATCGTTGCTCTGCTAAGTACTTGAATCTCTGAAAGGCTTATATTAAAAAAAAAACCTAACGATTCTTCGAAACTTCTCGGCTAATGCTCCTATTGCATATAAAAGGATCCCTAACCAGATATCGAACAAACTTATTCTCGAATCCTGCTGCATTGTTCTCGATTCTCGAAAACAATCGGTGCGAGCGATTGAACGTTGCGATTAATTCGAGAAGCGAAAGAGCGATTTTCCCTGGAAGAGAACAATTCGCGATCGTCGCGGCACAAGAAAACAAGACGCTAGAGAACTCGGTCGAAAATATCAACGATCGCGTTACGAAAGCTTAGACGACTATTACTCCACGAATATTGCGCTATGAAAAGAAAACGAGTTTCGAAGACTAGCATATGACCGGTACATTGTTGCGAACGCGAAAGAAAAGTTCGCGCGTTACATCGGGATCCTTACTATCTTCTTAGTAGCGCTTATATGAATCGAACAAGAAATTTCGACGGAAAAATGACAGGATTCGAAGCTCGCCAACGGTCTGAACGACCGTGCGTTACATTTTCGTTGCACGCGCGAAAAAATTCCATTTTGAACAATCGCTCGAGCACTAATTTTTCTCTTTATGTTTCTCGAAGAATATATTCGATTAACGTCGAAATAATTTCGATAAATGTAAGGTGCGAGACGATGCAGGAACAAGCGAGTGATTTTTCACCCTTGGCAATTGAAATGGAAAAAATATTTGATCATGAATCGAAAAAGAAGGGAAAAATCAATCGAGATAAAAATGATGTGCCTTCTCGAAGAGAGATGTGATGCGATAGCTATGAAAGAAAAATTTAACGAAAAGGAAACCGCAGTAGCGTTACTCTTTTACGCGAAATAAAAATGAGAAACAAACGTATATACATCGATTTGGTTTTTCCATTCAAGCCAAGTGAGAAAAGAATTTTGACAAGGACAATCGACAATGTCGTGTGGTAAAATAAATAAACAGACAAGTCCTTGAATGGAAAAACATTTATTTACTACTTTCTCTTTATCATCGTCGTTATCGTCGTTGTTGTCGACGCTAGAGAACTCGGTCGAAAATATCAACGATCGCGTTACGAAAGCTTAGACGACTATTACTCCACGAATATTGCGCTATGAAAAGAAAACGAGTTTCGAAGACTAGCATATGACCGGTACATTGTTGCGAACGCGAAAGAAAAGTTCGCGCGTTACATCGGGATCCTTACTATCTTCTTAGTAGCGCTTATATGAATCGAACAAGAAATTTCGACGGAAAAATGACAGGATTCGAAGCTCGCCAACGGTCTGAACGACCGTGCGTTACATTTTCGTTGCACGCGCGAAAAAATTCCATTTTGAACAATCGCTCGAGCACTAATTTTTCTCTTTATGTTTCTCGAAGAATATATTCGATTAACGTCGAAATAATTTCGATAAATGTAAGGTGCGAGACGATGCAGGAACAAGCGAGTGATTTTTCACCCTTGGCAATTGAAATGGAAAAAATATTTGATCATGAATCGAAAAAGAAGGGAAAAATCAATCGAGATAAAAATGATGTGCCTTCTCGAAGAGAGATGTGATGCGATAGCTATGAAAGAAAAATTTAACGAAAAGGAAACCGCAGTAGCGTTACTCTTTTACGCGAAATAAAAATGAGAAACAAACGTATATACATCGATTTGGTTTTTCCATTCAAGCCAAGTGAGAAAAGAATTTTGACAAGGACAATCGACAATGTCGTGTGGTAAAATAAATAAACAGACAAGTCCTTGAATGGAAAAACATTTATTTACTACTTTCTCTTTATCATCGTCGTTATCGTCGTTGTTGTCGTCGTCGTCGTCGTCGTCGTCGTCGTCGTCGTCGTCGTCGTCGTCGTCGTCGTCGTCGTCGTCGTCGTCGTCGTCGTCGTCGTCGTCGTCGTCGTCGTCGTCGTCGTCGTCGTCGTCGTCGTCGTCGTCGTCGTCGTCGTCGTCGTCGTCGTCGTCGTCGTCGTCGTCGTCGTCGTCGTCGTCGTCGTCGTCGTCGTCGTCGTCGTCGTCGTCGTCGTCGTCGTCGTCGTCGTCGTCGTCGTCGTCGTCGTCGTCGTCGTCGTCGTCGTCGTCGTCGTCGTCGTCGTCGTCGTCGTCGTCGTCGTCGTCGTCGTCGTCGTCGTCGTCGTCGTCGTCGTCGTCGTCGTCGTCGTCGTCGTCGTCGTCGTCGTCGTCGTCGTCGTCGTCGTCGTCATCGACGTCGTCACTATCGATAAAAACGGATCGATTACAAATATAGAGGACGGTTAGGGTAACCGTGAAAACTGCCGCGAAAAGAAAAGACAGGGAAAAGGATAAGAGAAAATGATCGTAAAACGCGGTGAAAGGGAAAGTAACGATACTCAGGATCCAACGTATTGCGAGAGAAAAGAACGAGAAAAGAAGCATATTCGAGATTTTTCAGATTCAGGACGAACAGCTACAATGGTTAAACAAAATAATGGAAACGCTTGTTACAGGTACAACGTCTCATTTTATTAACACGTTGAATGCTAGTAAAAGAGAAACTAATTTACCACATAATATTTTAACAGAAATTATTGATCGTACGAACGCGCAGTTTCCTCTTCAATTTAATTTCTTAACACATTTCATTTTAGCGATACAACAGCTAGAGCGTTCGTAAGTTTCGTTTCTTCTCCTTCGTTCGATTAATTTAACAAAATTAATACTCGAAAATCACCGTTTTCATTTTCCCCTTTTAATAATATTCGACAAAATATATCATCGTCAAATTTCTCGAGCGTTATTTTAATCTGATAAAATGAATTTTGATCTCCACGGTATTCAACGTGTTAATATGAAACAAAATGAACACATTGTGGACCATAAATATGGCAGTGGAGACGAATCGAAAAAGAGGATGTTAAGAGGACCGAAATAAAGGAACAACGGACGTGCGCAATGATCACGATGGTAGAGCATGCCAATGACAATAAATGCTCGGAATAATTACAATTTCAAAAGATCGAAATCGCGAACGATTAAATGGTACGAATAAGACGCTTGCCACGGTGTCTCGTGTAATTGTTGCCAAGAGATTTCTAATTTCGTTCGAAAAAGATGATTGTATTCCCTGTTCGTATCTCGCTAGCTTTAACCATCGTAGAAAGAGTGTAGCAGTCTTGTAATCGTCGTAAGCCCGCAAAAGAAAGACTTACTAAGCACGAATGATCACGATAGTAATTATTTATTTTCTTCAACTGAACGTTGAAGAAAACGTATCGTGACGACAATTACATGGAACACCCTGCGCATTTCATGGAGCTTGCATCGTATTATCAAGATTTCGATCGTATCTTTTTAATAGATGGCGTTAGCGTAAACTCCGAGGCTTTCATGATAGATAAACGATCATGTTGCGCGTTTCGAGTTTCTCTAAACAACAAAACGTTCATCATACGCGTACGATATTTTCATAAGCGCAATTGAGCGCGCTCGAACGCATTTGAACGTTAAGCGAATGTCGCTCGTTAAGCGAGTGATTTACATATCTCCGGACGTCTTCGTTGGTGATCGGTTGTCTCCGTCGCGAGCTTCTTCGATGTATAAAATTGTACGTACGGCGTGACGCGGCTTTCGCTTCTCCCATTGTCCTCGTATACCAAAAGACTTCCTCCATGATACACCCCATGTGTTCGTAGAAATTCATTCCCACTAACTGCTGCTCTTGTACGATGTTTATCAACGCTATCAAATGGCTGCATAAAATGGAAAATATTATATGGCTGATTTGTAAAAGAAACCATCGTGACGGAGACGACCGAACGCTAACAAAAAGGTGCCCGTAGATAAATAGTTCGAATACCAAGCAATGAGTAAATGAAAATATCGTCAAATACGAATGAGAAAAGAAAACCACCTTACAAAACTAGCTCGCTCGCTCGTTCACTCGCTCACCCTCTTATTACCCCTCTATCACTTTTTCTCTTTCTCTCTCGATAGTCGAAAAATTAAACTTGTTTGCTTACTTGTAAATGTTTGTAGAAAAATTTCGCGCGGTTTCGTTTCGAGGATGACGGAAATCCTTTTGTGATTCTTGCTCGAATTTCCGGCGACCTCTCGCGAAGTGCAGCGCGATAATTTAACTCTTTTTCTTTTTTCTTTTTTCGTTCAAAAAAACAGATCCCTGGGCTAGATTTAGTATTTAATCGCGTCATCGTTTTTCACCGTATCGTGTTTCTCAGGGATCTTTTTCGCAAATTATCGCGAGACGTGTAATTGGTATTTGGTAATATCGCGTAATACGATTATATGAAAATATACCCGCAAAATGCGTTATCTCGTTAGCCAACAGAGTCTCTTTCTCTTCGATATTTCACGATTACGGATTGGAACATGATCGACAGCGTACATTGTTATGCCACCACCCCATTGTACTTTGGTTTTTCGCCTATTTAGTTTCGACGATTTAATCGATCGAACGAATCCGAAGGCATCACGATGGAAATCTACGTATCTATCGATCAAATAGTATTACAGAACAAGGCAACTGACCTAAAAATTTCAAAATATATTTTATCAAAGTATCAAACTTTTTAACTTGGCAAAAATGTGTAATGTTTAACGATAGACAACTCGTGGACGAACGACAAGAATAATTATTGAACAGTTTAGAATGTATCCTCCACAGAAAAACAGTTACTTAAAACAGTCCGCGATAGATTATTGATAAGAAAATTTTAATACTTTGGGAAGAAATTGCAGAAACTGAGAAAAGAGCTGACCTGACGTAAGAACGCACTGAAGTATCGGTAAGAAACCTTGCTCTCCACGAGTAACGTAACGAAAAGTTCGTAAAAATAATCTGCGACAGAGATAAAAATTTAAATGCAAGTGCAAAGGAAAATATCGAAAAGTATGCCCTTCAATATAAGAAGATTACTGTGTCGCCGTATACCATAGTCTACAGATTCGTTCGAACGTGTTCCACTAAAACCATCCAAGTTCGAAATCGAGACTAGCCATTCGACGAATTGTTCTTTCTTTTCGTTGTCCACGATTTTTCCCGCGGCATCATCATTTTTCTCAGCATCGGTAGACGAAATGTTCTTTTCTTTCTCTGTCTCGACCTCTGTAGTTACCGCGTTGGTATTCTCCTCGGGTAAATTCCTCTGTTCGTCGTTCGCGCGAAACGTCTTACTTTCCGGTTGCTCGGTAAATTCTTTAGCTTCGTTCGCGTCGATCAGAATCATCTGATCTTTGTTCGTATCGCGTTCAGGGCAGAAATCAGCGTTCGACTCGACGCGAGGATGACCAACCGGCAAACTCGACAGACGCACGATGAAATCGTTTTTATGCAATCGCTGCAAAAAATATTCGCACTTTTCCCGATTACTCTGCGGCCTCTCGTATTTATTTCGTAACCTGATTCTGCGCTGCATGAGTAAAAAATGCCAGCTTCTTCGTACGCGTTGAAAGAAATTCGGTCGCTTTCGCGTCTTGTTCATCGACGAGTCCATCGATTTTTTCGACTTTTGAGAAGAATCTCCTCTTCTCCGTCTCTGATTCTTCTGATTATAAAACAGCTTCGGCTGTCCCTCCGACAACAGATCCACGCTCTTACGTTCCGTCACCGACAAGTCTATACTCCTCTCCAACGATTCGAGACTCCGATGGTTCTTCTCCTTGTTACTGAAAGAGAAATTTCTCTTCTTCTTGCCGGAACCTTCCTGCAACAACTCGCTGCTGCTTATCTTGAATATCTCACCTTCCTTCTCCAAAAATTCTACGTTTCCCGAATCGCGGCGAACGTCGTGGGTGGTGGCATGATGTCGACCGGCGATCGTCGAACATTTCTGTTTCTTTTCGTCGGAATTCGCACAACCTTTCTCTTTTTCCAAACCACCGAAGCAATTCAACGAACCGGCGGATGCTGCCGCGCGCTCCTCCTCCACGTAATCGATCTTCTTCTCGTCTAGTCTACGGTATATCTCGTCTAGTACGCTACGATACGACATCGTTTCATGAAATACGTGTTTTTCGGCTGTACACGATCTCGAAAAATAACCCTGTTTCTCTAGCTGACGAAACGACGCATTCGGACTACTCTCGATTACTCTACTCGCAGAATAATCACGGGACATACTACGATTTAATTCGGCACGATTCGACTTGGACGGCTCGCAATATCTTAATTTAAGACCCCCAATGTCCAAGGAGGCTACGTCCGGTGTTGTTTGTACCGGTGACGACTTGAACGTACTAAACTGACAGGGATTAGTAGCGCGTGGGGTTTCATTGCCATCTGTCTGCGAATATCCGACCACGGGCTGCTTGTATCGGTCGGTCATAACCTGCTGCTGGCTAAATATTGGGTAGAACTGTGCTATACCTGGAAGATCTCTCTTGTCCTGATTGTCTTGATCGCGAAGAGCATCTAGTGCCTCGCGTTTCTGCCGCATGCTTCTCAGATTTGTGGCTGTTCCGCTGACGGCCTGGCCCACCGTTTCCACTGACGCGTTTGCCAAACATTGCCGTGTGTAGGGCCTGAAAATTTCATTTCAAAAGTTATAACCGTTTAGAGCGATGGGAATACTTTAACTTGCATTCGAACAAAACTTTCATTTACGTCACTTCGTTTTGGTAGATGTTAAATTTGATCACGTTACAAATTTACATGTTTTTCTACCGCGTGTGAAACTTCTATTTCGAAACTACAAACGTCGTAATACTTCGAGAAGCCCGTTCAAGGTTAAGAACTTTGCGAAGGTTAAGAGCGAATAGTAAATTTGCTTTAGACTTAATTCGTTACGGTATTAGAAGGATAAGATACGTGTCAACGAACGACATGAAACCAAATGGGATACTTTTTATTTTTACCCCAACAATTCATTGGCAGTTATGACACGATTGTACTAGAAAAGAGGATAAGATCCGCATTGCTACCGCGAACATTTTCTCCAGCTGTATACGCGTGATATCGACGTGCTTGTCTACGACATTATCTATCGTCGAAACGAGTCCCCTGTATTATAAAACAACCGATACGTAAAAACCGAAGGAGAGAGGTATATTTGATTATGCGTGTTGTTAAACACGACCATTTCCCGATTCATTGACCCAAGCCGCCTAAAATAGAACGCACCGAGTAATAAAATGACCATGCTATTTATATGCGTGAAAAGACAGCATGGCGCAGATGCGATAGCTAACATTTTCACGTCTAATTTGGTAGCTGAAAGATTTTGCGGAATATCCTCGGTTTTCTGGTTGTTGTCCGTACACCAACCTAGATCGATGTTCCTGATCGTTGTTGGTCCCAGAAGGCAGGGCTGCATTCGTATGTTGCGACTGCATCGGTGCCTGTTGCGTTGAGGACAATGTTTGTTGCCTGACATTGCCAAACTTCAACATATTCCAGTCGAAAACGTAATCGTAAGTGAAGCCCTCGCCGTGAAACAATGTTCGGAAGAGTTGCCGTAGATACGAATAATCCGGCCTTTCCTCGAATCGTAGCCCTCGACAATACCTTAGGTACGACGCGAACTCTACTACAATAATAAGGGTTTCGTATCAATTCGAAGAAGCGACGTTAAATTAACGCGTGGTCGATTTACATATAAATGAAACTTTACCAGGATAACCCTTGCATAATTCTTCGACAGGCGTGGACATTTTCTTTTCAGAAATACGCTCGTACTTTTGTCTCTTTGTCGCTGCTTTCAAGCCTTGCCAAGGTAAACTACCTCTGTTGAAATACATAAGAACGTACCCCAATGATTCAAGGTCATCTCGTCGTGACTGTTCAATCCCCAAATGTGTATTGATACTCGCATATCTGTTAGTGTACAAACAAATTTCTAAAGATGCGTTTACACGAAACGATTGCCGTTTAAATTCAGTGAAATGATACATCGATTAACGAACCTGGCTGTTCCCGTTAGATTCTTGTTTTCTCGATAAGCTATGTGTTTGTGAGTACGACCATCGCGGTATTTTTTAGCCAACCCAAAATCTATAATATACACTAGATTTCCCTTCTTTCCTAGTCCCATCAAAAAATTGTCTGGCTTGATATCTCGATGTATAAAATTGCGACTGTGAATATAATCTGTTCGACTTATCTGTGAGGATGGAAACAGAAAAAATGGTTAACAATTTTATAAATTATATCAAAATTTTTAAACGGTCAAAAGGAATTATTTCAAAATTTTATTGTACATTGAAATTAAATAAAAAGCAATATACAATATACAAAATATACAAAAGTAGGAAAAAGAGGAAAAGTAAATTAAGCTGTATTCGACAAATTTTTACAGTCCTTAACTATCGTAATTACTGTACGTGTACACAGCATGGAACTAGTAATGTTAACTAGACTAAGGAGAAGAAGAACCTTTGTGGTATATGCTTTGTTTTTCCATACATTTGTTCCGTGTTTAGATCGATACCAAAATAGTTCTTTGTTGGAGACACTTTGACCGTGACCAAAGCTTTACTTTCTCCTGATGCAATGTTTTAGTTGAGATCGGAAAGCTTTATTATCAGCCAACATGGTTATTAGCTGATAAGAATGTAACTTATATTGTCATTTATTTCAGTAACAGAAAATGGACTGACAAATACTTGTACATAATCGCAACATGAACTTTGAACGCTACAATGTATGCTTTGTAATTATAATGATACCGTGGAAACAGAATCAAAGATTTCATTCAACAAGATAACGCTGCATTTGTAATCTTTTGTTTTCTTCTTTTTTCTTTTTCCTCTTTTTTTCTTTTATCAAAGGACAAGTTGATGCAGAGAATCATAACAATGATAAAGATTAATATTTACCAATTGATCGGCAAGAAGCAACACTGTTTTTAAGGAAAATCTTCTTGAACAAAAATTGAATAGATCCTCCAGCGATGGACCAAGTAGCTCCATTACCATTACATTGTAGTCACCTTCTGAACCACACCATTTTATGGTAGGTATACCAACTGGAATTTTATGGTAAAATATTTTTTCGATAACTATAAAATCAAATTTACATAATAAAACGTTCCAATTTATGTAAACATATAACATAGTTAATTTAGAAAATAACAAATATGTACAATAAATCTAATGTTGGATGACTAATAATAAAAACAAATATATTTCCTATGTAGGAAACCTAAAACTATTTATATGCAAATACTGTACAATGAAATTAAGAACCTTAGCGGCAAAAAGGCGACAGATACGTTTCTATAAATTTTAAAGAAATTAATAAAAACTGCTTATAAAACTATTGTTTCTTACTTTACATCGCGACACGATTGTGTTTTGATCGATGCATGACAAACGGCGACAAATCTGAATTTGCATTCTTGTTGCTCGAAACAAAAATGAGGCTTTAAATTGCAGGTTTATTATCGGACATGCGCTTGGCTTATGCTGAACGATGTTAAATTTTTTCTTAGATACAGTACACAAAATACGCAGAAATTTGCAAAAAAAAAAAAAGTAATCTCTGCCTCATTTGTCGCAAGGTGCTCAATTATTTATCCCACACACGATAAAGTTGAAAAAAAAATGAGCATCAAGGAATTAATCGAACAAAGACAACGAGTGAGTTTACAATCTGTAAAATGGTAAAGCTCCGTATTACACTGTCACAGAGAATGGTGACAAGGAAGGGGAAGAATGGAGTAACATAGAGTAAAGGAGGGGAGGGGGAGAGGGGATAGAGAGAAAAAGAGGGAGAAAGAAGGTTCAGTGGCCAGCTGTCCAACAAACACAAAATTCTGACAGTTCTCTACCGATAGACCTCTCACCCATTTATTTAGTAAATAACTAACAAAACTTTACTTACCACCACCTTGCATCATTCTGTAAAACTTTGATTCTATGTGTAACTGCGGATGCCGCGTTTTTATACATTCTAACTTGATCGCGACTTCCTCGCCAGTAGAGATGTTGGTACCTAAAAAAATGTCAGACACACATTGTAGAAAAAAAAAACAAGGAAAAAAGGCTTGAACATGCATGGGGGAGTTGGCGCGTTTATACGCGTCGTAGGGCAAATATGTAACTGCCGTAACTGTCGTGGGTAGGTGGGTGGATAGTGGGGAGTCGGTAAGGTATAAGTAAAAGGTAAACGTTGAACTTGGAAAGAAAAAATTTTTACCTAGATAAATGTCGCCGAAAGAACCGCTCCCGATTTTCCGTCCGAGCCGGTACTTATTCCCAACGCGTAGCTCCATCCTCCAGCCTCGAGGGGCTTATGAAGAAAAGTAGCACGGGGCAAAGGAGACTTTGGGCAGCCGACTCGAGGAGCGCTCGGAGGCTCCGTTGTTACACTTGAAACGAGATCTGGCCGCCGTGTTACAAACTGGATAGGGCCTCCATCTTTGGTCGCGTCAACGTTCGCGGACCTACAGGCATTTCTTCTTTCTTTCCTCGAACGAATACTGTTTCTCTTCGCTGCGATGGCGGTTGCGCTGATGGCGCTAGTGTCGTTGTCGTTGTCGTTGTTGCCGTGTTGTTGACGGCGCTGCGATTGCCACTACCGTTGCTGGCGCACAGAGATCGTGCAGTCTATTATTCGTTCAACGGGAAATCGTACTCATCGTTCGATGACTTTTTACTCGTTCCGCGAATATCGACTCTGATTGGTTTAGCAGAATCCGTAACAACCAAAAAGGCAACGCGCAAGCGCACTTACGGCTATCGTGACACCGAACATGCATATCCAGTGTTCTTTTATTTAGTATTTACTATTCACGTATAATCAACGAATCCTCGATTCTTCCCGCTTTGTGTATACTCTTGTCCGCCGTGTATGCGACTGACAGAGTGGAAAGCACAAGGTATTGGCAGAACGGTAACTAGGAGGAAGAGTTTATTGAAGTTAGCCACGTTGCGCGAATCGAGTACGATTTCCCGTTGCACGAACAATATCGAAACAATCGTTAAAAGATTCGCCAGCAGAAAGGGGCAATTCACCGTTCGTCCTTGTATTTCGTGAATTTAACGAGTTTTTAAAAACAGCACGACAAACACTACCGGATCCCGTTACGAACGTCGATCCGGATAGATTAGCGCGGACCCACCAATAGGAACACGAACCGCGTAAGGGCATCAGCCCTTTCGCTGCGCGGATCTGTATCAAAAACTAAATGGCGCACAGTTACGGCCATCTAAAGATTCACCGATCACGATCCACTTTCTGATCATCTTTTTTTTAATTCACGAGCACACTTTTTACTAGCTTTCGGTAACGGAATCAATCGTCAAAGGTACTAATTTATCATTCCGTTCGAATATCACTTTCGCTCACTTTCTACGACGCGTTTATTAGATAAAAGCACTATTCTACTTGTGGTAACACTCGCTACACTCGTTGGCTCTCGATCGTGACCAACACAAGCACAACAACGAAATCCAACGAACACCGACGAAAACGTACGAACGCGAACTCGAGTTACGATTTCGACACGCCTGAAAAATTTTTGCGTCATCTGGTGAACACTGGTAAAATCACGATGCTATAACATACGTGTATGTATTTACATTCGACGTTTTTACGATTAATCGATATCCAATTGTTGAAGTTATGACTGCTTACAGGAACTTCGTTGTATCTTCTATCGTCGCAAATATTTATTATTTTTGTATTATTTATTTAAATACGAGCAATATAAATACAACATTTATCATTGCTAGTTATATTACGTTCTTTACCAAGTTCGAAAAACAGAGTGCGATCAGAGAATCTGAAACTCGTTGCATTGCCGCCAAAAATCATAGCAATTTCTTTCGATTTCTTAACAGATATTAAAGGAAAAACAAACGACAACAGCATTCGTATTTTACGTAGTCTCGTTGTTGTGATTCACTCCGTACGAATAGAGTGCGTGATAAACAAGATAAACTCGGAAATTTAGATATCGTACAAAGTCGTAAGAAAGCAAAACGTGAATCACTACTTGTAGATATTTTTTGTCGCGATAAATTAATAAATGAATAAATTGTGGAACAGGAACGGTTTAGGGAAAAATTTTCTAACAGTTCACCATGTACAATGTGTAATATTTTATCAAGGTAAAAAATCAATAATTTTACAATAGCAGAAGCACAATTGTTTTCGTACAATTGTATCTTATTTAACGCGTTGACTTCACCTTGTTAATGTAGTTTACAATTATGATAAAATTAACGTACAGGGCGGTCCAAAAAGCACGGTAAAAATGCTAACTTTCCCAAAACATTTAGAATGGGCTCTCAGGAATCAAATGCGAAGAAAAGTCTGATTAAAATGCTTAAAACTGTTCGTAATGTTATTCGTCAAGAAAGTACAAAATTTTTGTACTTGGAATTATGTCTTTATTAAAAACTGCGCATAATACTCAATATCCTTGGAACGCCTTGTATAACATTCGTTCAAAGATTACCACCGCACGATAAAAACATGTTTTTCGGGAAGTGGTCAAATCAAAGTATAAAAAAAAAAAAAATAATAATTAATAGGACGTTACGAAATTAGAGGAAGATTAAAATCTATCTACAAAGGCCTCACAATCGCATCAATGAACAAGAAATTGACACATTTGTTTTTTTTTTCAATACTTAATATAATGCATAGTCTTGAGAAACAAGCGACGAAACGATGAAAAAAGTTTGTTCGGTTTCGCGCGAATGGCTTCGATTAAATGCGAAAGAAACAACGGATATGTTTCTCTTATGCGTTCAGTCTGTTTACGTTTTTCGATAAAAATATTATATATTTTTATTCGCTTTTATTTTTCGTAAAAAAAGAGCAGAAAGAAAGGAGTCATTAATATAGAATCAATGATATAACATGATCTATTAATTAAGAGATATTGTAAGTAGTTAGTGTTTCTGAAACGTTAACTGCCGGTCAATTAATTTTGGGCAAGACAATGAGAGAGGCGAAAAAATCGAATTGTTGCGTGCACGTCATCCCGGGAACGTTGGCAGTTCTAAGCTAGGTTACATTTCTATCGTTACATTTCCTTCGTCTTTTTTTTTTAATTAAATGTTGCTTGAAGAATGCGCGGAGTGTCTTATTGAATCCCATTCTTACATTAATACCATGTAAAAATCTATATTTAGATTTACGTAACATAGATTTAGGACTTTCTCTAATCGGACCTTGGACTGGTTATTGTAGAATGTCACTGATCTGAAACAAAATATTGACACGTTACACGTTAATTCGATGTTACAGCGTAAATTACAGATTCGTAAGTAACAATGGTCACAATGATTATCGATAAATTGAAAATTCAATTGGGGACAGGTCCGAACAAGTTAGAACTTACGTCTAATTGTCAGATTATATTGGACTTATAACCCAAATACGCCTCTCGATTATGTTTTTGACGTAGGACAACTGGTACATCTTACTTTTCTCGTTGACCGTATACAATAATATACAAGTAGACATATCAGTTACCTACATATAGTTATGTCGCAAGACAGCTATACAGTTGTTAATAATAAAAGTTTATCAATGACCAAGCATAAAAAGTACGACACGTTAGAAGTTATTTCGATTAACTTCTGCGTTAGTAATCAAAATGTTTACGACTATTCTAAAATAAATGTACAAATTTTCAAATAATTTGAATGTATCGCGAAGTTAGTATACAAGAAATTTTATATAAATAAGGGTACTCCATTATTAACACAGGGGCATTCATGGATTCTGAATAATTAATTTCTCTAAACCTTTTAACCATACATTAAATATATAGCATACAAATATACTAAGCGTTAACGGTATAAGGTTAATTATCGAGGCAAGATCCGACACCAAGTAACGCAATTGCACTCAATGCCGTTTGCTGACCTCGACGTTTGGAGGTAGAGTGATGGTAGCGTGTGTCGTTGTAGTCTCAGTACCGCTGCGTATCTCTCTCTCTACTGTAGTGCCTGCTCAACAACAAAAACAACACAAACAAAACGATAACTAAAGAGTACTATGAACTATGTAAGGGAAGAAGAAGAAGAAGAAGAAGAAGAAAAATTACGAAGCCAATGGCAGACAAACACAATATAATTTAAGCAGATGGACGACATAAAATATACAATGAAATATTTACAATCTTGTAACGTGGAAAGAGACTGAATATAACCTAAAAAATAAAATAGGAAAATAAAATAGAAAATCACGAATATAATCGATTGCCTTGGTATTATTATTCACACTGATTTGGAATTAGAAACGATTTCACTCACTGTTTAATTGTTGTGTCTCGCTTGTTTCGCTTGTTTCGACTTCTCCATTGGCAGTAGATTTGCTGAAAGAAAAGGACAATCATGGCCTTCCGATACAAAATACCAAGATAATGTAGGTCGTGTCCGTTGTTTCGATTCAGTCTGGGTAGATCTCGATTTCTATTAACGAGGATGCGTGGAACGGACTATATAAAAGAAATTGTTTAATTGGAAAATTCGAAATTTTCGACCCTCTGTGCAGTAGAATGGTTCGAAATGGCCATAGTGTGCACGAAATTCGGAAAAGAACAATTTCAACGGATAGTAGAATGAAAAGTGATCGTATATAGAGCGAAACTGCGCAATAATTAGTTTTAGTTTGGCAGTTATAGTTCGCTTTTCGGGCATATATCAGCCTCCGAAGAACTTCATAGTCATCCTGCAAGACCCAACAAGAACAGGGTCGCGCATAATTTTGCACAGTTTGCACGAGAAGGCGATAATTATCCTTTTCTTTGAAGCGAACTTTAAATCCGTGCGATAGATAATTTACAATTATTTACTTACTGGCGGTGGTAGTGTTGGTTGTTTGCGAAACAACGGTGGTAGTCTTTACCACTAAGGATTGATTCTGTGTAGAAATTTCAGAAGTTCGAGAAGTCACTTCCATTTTAAGCCCTGCAAGACGACTATGAAGTTCTTCGGAGGATGTTGCATTTCTGAAAAGTGAACTGTTACTGCCAAGCAATGGCCAGTACATAAAAAAGGAAACACATCGATTAGAATTAGAAGAAAAATAAATTGACAAAGTAAGGTAAAAGACTATTCTTTTAGACTGTCGAATTAGCGTGCGTTCTGCTTATACGTTACTTTTATAGCGGCGGTTCAATTTGTAGCGAATAGATTTTTTCGAAAGAAGCGAAATAAATCGGACGAAATAAAAGAATAAGAAGCCGAGATCTATGCGGTTCTACTTACAGTAAGTGATCCTTCACGCTATCGATCGTGATGTCTCCTATAGAACTCAAGTCTTGACGATCATCCTCTCCGTTGACATCGTTGGTGCTTGCAGCTGGTTGCAAAGAAGGTTCTTTCGGAGATTCTTCACCGTCGGCTAAAATACACGTATTCAAGATCCAATACTAAAAGGTTAAGGAGACTGCGGAATTTATCGACGACGTTAATTGGCTAATGTTAAATTACACAATTTAGCTCTTGCTAAGCTTTATTAAATGAACGACAAATGATTGTAGCGAAGCAACATTTAATATGTACACGGGTTACAAGAATATTTATGCGAAGCAGCCACATATAAATTTAGTAACGGTACGCGTTCAAATGTTCTAAGTTTCCAGTAAATCGTCTAAGGCCTAAGATTTCGTTGAACGATATAGGTACGCGTTAAATACGGATATCGATAAACTATCGGCAGGTATACGGGTAATACTCACTGGAACCGACTACACCGTTTTCTACGATCGTCCTCTGTACCGTGGTCGGTTGACTTCCTTGCGCCGTCTCTCCTTCCGTTTCAGCCGCTCCTTCGACGATCCCTTGCTCTTGCGTCTCTTCGCTGTCAGCTTCCGGGTACGATCTAGCATTTGGCGGTAAATTGAGAGCGCAATTCGCTTTCGTTACTTTACTGGTCGACAATGAAATTCGTTGAAGTTCCGAACTGGAGTGCAGGTACAAAGCTTCACCAGCTTTCGTAAAGGTTAGCGAGGAAATTCCGCTAGAAAGAAACGACAATACTGAAGACGAACGAGGGGCTGTAAGAGCGGGAACTCTCTCTCCTCTCTCCTCGAAACACGAAATTTCGGAAAGTTACACGATTGGATACCGAATCGAACAAGCAACTTACTTGATATCTTCTCGTTTAATGGCCGCTGCGTTAAGCTGCCTTCTCAATTCTGGAATACTGAGCAGTAAACAATCTCCGAGATTGGTCAGGCATAATAAACAAGTTTCTTCGTGCGTGCCGGCAGGTTCAACTGGACAGGAGAATTTTGCAAAACCTGTTTTCCTTACACGCGAACCCTCGTGCGCGGTAAGCTTGTATTTACAATAAGGTTTCAACGACGGAAGATTGAAGATTTTGAATTGTTCCTCGCTAGCGATCACGACTCTGTGAGGAGATGCCATGTCGGGACCAGGACTCACACCTTTTTCGGCTTCGAACGGCTCCGGTAGCGGAACGCTAGATCCATCGAGAATCGTTATAGCGATCACCGGCGCTCTGTGCTTTAATTGAATCTCTTTTCCTAATGTACAATTTACATCCTCCTCCGTTCTTCTAACACCGGCGGGAATCGCTAAGGTGAATACATAGACCGTACCGTTATTGGTACCCGCCCAAAGTGTAGGGGTTGTATTTTGCACTGTAAAAGAAACACGAAGCGAACGTTAACGTACCGGAACATATATCGGTAAAAGACAGTTTCGTGTTCGTAATCCGTGATAGAACGCTTACTGCTTATGATATAACTCCTAGCAAAATATAAACATCGAACCATCGAGCCCAATGCGTCGTCTACTGGTCTCGCTTCGACTTGTCTTTCTACAGGTTTCAACTCTATCGGCGAGAGATCGCCGATCGGTGAAGACGCGACACTGGAACTTTCGAATAATTATTAAAACGAAAAATTTTACGGTAGATTATACGGTAGAGTAATAAATTAGGGCGTAAATGTACGACGAACGAGTTAATTTTTTCGAGAAAGCTGGAGAAAAAATACTCACACATCTTTCTTCTTTTCCGTAGGATTTCTCGTCGGACTACCAGCAGTCGTCGCTCTACGCTGCGATCTCCCTTTCCTTAATCTTCTAAAAGACTCTCTCAACGACTTCTTAAACGATTTTCGTCTAGAAATAGGCGTATCACCCGCTCCAGAAAGATCTGTAGGATATATCGTAGGATATAAAAAAATAGCGAAAAAATAGCGGGGAAGAAAGGAAAAGAGAAAGATACGGTAACGAGTTGTTCGAACAGCGGATAAGAAGTAAAGTAACGAGTGGAAATACCGTTTGGATTGAGCGTGCACTTAACGTTAACAGCCTTCGCTCTCGTGTAATCGAAAACTGCCAAACCGTGGGCCGTGCCAGCAGCCAGTAATCCCCATTCACTGTGTATAGCCAACGCGGTGACCGCAGCCGGTGGATATAATTGAAGAAGACTTTGTGGTTGGAAACCGACCGCGAAAGATATGCTGGTCGTTCTTACTGGCAGATGATCGTGACCTTTCCACACGAATCCATCACGATCGTTTACAATGTTCATCGTAACAGCCTTGATTTCTTTGTTAGCTGGCTCGGAGGATACGGTAGCTGTGATCACGTGACCAGCCGTGCCAGCAACCACCAACGTCGAGGAGAGAGGACAAAGTAAAACCTTTTTGACGGCGAGTCGCGGATCATCCGAGTACGGATCGAACGTTCCGACTTTTCTAAACGGCGGCCATTCGTTCTCGTCGTCCTCCGGTGGTTGTTCGAGAACGTCCAAGTGTTCGCCGGTGAACAGTATAGATGAATTATATTTATAGAGAGGCGTCAAAGCTACGTCGGACGCGTTCCAGAATCTGACGGTTCCATCCTCGTGGCCGGTAAGCAACAATTCTCTTCCTTTCGGTTTCTCGTTGGCCGATTTCTGGTTAAGAATGATACCGCCGTCTATAGGCCATGCTCTGTCCGAATATAAATGCTCGGTCTGTGCTTTTCCAGCGGCCACGATACTGTCCCATAATTCTTCGGGCACGTTCGGGACGTGTTGCGAACAGGTCACCTAGAAAATAATCGTAGCATATCGTGAAATAATTGAAAATACCGTAAGAGTACGCGTAGTAGATTTATTTACCGCGCTAGCGTGGAGAGACACCAAGTAAGGTAAGGCCATCATCTTCCATTCAGGATTAATTAAATCGATGGCTACCACTTCTTCTTCGGCCAAGACTATGAGCGCTTCCGGGCCATCGTCGGGAGTCTCTTTATCGTCCTGTTGCTTCGGGAACACGGTGAAGAAATCGATCACTTTCGAGGTGAAATCAAAGACCACGTGTTTCTCCTTTGTCATGACGGTGATCGTGTGACGATCACCGTAACTGGCACGTTGCATTCCACCCGAAAATAAAACAAGTTCCCCGTGCCTATGGATCGAATGGTGATCGAATCGTTATAACGAGGTTCGATCGGCTAATAAACGGTGTTACTTACTCGGCAGTTGGATAGACTAGGATCTTGGTAACGGCTTTGCACGGGAACGGTCCATAGGGAGTGGTCGATTCCAGCATAGCATCGCTTCCTGGACTCCAAAACGCGTACGATCCGTCGTTGTGCGAGGAAACGAAACGGGTCTCGGAGACCCAATGGACAGATTCCAACTGCTGCGTGGAGACGAATGTCTGCGCACGCGAAAACAAACCCATCAGCTGCACGTACACGTTCGCCAAAACCACCAAAGACACAAACGACAATCAGAACGAGAACTGTATACCAACTCCAGGAGTAAAGTACGTTGTTAACCCATCGGCACGCAAACCATTTCGAACTCCGATTCCTTCTGATCGTCCGACAGTTAACATTGTTATTTGCTAGCCTTCCGATATGCCTTTCGAACAGGATATCAGGCTCTACTAATTCGAACGAAATATCTAATCAGCATCGTGTCTAACTACAATGTCAGCAGTAAAAACGTTCCTCGATTCTCTTACTAGTCGACATCTCGAGGCGAGTGTAATCGTATTCGATAGTAAAATAATCGGGCAAGTACCGTCGAATAAACTCTGGAGTCTGGTTATCGTGTCGTCGTAGCTTTATCGAACGTAGTCTAACGAACAACGAATATAGAAAAAAAGAAAAAACGAATTGTATCGAGCATAGTATCGTGTACCGATGGATTAAGGGCGTAAAACCACGTAAATGTAACTGAAGCGAGCGTGTGTTTTGTACTGTTCTGTAAGCGTGTTATTACATTTGGCACACTTATAGTTTTCTGTATACGTAGTTGAGCATAAGCAATCCGTGAGTTGGGCGGATACGAACGAATAAAACGCGAAGACTCACCTGTTGAGCGCCAGGAGTCGCTTTGTTCCATAGAACCATCAAGCCACGATTGTAACCTATCAGAATATTGTCCGGATGACCCGGTTGTTCCGCTATTGCCTCGACCGCACCTGGATTCTTCTTGTAATCATCTGGTACACTGTCATAGAACATCGATAACACGTAAATCTACGAATGGCAGACTCGAAGACAGGTTAGATTAGAGAAATTATCGTGGCGAAAATTACAAATTTATAGCCAGAATTCCAAATAAATATTTATCGAGATCGGTACCTCGATAACTTCGGATACTGAAAACGATTACCGATCTATCGTGCTAGTGGATCGTACGAAATAGAAAATGTTCTCACTTTTGCATTACGACATCCTGGTAGATGATATTGTCTGGCACCAAGAACGTTTTCAAATTCAGCAGGTAAATATTGCCTCCTTCCGTTCCCAGAAGCAGATGTTCGCCGCTTGACTCGAGACACATCGCCGAAATTTTCTTCAGTTTTCCTTCCAACGAAAGCGATTTCGTTTCGACCACCGAACTCTCGTTGATCTCCCACAGGTGAAGAGAATTGTCATCGCACAACGACACCACGCGACCCTGTTACGTTCAAACATATAACAATCGAAAAATAGGACTTGGGAATCGATTTGAGGATCAATTTGGGAAATGTAGAAAATATATGTACACAGGTATAGTAGTCGAAATAAATGTCGATTTACTAAATATCGAATCGTTCGTTTCTCCAACTTATACCGTGATTGCTCATTTCTTCGCCTGCTGTCCCATACATGTACGTATGCACCTGTAGCGGTCCTAGCAAGTTTATCGTAGGTAATCGCGGCGATTACACAGGTATGAAAAAAAAGAAGCAAAAGAAAGAAGGAAAGAGAAGAAAAAAAAGATTCGATAGAGTCGGAGGAAGATTATAATTGTACAAGTACGTTATCTTATCGGGTTTAGGATCGTATGAAAAATGATCGCGATAACGAGAATTCATAGCTCGTACAGAGCCAAGGTAAGCGTTTTAATTCGTTTCGTTTTAAGAATGAACGGTGTGCCACGCCTATTCGTATCGTTCGTCGAAAGATTTCGAGTATCGTTGAATTCGAAAAGAACAGGAATAGATAGTATAGAAACTCCCCGTTTCTTTCGAACCTGTTGCTTTTCGAAAACTTTTCCGAAAGTTCGATTTTTCAATGTTAACATCTGTTCCCAGACGTAAGCGATCGGTGCAAAATGCGAAAGAGCGTCGCGGGTCGCGCACACGCGGTTACGCAAGGAAGAGCGTAGAACAGCGAAGACCGGTGGGGCTCGTGGGCCGTGGTATCGCGTTGCACTTGCCGCGCTCCGACCCTGTCGTCGTTACGATCTGTACCATGAAAAGCTACAATCACGAAGCGACTGACAAATCTCGAGCATTCTCCTTCCTTGGGACTTTACTTAAACTAACGTTACGCGAATATTAAGGGATCGAGAATTCACGATGTAATATAGAACTTACCTCGTTAGGCAGCGCGACGATCTTCGTGACAGCGTGTTCCCCGCTCTCGATGGTGTGTTGTCCATAGAATTCGACACCCGGCCTGCCAAATCTGTGCGAGTCGGTTAAGGAAAACGGAGGAACGCGAAAGTACGAATGTAGTGTTGTTTTGCAAAAAGAACGCGAACGTTCTCGTTTTACTTAATAAGTTCAACGGAGAACGAATCGTCATGAAATTTTCACGGTTTTTTAACGACAATTGCTTCTCTTTGTCGTGCCGGATTTAAAAGGTTCTAAACGAGCTTCCTTCGAGTATTATAGAAACACGATAACTGCATTATCGCTTTACTACAACATCGTGCAACGAATAGTTTCTGATCGAAACGCATCGTACAGAGGTAAAAAGTACTTTACAAGCTCGCTATCTATCTATCTTATTAGTATCGAGTACAAACAAAGTTTACACGCAATATCGATTAAACTTATTTATTATCTGTCTCGCTTGGAACATCCGCGATCGCGTTACTCGAATAGAAATAAACGAACCATACAACGGTAATCTCAGCGACAAATTCTCTGTTATCGTGTTCCAATATCGAGAATTTCGACGATTTCGTTCGGTTAATTCGCCTTACGTCGTCTAGTCCGAGAGTAGCCGAAGGATCGTCAGGAAAATACGGGAGAAGAAATTCGAAGAAAACGAGGAACCAGTGGTTCGCGTTTCCTGGAAAATTAGACGGACATACGCGCGTTTAATCGATTAAACTAACGTTTTTCTTCATCGCCATACGAGAGGTATATATTTCGATATATTTCGATTCGCTCTATAACAGACTGTCCTACATAACGTACGAGAAGAATCAGTTTTCTTCGATGAAATCTACCGTCTGACCCTCGACGCGAGAAGAATAGACTTGGGTATCGCGAAATATCGAATATCTCCGATCTAAAATTAACTGCGAAAGCGATCTCGTTTTCCGTTCGCGCCATGCTTCGATCTCGTGGCGAAAATGAAAAAGGCCCGAAAATTTTCCGTGAAAAGACGGAGCAAAAGGATACACCTTGATGGCTCCGGACGCCGTGCCAATGATCATCAGTCGCAAGCTTGGATCCCATGCTAGAGCTGTTGGTTTGTTTGGGAAGCCATGCTGCACCGTCTGCAACGAAACAGCCAACCATTCTTGTTAGCTCAACTATTAGCCACGGTAGTTATAATACTATTTTACCCGTGCTGCACTTTCCGCTAAATCCTAGGATAACTAATAGCGTTATCTTGGTTAGATGATCGAGAAACGTTTAACGGACGTTGTTAACGCGGTGAGACACGGGAGCTTTTAACGAAACCAGCTGTACAACCGTAACGTTTCATCGTTATTTCTCGTATATTTGCGATCGTTGAAAAAAAACGCCGCGTACAATGACACTCTTCTCTCTACTAACGTCTAACCAACGTCTCGATTCTGCGATAGCGCACGCTGCCCTGTCGCCAAATGATGGACAAATTATTTATACGCGAAACTCTATGCCGATTATATCTTATATCTATGCCGATAGACGATAATTATTAATAATATTGTATCGTCGTTACTTTATTTGGAAAGGTTCGGTGGTAAGGGAAAAACAGGAAACGTATATCGAATAGCGGAGTTGCGATTAAATAGAACACGGAGCAAATTTCATCTTCCCTTTCCGCGGCTCGTTTTCGATGCAATTAACGGTAATTACGCGCGACAACCGCTTCCGACTTTCTCGGCGTAACTTCTGCCTCGACCGAGTTGGAACAGTTTTAAGCGAAAGTCGGACCCCGATTAGTCATCGATGAGTCAGATTTTGTCAGTCCCCGTTAATCGAGCGGTTTTATCGATTAACGTCCTCCGACGAGATCGTATTTGTAATTTTGACTCGTAACGTCCTACGATCTCGTACGAACCGACGCGATATTTTATTTTTTCCTTTTATTACTTCGTTTATTCGTTTATTGCAATACGAAGCACGACACACTCCATGTATATCTGTCATATGTATATTCGTTATGATCCGTTACTCTCTGACACGGAGAAGCGCATTTAAACTATAGAAAAACTATAGAAAATATTATATTCTTCGCTTAACGTTAAGCCTAGCGTAATATCGGAACCTTGAAACCGATGATTCTCTTCGGTTTCGTAACTACGAATCCGATACGATCGAAACAGGTACTTACAACTTTTAACATTATCGAGCATTCTACATAATACTCGTACATCGTACATCGTACGCGATTCAATTTCCCGCAACAAGGTTTCATTTTTTCGGAAAAAATAATGTCACGCTAAAATGTCGTTGGTTTTCGGAATCATCCACGGTAAGCGAAACGAGTCTATCCGAATCGAAATATCCGAAACGGAAGATATACATATAATATCGACGTAGCGCACGTGTCTAGCACGGTATTAGAAAGACGGATGCCGGTCGGTACGACAGATAAGGGTTCGAATCTTCGAGGAAATTTTCGAGAGAGATAATCGAGAGGCAAATATTCGGCATCGAGGTACGCCAATAACGAAAAGCAAGAGCGAAAGAAAAAAGTTTACGCTTCGCGTAATTCGCATTACAGTTATCGGTAATAGACACGCAAATATCGATATATTTTTCTTTTACGTACAAGTTTAAATGTCAATTAAGAATTTCCACAATTTTAGACGATTCTTTCTCTTTTTCAGACACGGAAACGTTAAAAACTGCCACTCGATCGATAACCCGCTGCGACGTTTCTTCGACGTGAATATTTTATGCTACCACTGTGCATACTTTTCTAGAATTTTCCGAGTATTACGAGAATTTCTTTCGCTCGTTTAGTACGAGATTACTTTTATATTATCTTCTCGATATTAATTCGTAATCAAAGTTTCCGAATAATCCGCTTGCGCTAGTACGTGTAAGTATATACAGCGTCGAACAAATCTAACGGTATATTCTTAACGCGTGTATTTAAGAGAACGCAAAACGGCTAGGCGTCTTATCGGATTTCTATTTGCACTGAAAAGCGATAGCGCTTTTCTACGAATTTTATGTTTCTATACTTATCGAGAGAATTTTTATTAAATAGAAATCGTAGAAAAGATTTCCGTGGTTAATTGTATGGAATGATCGAATTGGTATCGTTGCAACCAACGTTCTTCGATTAATTTTCTTTGATAAATACTCCGCGCATCTTCCCCTTCTAATGACACTAATCAAATGTTATTCGCTCGTTCCCCGTTTCGGTGGGATTTTTTTTCCTAAATCGGTTGAAAACCACGATAGAAATACCGCATCGCTGTTTACATGAACGTGACCGCTTCAATTAAGGCAACAGGCGCCCTCCACACACTGGAGGGGCTTTCTACTTTTTCTTTCCAACTCGTACATCTTAACGTGCACAACACGCTACTTCTTGTAATTGCCTAACACATAGATTAACCTACATTTCTTATTCCATTTTCTAACCGAGTGGAAGTAACGCACGCTTATCGTTAACGAAACGTTAACATTTTCTGATCTCGTATCCATCATTTCCCCGGTAGTCCCGACATATACCCTTCTTTGTGAACTCTTGTTTGTCGATATTATTTTCCTCCGCGTTGTAATTTTCAAGTTGAACAATTTCAAAATGTCACATTTCCAAATTTCTCGATTAACCAACTTTTCAACTTTTCAACGTAGAAACTTTGAAATTCGGGAGTTACGACGCGCTCGCTATCGATCAAGATTTGAACTATCGAACCTTGCAATTCCGATTCGTACGGCTGATTCAACCATTTTTTCTTTTTCCATTTTTGTATCGCTTCTATAGCCCCGACGAAGGCCATACAGCGAGAGTTCACCGACGGGATTCGCGTTTCTTCGTGTAGTCGAAGAAAAATCTGTGTTGCTTCGATCGATATCGGCCACGACCCGATTCGTACGCGAATGTTTTCGCAATCCGTGTCGTCAAAACTTACGATTCATCAAGCGGTGAATTAAGCCACGATAAGGTTTCGCGCGATGGTCGGTGACGATGACAACCAGCCGAACAGACATAACCGCTAAAGAAACGCCACCGCGCCGTTCAACCGCAATAATCCTGACTCTGCATCGCGTCTCGGCCAACCATCGTATTCTAGACTTTCGGTATCGATTACGATCGGGTATCGACCTGTTGATACCGCGTCGTTCATTCTTAAAACACGCTATGTCGTGTTTTTTACCAAACCGATTTTAGAATCTTAACATTTCTCTATGAAATTACCTCCGCGCTACTTTCGATCGATGAATCGACGGTGCAATCTTCTCACTGGTGTTCAAAAGCTTGCGAAATATTTGATAAATCGATTCCTAAATTGGTTCACAACTCGAAGAACCATGACATACTATGATATATACATAGTCGTTTGTGACTATGTTTGTGTCAATAGCGTCTACTTACAACGACAAACTAATATTAACAATGAATTTCTATAGTTTTCCGTTAGAAATTCCATTACCAATTTATTCGGCACGATGTTGCGTGTCTTGAAAATCCATGTAAAATATATCTCCTTGAAACACGATATACAGTGTCTTTTTAACATTTTTCTAAGACGAGATTTATCTGTAAAGGAATCGAGCCGAGTACGCGTAAAGAGACGTAGTGTTCGGTAAAACGCATGGCGTGTCAACATCGTGATATCACCAAGTAGCAGATTATTATCTAAGGTAGTAACAGAATAAACTTTCAATTGCCAGCTTGTTGTCGATTAATAAATAACGAACGTGTAAATTAAAATAAACATTTATGATCGACGGAATATCGTAAAAGTAACTCTCTCTGATGTTTTTCTTTATCGCGTTCGTTTGTTTCAAGCGTGATTGTTATATTTATTTTGTGAATATTTTCTTAATAATAAATGCACACATGGTAGCTTGCTAAAGAAATCACGGAAAGAAAGAGAATAAAAATCAAATTTACCAAATAAACGGAAAGCACCAAACTGCGGAAACTACCTATACTTGTTAGACATAAATGAAAACTTGTTTCTTCTGATTCTCACTTTCGCTTTTCTTTGCAATCTATAAAAGAAGATAGAAGAATACTTTTTTCGCGATTTCGCCCGAGTTGTTCCATTTACGTTAGAAACGCCAATAACGACTATATCGTTTAAATACTAAACGCGATAACATTATCTTCGAATAAACCTGAATGTGATCTATTCCATGATCGTGCAGTCCGGAAAAATAGGTTTCCGTAAAAGCAAACAAACGAAGGAAAGTATCGGCTCGTTTAGCCGGTCGGATGTGGACGAATAAAAATTGCATCTTACCTTTCGAAAAGCAAAAAGATCCTTTTGTAGTTTCTGTCGTTCGGCCGTAGGTTGTTGGCCCTTCCCTCTGATAAACTTCAACATCTCTGTCGGCGTTGTTTCTTCGAGCGGTGCGACACGTCCATTAAAGACGGTTGTGGCGGACGGACACCGTCGCCCAACAGAGCATTAATACCAAAGAAGAACGACTGATGGCGCTGCCGTGGACCTCCCGAAGTCACTCGAGCTTCCCGACAAGACACGACACAACGCGACGCGACGCAATGTTTTACGTGTTCACGGATCAAGCGAACAGCCGCGACTAAGCACGAACAAATACTCGCCGTCGTTCGATACCGATAGTGTTCGTGAAAGTTCGCTCACGTTCGGTCGTTGTTCGAATTCTTACTCCTGATTGGTTTGGTCTTTTAGAACTGAAAACATCGGACTAAGTACATGCTTGAGATACGAATACTCAACCGATTACGGTTCCTACCAATTTTTAAAGATGCGCGTTTAAAATAAAAAAATAAATATATATATATTCATTTTTGTTGGTCCGAAAATATGAGAGACATATTTAAAGGTTTCTTATTTAAAGAAAATACAATAAATTCAAAACGATCGGACTAATTTTAGCGTGCAGCGCTTTTACGTATGTACTACTTTTTTGTTCGTTCGAACACTGTCGACAAATCTACCTACTTTCGTTTTCGTACATAAAATACATATGCTCGTTTACGTCCGTTTTTCTGTATACATGTTCAAACGAATAGCACGTGTGAGAGTCCTAACCTTTCGTTTCTCTCGTTGTAAAGTATATAAAAGCTAAACATATATTTTCGAGCTACTGTATTCTTAATGTTCGATGTGATGACAGGAAACAACGCATCTGCTGTGTGAACGGGATCAGAATTTGAAGGTAATTTTTCCTCTAGAATAGTCATTCACCGGCACGCATGAACCCCTTCGATCGCCACACGATCGACCAAAGACCTTGCTATGTAATTAGAAATTCACTGTGATGGTCAGCGACATAACTCTCGCGGCCGTGCTAAAATAGCGAAATATATTGCTCAGGTAATACGTTTAATGTTTTTCACAAACTACGGACATACTGAAACGATAACACGGTGATGCAACGCGATAACGTAGGCACCGAAACGACTTCTTCAGGAAAATACATACGTTACTGTTAGCGAGAGTAACGTAACATAGTCTTCGCGTTTATCACTAGAGGGACATTGACACAAAGCCTAGACAGATGATCTCTCGAAAGTCCTCGCGTAACTACCTGTTTTTACATATAGGGTGTCTCGATTAGCTTTACTGCACAAAATATTTCTTTTCAATTTTTCCAATTTTTTTTTTTTTTTTAATACGATCACTGACGGATTTATCCTTCGCGTGATTTAAGGCATTACAAAATTTTTTGCCTCCATTTATACGGTAAAGAAATGTATGTATTTGTCTATTGTCTATTCACGAATATATTTCTAAAGCACATTTCCCCTAGAAATTCTGCATTTTTATATTTTTATATTTTCAGATTTCTACATTTCTATGTCCTTACCAGTTTGAATCGAAACAGAAACAATATTGAAATCGTAATTATACATATATCGATAAAAACTGGTAGATATTAATTGTATGGAGGTCCCCGCCTTACGTGGCCTAAAGTATTTGTCCTTACTGTTTGTATATAAATCCGTCACTGAATACCACGTTATAACTGAATCGTATTTTTTCCACTTTTCTGTCATCAAAAACAATATTTTAGATGTTCGGATTAAGTGGAACTTTTTGTATGCGTATAATTTTTAACCATATAGTTATTATCCAGATAACCTCCCTGACGAGTTCACTAACAGACACTGAACAAAATGCTTTCTTTCTCTTCGCCTCACTCTTCCGTTTTGGTTCCTCCTGTTTATTTATTTATTCTTATTTATTTTTTTTTTTTTTTTTTTAATAATACCATCACCACATGGTGAACACTTTGCAATTCTATGGTTCGCAGATTTTACGCGTTTTAAAGGTATATTTACACACCGATAAAGTCTGCGTTGCTGAACCTCGACTGCAGAGTACAACGGACTGCGACGTCAAAATAGGCGCGACAGTATCCTATGACGTCAACGGACCGCAAAATACTAATCCTCTCAAATGTAAAATACAACGTATCGTTGCCGTCACAAAAGGCTAGGTAAAACCACACGTTTTTCCGTAATTAAAACATTTTTGAATGAAAGATAAAACTTGAACGCGTACCGCCAACACGTATTTCGTTTCTACGTGACGTGTTCGATCGTACACGTCCGAGATACGTCTGCAACGCGTCGATGCCTGTCTTTCGCGTTGAGTCTTTCTCCCTTTTCTCCCCCGCACTTTTTCTTTCTCTTTCTCTCGCTTACTCGCTATTTAACCGACGTGCCACTTGTGACATGCTTTTTTTTTAATCATATTCTGCGAAAATTATTTGCATCGACAACGATTGATAATTTTGGTCGACAAGTTGCACGACGGCCAGTTTGTTGTTTATTTTATAATAGGAATTGTACGAACGAATATGTAAAATCATTGAAATATTCGAAAGTAGCGTAAAATCATTCCGTAACTGTCACTCGCGTTTTTCGTCATCGCATCGTCTTTCCGCCAATCACGTGTTTCGATTACGATCAACCAAAGTCGGATAAAGTCGTTTGCATTCGGATGAATTCGGAATGAAAAATCTCGTCGGACGCGCCTGCACGAACAATGACCTCAACCAAGCGTACGAAACCTCGTATGATCGAATATCCGCTTTCACTTTACGGATTCAATCGTTGAACGCTAAAAGTTCGTAAAAATAGTATTTTATACGATTGGTTTTACATGTTAACTCCTTTTGTTTCGACAGTACTTCGTTAAATATTCGCTTGAAAACAACAATTTATCGTGTTCTTGATTTAACTGGTAATTTTAAGGAAAATTTAAATTTGATGTTTGATCGATTCAAAGTATAGTGTAATACACTCGGTGAGTGTATTAATTCAAGACATGTGTAAGGAAGTCACGCATTTAACCAACTTCCTGCCATGTTTATATCTACCGTATTTTTTCTATTTTCATGCATTGGTTTAGGTTGTGCCTATGATTACTTACTCATAATTGTTTATCAATTTTTTCAATGTATGTACAATCAATATATTTCACATCAAATTTTGTAATACATATATATTACTTTTTAATCATTAATATATACATAAATATTCATATATAAATCTTTTTAAATTACAATAAAAGTTACTCGGATTTGTTCAAAAATAATTTACATTACAAGTCATGTATTAGAAAAATACAAATGCAGATAGTTAAGTAAAGTAGGCTGTCTTGTTATATTAAAAAGATAACATTGTTAACTAATATTTTACATTATATGATCGATGTCTCATATAATACTGTGTCAGTCTTAATAAAAATATAACTTTTTGTAATAACATAAATATTTTCCAATCATTAATTACATACTGATATGTAAATACGACGCTACAAAAATCCTCAAAATCTTATTAATGTTTTCCGTAGTTTTTATATCTATATTATCACAATGATCGCTTGGTTTGTGCCAAACTTTTGGAAAGGGATACGGTATAAGGTGTAAAATAGGAATGTCTGAAACACATATATCACAATTGAAAGGTAATTTAAGAGGTAACGTAAAGCATTTGAAAACTCGTAAAAATAAATGAATACCTCTTTGCAAAAACGGAATATGATCATCTTCGATATGCGCTTCCATCGAATGTGGTTGAAAATATCTCTGAGTAGGTTGCTCGTACGAGTACGATTCAAATTTTTTTAAAGCTGCTAAATTACTTTCAATAGCCATTAATAAAGAATACCACTTTTCGGTATTGCTAAAATAATTATAAAACATTGGATCCGGTGCGCCGATCAGGTCTAAAAGAACCAATATATCCTACGACAAGAAAGTAATAATTTATGTATAATTTTGACATTTTTTGTTCCAAGCACTTACAATTTTGTCTAATTCTGAAATATTTTCTCCTTCGTTGTAAGAGGTGTAATTATCATGCCAAATTTTGGCTAAATGTCTTGCTCCGTATATGGAATCTTTTGGACCCCATTCTTTAAAAGCTTCTTCTCCGTCAAAGAATATAAACATTAAACTAATATCGTTCTGGAAAGGAAATATTATAATTGAGAATAGCGAAATAAAAATTATGATTAACGTATTTATTACTTACGTGTCTTATAGAATTTAAGCGATTTTGCATAACTTTGGCTAAATTAATCATTTGAGCACAGGGAACTGCACTATCGGTAGCGCCGATAAAATTTCTTTCCCTAGTATATTTGGAGTCGTAATGGCAAGCCAATGCTAAATATCTACGCGCGTTAGGATTTAACTTTGCAATTATATTTTCAAATTTTAGAATTCCAAAAGTTGGCGTATGTTCTTCAAAAATATCGGATTCTACCGTCCAATTAAGGTTGTTCATTGACTCCTTAATGTACTATAAAGATGCTTCTAGTTATTAATACACGTTTATTTAAATCAAAGTTACGATATCGATATTACAACGAATCACATTTCATCATATAAGTATTTAATAAAGTTAATTAATATATTTTACTATGATAATATATATATATGTAAGTTTTAAATATATTAACACTTTAACTTACATTTTTTACTTTTGTATGTTCTGGAGTACCGACTATTCTCACTACACATATGTTATCTAAAATTTGGCCCATATGATTGACATTTGTCAAATCCGATATTTCCAGTATCTGACTTCTCGATAGAGTAATAGGCATATGATAGTACTGGAATTATTTAATGACCGTAACTAACGTATATATGTTGATGATGGTCAATGAGATGCATTAGAAATGACGATATTTGAAGATGAATAAACGAAGGACATGTGAAAGTACTTTATAAAAATGAGTAAAAAATAAAAAGTAACACACTCTTGCATTACGTACCTTTTGATTTTGAAAACGCATTGTTGTCGAAATACTTGCGTCGGTTACGAAAGGCCCGACGAAAATGAAAAAAATCTGTAAAAGAAAATCGAACATCATCGCACAACGTATAAAACCTTGTACTCGAATGTACTGAACTGCACGCCGCCGTCACAAAACGTTCATCGTAATGGTTGTAAATCCCCGCCGCCATATTGAAAAGGTGTCCACGTGATTGATCGTGATTGATGGAACAATTTTGATTCCTATTGGAGGACTGCATAAGTGCAATGCACCGATTGGTTACTTTTTCCCGTGTTTTTAAAATTGAAAACAGTTTAAAACAGTTCGAAATTGATTCGTAGACAAGTTGTTTTTGATAAAAGATCTAGCAAGGACTCGATAGGTAAATAAACGAAAACGATTAATTCGTTTATAACGTACCAAATATATTAAATAACTTTTAGTGATACGTCGCACCGTTCATAGTATATAAAGGGTTAGGTTTCGTTTATAATACTTATTTCTGGATTAAACGGTTTCGAATGTATTATGTACGTAAACAAAACTTGATACTTATACTATACATTAGATTCTAATCGATTTGCCTAATCTTCGCAACGTAATCGTAATAATGAACGTTAACTCGGAAAATAGAGGTTGAAAATGGTTCGATTCATAATAAATTACTCGAATAATACCTTATGCAAAGATATCGTAATAATAAATCTTATGAATCGACGTTGTTAGAGATAGAAAAGAGAATCTCTAACGTTAGAAAGTGTAGCGAATCGTTATTACGAAATGAAATATTCGCGAATGCACCCATTTTTACATAATATCGACGTGACTAACGGATATTTCTCTTGCACCATGTTGCCAAACTTTTCTTTGCCGATTTCTCCTTATCGTTCGATATTTTAAACGAAGGGAGAATATACATATTCGATGAGGCAGTGTCGTGAAGTCGGAAGAAGAAAAAATAATGAAAGATAAGGTACTAGGAGAATTTCATACCACACGCGTTCATGCGATTGAAAAATTCAACATCACGATATACATATATCAAGCGAATGTTGAACAGCAAATAATTTGTTATTTCCCTGAGGAAGATCACGTAGCCAATGAAACGTGCAACAAACGATCTCTTCTCTGCTCGAAGCGTATTATCGTTACTATTTATCATTAACTACATACTTTTATTATTGTCCTAGCACGGTCAGCACGTACGAACGGTAATACCAAATACAAATATTAGATTTAAGAAGAAAAATACATATGTACTTATATGTATATGTAAATTAGATCATCTCAGTTCTAAGTAAATATTATAGGTGAACTTTTTGAGCAACTGTCTCTCTTTCTCTCTATCTCTCTATCTCTCTATCTCTCACTCTCTCACTGTCACGCGAGTCGAACCGATACACCTGTCAAAAGAGAAATTGGATACTGGAGACCGTGGGACTCGCAAGTTTGCACCAAAGAACGTCCTTAACGTAGCATTTAAAAACAAATGATAAATTATGTCTAGGGCGGGGCCCAGGGTCATCTTCGTTCCTTTTTCCCTTTTCTTTGTTGGTCGCGCAGGCTCGTTTGAATTTACGATCAGCTTCAGACTCTTCGTTTTTTTTTACTGTTCCCCTGGGAAACGTCGTTTGCCAGATTACATTTTATTCAGTGCGAGCACGTTTCACACTCCGCGCTCCGAGACATTCCTTTATCGATAGAGATGACACAGGACCCTTTCAATAATTGTATGGCCCGTATTGCGATCCGTGGTAGTACGGTCCAGGGTATGCCGCCGGTGCTGGATAACCGGCGTAAGCGTACTGTTGTTTTTGCGGATATACTGAAAACAGGAATAGAAGGATATTAATGGTAGGAAAAAAAACCGATAGCGCTTATTCTTCCGCATAGAAATAAACGACGCGTTCGTTACGGACTACCGACAGTGGCGTTTATTACGGATATTCGTTGGATAAATCAGATAATATTAAGAGCGATATAAATATCAATACCGATTCTCCGCAACGAACGTGTTAAATGTATATGTACATGATACAGTGGAGTCTTGCTATATGGCCGTGAACGAGGTTGTAAGAGCAGAGAGGAATGCGAAGAAAATTACTTAAACAGAATCGAGTGCTCCTGATGCGGCGCTTGACTGGTAAAGCCCTCTATATAGATAACGCGACTTTTCTATTATAGCGAGACTGCACTGCAATCGTTTATGAGCGTGCAACCGTGTTCTCGATAGTTCCTGCTCGTTTCGGTAAACTTCGGACAGGATCGTTTCGCGAATCTCCTATGGGACTTGAATTTATTCTCCTAATTTATCTTTTAGAATATGTCTCATGATAAATATATGTATATGTATATGTTCGCTGTCGATCGCGTAACGTATTTACGTATACCTTTATCGAAGTGAACTCGATCGATTTTTACTAAGACGACTCGAACACGTTGAAATATAAAATTTCAACGAGCAGCTAAAAACAGCTTTTATCGATACCAGTTTTAATAGGTGAGTGAAACGGTTCGATTAAAGTTGCGAAGGTGCGAAAAAAGAGCAATGAAAATAATTCTGGTTACAAACTACGATGTTGACTCACTTCCTTGACATTCGAACGCGTGTTTCGTGTTACGATCATTCTCTAATTCCGGTCTCGATTACTATTTCACGACTTTCTTCCGCGTAAATATTAATTATTATTATTATATCGATCGATCGATTGAACGGTCTCTTGGAATACCGAAACGTAGATATTTCTTGATGGAATTAAGTAAATTAGGCAAGTGTGTCGCTTTCGAAGGGGCTACTTAAAACGCGTCTCTAGACTTTGTACGTTTCCCCGGTTTTCAGTACGCTACTATTCATTAATATTGCCAGGCCAATACACACTTTTTTTACGATGCTGGAATTTTAAGTCGACTGTTTTATACGATGTTGGTATCTTCGATGAAAAAGAAAAGAAAAACTTATGGAACGGAAGGTGTTGTTTTGAACATGACGCAGAAGGAAATAATTATCGATCACCGAAGAAGATCGTTCTTTTTAGAAAGTTTTCCTTAGGACTAGACCGTGACAAAATCACTTTAATCCACGATGGAAACAGACCGTGAGCCGAACGAAACGAGTAAGAGTTTCACGAACACGAATTATGGAACATTCTTTTTCCCACGACGTTGTTAGTGTACGATAGTCGATCGATTTTATTCCTTAATCTTAGGTACACCGCTTAAATTGGATATTAGAACTCGTCGATATACATGTATACGTATCCACCGTATTATTATTATTATTTTTAATTAACAGGTTAAATAAGCTAACGCCGGGGGTGGAAGAGATGCCGAAAGGCAAGTGCTCCAACCCCTGGGCTGAGGAACCCCAACTCGGCGGTGGTTTCGGTCCCCAAAAAAAAAGGTTAAATAAGCTGGTATCGATCGAATTTATACTTGGACATTACAGAGTTACCGATTAGTTCGGGAGCATTTTGTTATCGATCCGTGATAGGTCGGTGTTTACGGGATGTAATTATACTCGAAACGAACATAGTTCGATTCAAGAATGGAATTCTACCAAGAAATACATGGGATACATAATAATATTACAGTCAAAGTCGTAATATCAAACTTATCGATATAGAAGCAAGATAAATACGTTTAGAATTATATTCGAAAGTTGCAAGCGATTCAGCTTTCTTAGCGAGATTTTCACGATTCATTCCAATTACTTTCGTTATTTAGTTTTCCGAGGATCCGCGCTAACAAAGAGTAGTAATATTTTGACTGGTCAAGGGCTTCTATATCGGTCAGTTTCTTCATCGATTCCTATTATCCGTCGAATCGATTCGAGTTAGTAGAACAACTAATTGGTGATTTTCGGGGTCAACCCAATGATCAAAGTTAGTAGAACGCGAACGCGTACACGCAGACTCTTTTCTTACGTTCTTACGTTCGAATGTATCGAATATGTTTCCGGTTGAAACATGAATTGGTTACAGAACCGTGTAAATTTTATGTGAATTTTCTTACATTGTCGTTGAACGAGTAGAAATGCGCGCGGATAATCGCGCGGATAATAGCGCGGAGCGAACGATAGGAACGATACAAACAATTAATGTACTCGGAAAGTGTTGGATCCTCGATATTATCCTATATGTATAATATGAATTTCGCGTGCAACGATGTAACGACGTAAATAGCGATATAGAGTCTAGTCGAAATGGTGGGTATGGCCGAGAAAAGATGATCGTTCGAACGTGCGGAAGAGTCTGCGTGGACTCGATTTTGTAGCGATTCGTAGCAAAAGCAAAAGGTGTTAAATATGTACCAGGCATGAGGTACTGCATGTTCATCGCCTCCTCGCGCATTCTTTCGCCCCTCAAGCAAATCGCGGCGGCGCTAAACAAGATCGCGCTGACCAACGACCAACCGACGCCGACCCAAGCGACCACGTACGACCAGTCGTACGAGATTAGCGAGTTGTCCTTCAGGACCTAGTTGGCCGCGTTCCGGGAAACATAAACAAGAAAAAGATACGAGAAAGGTTAGTCCGGTCGTTGCAGTGTTTATGTCGTGTCACCTGGCATTATGTACTGAACGTTCTGTGCCTGTTCGCGGGCATGCTCCCGTCGCAGGCAGGATGCCGCGATCAGGAATAGCATCATCGTGCCGAAACACGTAGCCACCCCCAGCCAGGCAAGGTAGAACGACCAGCCGTACCACTGCACCGTGTTGTCCCTTAAAACCTGCGAGAAAATTCCTCCGTGAACCTTTACTTAATTGTCCGAATTTCAAACGCTTCAGACACTCTCGATTCCTCCGGTTTCGGTGTACGCAGCGCTCGAACACGAGACGCAGCTACGATGAATTCGAAATCGCTGTGAAGAGAAGTAGTTGTTGATCGGAAGAAAGACGAACCAACGTCTCGATAGATTTTTCTTCAAGTTTAGCTTTCTTAGCTCGTTCTTTACGCGGGAGGAAAGACGGAAAGTTCCGATGTTAGAGAAGACGTTTTACTATCGAACGCGATTGGTTCGTCTTGCGTATACGGTGCGATTACCGTATGCCGTATGCGAACGTTACATCTACGGTACAGGTTCGAATCGACGCGAAAAATCCATGCAGTGATCGATCTTGATACGTACTGGCCGTAATCGCTCGACTACATATCGACGTAGATAATGACGAAATAAAGTAATAGAAAATTACTCACGTTGCTCCATTGTTGATAATATTCCTCGCCTACGATCTTCTCTTTCTCGTAGTATTCCACTCCGTGCCAAAGTCCCATACCGCTAGCGCTTAACAGACCTAAATCGCCGAGAAGATATCGATTCGTTAGACAAAGTTAAAGTTAAACTCGGTGTAAATCGATTAATCTTTCTAAAGACAGGGTAAACATTCTACGAATCTCACTAACATGCTAGTAACATTAAAATTGCGGTGGCTGTGATATTTCCTGGTGACCTCTTCCAACAGCCTACTACACCTGTCCAGAATGCCGTAAAGATGGCAACGAATCCCACTATAAACAGAGCTATCACGGATCTGCCCATGTCTGAAAAAAGAGTAGTAGAAAGCAAAGGTGAAAGTAACGATCAAGGAACACCGGTATTAATAAGCGTTTACGATGCTTTTACGTACGAAGTCGAGTCATTGCATCGTCGGAAAAGCCTCTTGTAAGATTCTCTTCGTCCGGGATGAAGTAATTAATGTTCATGCAGTGGGTCTCCACAGGACTCAGATAGGTTTGAACTGTAACAATCGATCGTTTCGACGATTAGTCCTTTGTAGAATTTCTAATATTTCCTTCTATATTATTATTATTATTACTATTATAACGTACAGAGATCGATCGTTAAAGGATTAATTAGTCTGTCGCTAGCTCGTTACCAACTGCGAAATTCGCGCGAAATCTGTTGCGAGAATCGACGCAATCGATTTAGAAGCTTTCGCGGTTGCTGGCAAATTAATTGGACAACGATGGAAATTTGCTCGCCTAGGAGACGTTCTAATTCCGACGCGAATTAAAATGCGTATACTGTATAGCTTTATATAGGATGTATAGGAACGCGCACGTGTTTAATGGTACGATTGCAAAATAAAGTGGCTCGGGGTTCTGCTGCACGTTGTCGAGAAACCAACGGCAAAAGGAAAACGTTTTATAAAATCGTTTCGCTAATTGTCGAATCTCCGAATGATCGAATTCCGAGCTTTGAAAATTTCTTGGAAATATTTTCGTTGAAACGCAGCCGCATAGCGGTGAGACCTCGAAGCTACAGAGAGGCTAAGGATCACCTAGAAAGGGTGCAACCTGATTTATTGTACACTTAATATTTCGAATTTGGTAGAAGACAGTTCGGAGCTGGAACGGTGAGTGTTTTCGATACGTCCTCGATGTATCGCGCCAGTCGTAAAAGCACGCGACCCAGAATGCAACGCGCTATCGCCGGCTGCAAACTGTATGGCACGCGTCTACATGCTTACGAAGGTATGTACTTACACGCTTAAGGTGTTCCCTTGTCTTTCATGGACAACGGTACTCTCTGGCCATTCCGAATCTACGAAATACTACTTTCGAAAGACGCGTGGAAGGCCGGTGAAAAGAAAAAGTCGTGCTAACGTCGCGAATAAATTCTAGGAACGATCCGATGAGTTTTCTCGTCGAAACACTTTTGATAATACGATTTAATCGTTGCTATTCAGCTCGAGATTTGAAAAAGTACATCTACATATAGAGAGTATTAATCGATATTGGTAATATTATTATGCGTCTACGGTAAGCAACGCAGGTCTACCGAGACATTTTTTAAATATGACGAGTCTGACAGAATAAAAGTCCTAAACTTTGACGAAAATAAGCATGCAAAGGGACCACTGTAAATTTCAATCGCGTTCTTCGCGATTCTACCGTATATCGGATGTTCCATTTTCAAACACAAAGTGTCTAAGACTTAAATGATATATTCGATGCAACGGTATGATTCGTGCAATTGCTCGTACCGTTTGAAGCGTTTGAAATTCAGTCGATGACGAGCGTTTCCTCGACCTTGTTCGAATCTAGTTTCGCCTAAATGAGGCGTCATGCCAAGATCGTTGACTCGTGGTTAACTGTACATAGCAGCGCGCGTTAACGTCGCGTTAACATTCGGAAAGAGGAACCGACTCGTTCTCGTCGATACAGAGGGAACAGAGGGAAAAATCGAAAAGAAGAAAATGTTCCGAAACCGGTCGACGGACATCGGTCGCGCACTCGCCGAGCCGACTGACCTCCATTTTCTAGAAGAATTTTTGCCTGGTTATATATATTTTCTCGGTGCGCAAAGGGACGAGCGATAAGTCGAGCTCCTGTGTCTATCGTCGAATCTTTTTGTACTTTTCGAATATGCGATCACGGTTCTGATCCAGAACTTAGGACGATCACGTACGATAAACGAATCGAGTACGAAGCCGGAAACGGAACACCGGAAGCGTACGGAACATCGAATACCGATAAGGAACTAGCGGTCGAAGAACGGTACAGACGGTGCACGCGCGATGTATCGATCATTTCGATCGTTTTCCGGGCTGAAACGACGCGACGCGACGCGACAAAAACAACATCCGCCGTTGTTCTCGTTCCACGGGAAATTCTCGGTACTTTCTATTCGACGTTTCATTTTTCAATGCGTATCGCGAGCCATAAAATTCGATACATGTTCAACGAACAAGGTCTAAGGGTTCGTTTACGCTAAAGGAGCCACGCGGTCACGAACACGAGACGACGGAATCGTTGTTTTATTTTCTTTTACGCGAAATATCAGGATTATTTCGAATCGTGCGCGTTCGTTGATCTTTCAATTAGAAAGATCTTTCAATTAGAAAGATCAACAGGGTATCGGTAAAGCTCGAAACTTTCGGAACACACTGGAATCCTTTCTACGCTCCGTTGCGGTGAAATTTCGGAAATTTCGCTTCGGAAATGAACGGCTTCGGGATACCTGGATCGTTGCGACGAGCTATTTCTTCGACTCGGATTGAAACGCGAAAGGATGACCAGCTCGATCGAGCGAAAAGATTTCGAAACGCGACTGCAACGGTCCAATTATTCGACTAATGTCTAGGAAAATCGAGAAGGGGCGAGTTGAGTTTCGAGTTGCAAGAACATTTGGAAGAAAGCAGGATCCTACGAGGAAGCAAGTAATTCAGAGTATTCATGGTTGGAGGATTATCGGGTTCTGTCGAACAAAGCCGAGAAAATTCCAAACGCTCGTTCGATGGAAAAATTTCTTTGTCGGGACAGAATTATTATGTTAAAGTACTATCGTATTCGGAAGCGAATTTGATATACATATACCGTAAATCTGGTGTTCCCACGTAACGAACAGGAATGTGATAGTAAGTAGTGGGAACGAAGTAAGATGGAAAAGGTTGAAAGATTCGGTTCGAATCGGTGATCGAGGCGTTTCGTAGGTTGCGCGAGAAAGACACGAAAGTGTCGCAGATTCGATATTATCCGGAGAAAATCGGGTGATCATCTTGAAAGCATCGCGTACACTCGTCGTTTTTTCGCGTCGCGAAACGATGCCTTTCTCCTCGAACTGCGTGCGATCGAACCGAGCCGAACCGAACCGACCCGACCAAGTCGCCGCGTCGATTCTAAACTCTTAACCTATTACGTAGGGATCGGATATTACGCGCGCTATCGATATATCGTAACGTAGAAAGTCTCCCGAAGGCTTAGCAGAAACAAACTACTCTTCTCGAGAGATCTATTCCCAAGCTACTTTCGACTTTTATTGTTCGCTTTCTCGAATTCTAGATCTCTTTCCGATACTGTTTTTTTTTTTAAAGAGACTTAATTTACCGAGACTTAAGCGGTACGTAACGAACAGTTAAACCAAAAGAAATTTGAATAATTTTAATGCTTACCGGTTGGTGGTCTTTCTTTGGGATAGCATATCCTGAAGAGACCTTGCGTTCTTGTGTAGTAGTAATATTTCGTGTTCATTTGCTCCACCAAGTGGCTCTGCTCGGCATGCTTGGCTGCATATTGCTGCAACAAAATTACTTTTCTAATGATTCACGCGTTATACGTTAATCTCTTATTCGAGTATCTACTTGGTACTCGTCGAGTACATCATATTATCCGATTTGGTTAACCAAAATATAGTAAAATCAACATTCGCGATCGTGAAAATATTATAGTTCCGTTAACGAATCGTAATTTAATCGAGCGAGAAAATTGCAAAAACGCGTTAATCGACGAAATGGCAGAAATCGTTAATAAGAAGGATGAAAGCACAAGAGCGGTGCGGTCGTTTTATGGAAATATTATGCCCGTTAGAAAGTAAGAAAGCAACAATCGCGATTCCTTCCACGAATCGAGAGAATGGTCTAAGCCGAACGGTCGTTCAGCAGGCCAACTGTCTCTCGTAGCTGTTGGAAAAAGACTGGACGAATAAATTAGAGAAAATTATTCGTGAAACGTTCCTCGGACGATTCCGTGTTCCTCAACTTCTGAAGACCTTTTCGATTCAAACGCTTCGATCAAACTTTCCATTATGGTAATTCGAAATCTAGGATATCGAGAATAAGTTTCCCAGTTGAAAGTTTCAAAAGAATCGAGAAGATATACGTGTATATAGTTCGAGTTTTCGAGTTTAGGCATAGAAGTTTCAAATTTAAAGTTTAAATCTCGAGTAACGCGAATTAGTAACGAGGGTGTGTGGATCGATCGTGTATCGGAAGTCGCAGGCGTTTTCCGAGATCGAAACGTGTTCGCGATGGCAACGGAAATTGCGGAAGGGAAGGAAATCGTAGCCGCGTTACGAACGAACTAAGCTCGAGAGGCTCTCGGAGAACGAGTGTACTCGGCCGTGTCGACTCGAGTTCCGGACTTTCTTACCAACATACCGCCCTCGAAATTAAACGTAATTTTAGATCTTGTGACAGCCGTGTCAGTTCGGTGGATAGCAAAACCGCTCTTCTGCATCGTCGCTCATCTACGACGATCCCTTTATGGTTACTTTCCGTTCCGACATGTTCGCTGTCTTCTCTCTTTCCGTCGTCTGTCGTATTGCCTTAACGAATTTATTCGTTAAAAGAAGCTTCGATCGAATAAGAGAAATTTCACGTCCCACGTTCCTGCTTGATTACAAAGCGTCAATTGCATCCGTGCCTGCCTGTATGCTGCGAGAACGTAACCTTGACGAGCACCCATGCCTCCTACAGCATTCCTTCTAGAGAACGTATGACTTTGACGATGCTTCGATATTTCGATATTTCGTGTCGAAAATAATATGCCGAAAGCATAGAAACGCGTTATGATCAGGTCCAGAGGTCCGGTAATCGAGACGTTAACGACAGTTTCTGCGATAATTAGCCAACAGGCGAGAACGCGAAGCGGTTATACTCGATAGTCGACGAAAGAAAGAAACGAAAGAGTCTCTTCGCTTTAACCGTTCGCTGCGAACGCGGAACATCGTCTCGAGTCTCCTTTGACATAGAAAGGAAAATGCACGCTGGAAATCGGTAGGAGTTTTTAGAAACGGACCGTATCTGCTCCGCCGCGAACCGATTGTCACGAAACGATGCTCCTAAGACATTCGAACAATTCGCGATTCGTTACCAACTATCCCGCGATAATTAACTGTTTTTCTCCGACGAACAACCTTACGATCGTTTTATATCGCGATGAAAGTGCGTTCGTTGTTCGTTCTATTCGACCATTTTCCTCTTTCTTACTGTATCTTTGCTTTCGTCTTCTCCTTTCATTACTTGCTCGATCATTATAATAATTATAATAATTATATTAAGAAATTTCCATGGAAAATAAAAAATTCGGTTATCGAATTTCAGACGACTCTTTAGCTAGGTTAAGAGACATAATTAATATGCTTCACGTTTCCTCTAATGCTTTCTCTAGTATACATACATGTATGTATGTATAAACGGATTATAGAGCGCATCGAAGCATGGGATTGTCTACGATAAATTTTGAAATTCTTGGAAAAACTTTTCTGCGATACATATACTTTGTATCGGATCACTTTGTACGGATGCAATATATTCTACTTTTCTCAGCGTCCTCATCTTGCCCCACCTTCTAATTACCTTTCACCTTGACAGTGGACAGTGACAAAGATGAGAAAGAATGCGAAGAACTTGAGATAGAAATTTGATATGTTGGCTGCATGGTAGGTAGACGGTACCCGAGTACATAGAAGGTTAATAACCTTGCGAGTGATAAAGCGTAAAATATTCTGGCGTAGGTAGCGTGCGTGAATGCGTGGGTCGATAATACTCGATGAAAGTTTTCTTTCGAACAAAAAATCAACTTGGATACGATCTTGACATATATTGGCAGAAGCTATTCTATTCGCAGCGACACGCGACATTTCCCTTCGATGCGTTTCTTCGCATCTTGTATCTCGACTATTGTAGATTCGATGTCTCGAATTCGACATTCGCATTGAAACCCGGAATTATTTGCACTACCAAGCTGGTAAGCATACCGTACGCGTGAAAGTTTCAACTTTTAACGGTGTAGTTTCGATCGCTTTCGAGCGATCAGATTTATCGTGTTTCGATACCGAACATTCCTAGCGAAACAACCAAGTAGCTAAAATCGCTATAAATTACTCGACAAGTTGCATTTACCATTTTACCGAGCAGCTTGCGATATCGAGCTTCCATGGAAGAAATAAGTGTACCGAGTTCAATGTCCTCCTAGCATTAATTAATACACCTTATCACGAACGTGTTCACCGTTCACCGAGGAAACGTGTTCGTAACGTACATTTCGGTTTTGTAAACGCACGAGGCAACTTTCATTTCGATTTTTCAACACTGTTACGCAGCGAACGAACCGGTCGTCGCGTCGTTTCGTCGCGTCAAGACGTGTCGTGGCGTTTCCACGAATAAATTCAACGTTACACAACTTCTTGCTCGAGCTCGAAAATTTCATGTTCTTTCGATTGTTCGATCATCGCATTGGTCAAACTCTGTTTACATAATTAATAATTGTTCATTTTGTTCGGCGCGTTCGTACGGTAGCTGTAACGAGACGCATACACTAGGCCGTAAGTATAGTACGCTACTTGTTCCTTTTCGACTCGGGCCCCGAATCGATCTTCCGGTTATGTCATCGTTTTTTCAATGGGACCACCATTGTATTTCGCTCCTCTCCTCTCGTCGACATAATCGAGCGTTCTTAACGTGCCTGTATGTTTCGAGATTTCTATGTCGTTAACCTATTAATTTACTATTTAACCTCTTTCTCGGATTTTTTTCGATTTTTTTCGGATATTCTCGATTTAATAATATTCGGTATTACTGCAGAACGAAGCGATCCGAGTAAAAATATTTATCGCGAAAACGCGAATTCAGCCGATTCTTACGAAATGTTGTCCGCAATTTGCAACGATCGATTACTCAACCGAGTCCGGCGTTAACGTAACGTTGGTTCGCGTCCCGTGTTGCGCATCGGCCGAGTTCTCACGATTAAACGATCGTAATACGAACATTTTCGAACGAGGATGCACCGAATTAACAATGTGTTTCTTAACATTGGCCCACGCGTTACGATACTTTGCGTCGAAGAATAGCATCGACAAATAGAGGTCTAATACTAACAGGACAGTCGCGTTTGAATAGCTGGAAGACAAGTAATTTGCGCAACCACGAAAGCACGTCGCAAGAGGGTAAAGGTTCGTTGTTGGACAACGACATTCCGATCGTTGTTGCGACGCTTCCGTCATTCGTGCAGAGTAATGTTTGCCAATTGTTTAAACGTTCGATTACCGTCACTTATTTACCAATATACTATACATAACGTATTGTAGATTGTCGAAAATCTTCCATTTTCCATTCTCACGACCATTTAGACGACCACCGTCGAAATTAGAAATGTTTCGATCCTTCGAGCGAAACTAATCTTTTTTATTCTGGAAAGAAATTAACGAATGAACATGTTTAGTGAAACGCGTTTGGTCGCAAATTGGTGAGCATCGATACGCCTCGAATCGCTTCTTGTTCAAACGTAAGAGAAAAAAGGTCCATAAAGTTATTATGGACCTTTCGATTAACTTCGAGTTACACTAGCGGTCCAGTCACGCTACGGCCGCGATCACGATCGCGACTTGCTCGCAGAGGCATCGGACATTACTCGAAGACCCGGAGCGTGACCGACGCGACGCAGCGCACGAATGTTGACGAGCAGTGGACCATCGAGAACCAAGGTTTATTCTCAGGATTCAAGGTCTTCCAGGCGTGGACGTGCCAATTCCAATCGCCTGTTTCGTCTTTTTCGCGCAACTAGAATCGCCTGACTACTCACTACCGCACGAATATCGTAGAAAATCATTCGAATACCACTGCTGCTGGTAGATACGGAAAGCCGAACAGAAAAACAAGCATGCGCGGAGAAAGTTAACGTCGAATTAGATTCACGAAAACTTACAACGATGCGTACGATTTCAACTTTCTGCATTTACCTTAACATTTATAAGGCAAATGGGTAAAGAAAGCCACCGTGGAAGCATCGGATAGCAAAACTTTTGGTCGTTCACGTCCCAAATACGAGATCGCGGTGTAAAAACGCGCGTTTCGCTTTTATACCATAAACATTCAAAGTGTAGAATGTGGAGTATGGAGTATAGAGAAAGAAGCCAGGGAAACTAGGAACATGGCCTAGAAAATGTTGAATAAGCGAACTTGGTTATTATTGTTATTCGCAACTGAAACGTAACGGAGGCCAAAGTTCTTTTTAAATAGTTGTTAGTTAGCTATATTGCGTCGACGCGACGAGACGCGTTGCAAGAATAGGGCGTAATCGTGGACTCGATGGGGAAAGATGGTGCGTAACCGTATGTACGGATCATCTGGTTGGTCGATGAAAACGAGGAGAACCAACATTTTTATTCTAACACGGTCTCGCCGCGTTGCGTCGCGATCACCAAGGCAAACGCGCTCGGTAGGCTCGGGATAATAGCAAAGTCGCCTACTCCATCTGTACCAGCAAATATTCTGACCAGAAGGTCAGAATTCCTGTGCCAATTAGCAACTTTACGAACGCGGTTAAACGCATTTCTTATTAAATCGTTCCCCTTCTTATAAATGTTAAGATATTACGATTGCAAATAGAGTTCGGGTTAATTTCTATTCGATCGCAGACAGATTCAAGGATATTTCGTAAGAGAACTTGAGCGTAAAAATGTTAAGTTGACCGCTTATCGTTATAGTCGGTAGTTATTCGAATTCCATGTTCCATATTAGATACGGGCATTTTCGCAGTGCCAGTCCTAGATGATTCGAAACATCTGTTACTTCCAACGTTGTTCTATCCTCTTTCGCTATTGAATCGGCATGAAAGTTGTCCGTTGGAAGCGACTCCGATCGTTTTTCTTTTAGTATAGCCAAATAAAGAGAGTCGAAGGAAAGCAGCTCGGCAACGAAATCGCGGTTCTTTTAAGAGAAAAATCTCGCGTCTGACTACGATCTCCGTCGATTCCCATAAAGGAGGTGATCGTGCATACGCGCGATTGCGTTGCATCGGTGCACAGTGCACGGTGGACGGTGCACGGTGCACGGTGCACGGTACACGGTGCAGCTATACTAAACGCAAAAGTTGCCGAGTCAACGAGCGCTTAAAATGGGCGCGGCTTGGAATGTCGATCGTTCCAAACACTATGCGGAGGATATGAAATGAACCGAAATCGGATGAAAGGACTCGAGACCAGGTAAAACTATAACGAGTTTATACTCGTTACTTTATTTTTCGCCGTAGAATATGCGGGACAGCGATAGATTGGCAACTAAATTTGTTTACCGTTTCGCTTCAAAATCGTTCGAACGATATATGTAGAAGAGATTATAAAAATAAAGACATATAGTATAAACTGAAGACATTGTGGTCTTAAACTGCTGTAGGAGTGCGTCTACATTACATAAATATCGCGGATACATAAATCTAAGAATTTCGACACGACGCACAGCCTCGTCAAATGGCTATAATTAAAAAATTCTTCGTAGCGTTGGATCGAAAATCGAAATTATTAGTATATTAACTCGAGTACTCGAAGTTATCGAAAGGAACGAATATTGGTTGCAAAGCGACGCTTTTAAAGGTTTCGCGAGGAACGAGAATTTAACGTTAATGGAACTCGGCTCGAGTAGCACGGAAGAACGGTATCGTTCGCTATAAATGCATTGCTGCTTCCTCTTGGAATACGTATTTCGCGAAACTTTCCTGAGAACCTTATCCACGCAACAGACTCTCAAGGCCCTCTAGGATGAACTTGACCTTCGATCCGAACGTTCACCCGTCACAAGGACGAAGGAAGCCACTTCCGGTTTTACGCCCCGAACAACCATCTTCTTCTGCGCGAACAGTCGATTAAACCGCATCTTCCTTCTTCGCTCTATCTTTGCTACTATTTATTACCGTTTATAGCTACATATTTGTCGAAATGCCGTTAAATTAGGAGAAACAGATGTAGTTTTTTCGATAATTTTTCGATAATTTTTCGATATAGTACGGAAGGTTGCTTAAGTTCCTTAAAGAATTCGAAGAAAAGCATAGAAAATTGAAGAAACAACGGAGCACTGAACGTACGATCAACGAGCTTTTCGAACACGTTTACCGTAATGCACCCATATGCGCAATATGTTACCAATTAAATCGTATTTTCAAGGTACCTTGTTGGCACAACCGTTCGTGTTCGCGTCACCAAACTAATTCGCGAACATCGATTCTCGATCGGTCATACACAAAATATATTTTCCATCAACGACCCGATTAACCTTTCTCTCGAACGATGACTTTTCTAATTTCTAATAAAAAGCAGAAGAATTCTCGCAACGTACGTATTGTTATAAAAAAGTATTAGTTCGGTACGAGAACGTTTCGACTCGTACGGATATTTCAGATGTTTAGCAAATGAACGTTAGTAAGTTAACGAACAGAAACTTTCGTTACGTTATATCGTCGAATCGTTAAGTCGTTAGATACATATACGACGCAGGACATCATCACGCGTGGCGATATGACACGTGACCATACAACGCGTGGCGATTTAAAGATGTGGTCTACCCGCGACGAGGGAGCAGCACCTATGTAAGTACGCGAAAATTCGTCGAAAGAATCTAGTCCGAATAAATTACGCGACGAGTAATTTTAGTTATACCTCGTAATATTATTATTTGTTCCGTCTACGATGCAAAACTAACAATCGTAGATCCAGGTAAACTACGAGAATATCTAGCATGAAATTTATCGGGAGTGCGCGTCTCTGAATAACAATGTTGAATTTGCTAAAAAATGAAAAAGATATATTACGAATGTTGTAAGTGAGGTGAATATAAGAAATTTTCACGGTGGAATGGAAAAAGTGTAAAACACGAGAGTGATACGGGTAAATAACGGGGTTATCCCCTACAAAGACCAACAACGTGGCATTCTCTTCTGAAAAAGAGGTTCTCCAACAGTACCGCCGTCGAAGCTGAATCGGATAAAAATGAAAAGGAAGAAAATATATCGAGCATAGAGGTATAGGTTCATATCGCACGACCTACGAACCTGGATTTGGGCACGTTTGACCTCCGTATAGAGCCAGTTGTCCGTGGAAAAAGCGATGGCTAAGAGGCCAGTGGCGATGATACCGGTTATGGTCGCGAGGGACAGCGTCACCGCTGAACAGGGCATCTTGGTATCCTCTTCTTTTCGATTTTTCCTCGTTCGATTCTTATTTCGTTTCTTCGTCGAGTTCACCTCACACCACTATCAGCTACTACGATGTTCAGCGATACAGGTAGTCGTCCTCGCGTCGTCCTCCAACTTGTCGAGCATCCGTGACGAAAGATCCTCGCGAAACGGGTCACGAACTGTTCACCGATTTGTCCAGCTTCCAGGATTGCTGGACTCGATCTCGTCGGAATCGAGAAAAATTAACGGGACGAGTGACTCGACTCGACGATGACGAACGTCCTTCAAGGTGCACGGTACTCCGCGATACGCATTACTACCATTCTTTCTAGCGACGATACTAACGGCCCGACTCTACTCGACTCGACTCGACTCGAACACTCGGAGACTCGGAGACTCGGAGACTCGAACACTCGGAGACTCGGAGAAAAGCTGAGAACCAACCAAAGAGAGAGAACCGGACACCGAGTGGGGATGGATGTAGCCTCAGGCAGGTATATTACCTGCGTTTTACCTTCAGCGGTGCTCAACTCGCATTTTCTCCTCTTCAAACTTCTCGTTTGTCTCCTACTCTCGTCAAATTCTATATCTTGCTCGCGATTTTGCCTTTCGCCATAAAATATTCGAACGTAAAATATACTATTTTCCTAATATTTCCCTAGAATTTCTATTTCGATCGTCTATTCTTCTATTCTTCGCCTCGGAGATTTCAATGCCTGTACGAATTTCCTTCGGCGCAACGGGGAGATCGATGCTCGTTCGCGTACCTACAATTTTTCTTCGGAACGCGTCTCTTTCTCTATTAATATTACCAATTTCGTCGTTTCAACCGACCACGACATCGTTATATTTTTAATAGTTAACCGCATCGCATACTCCGATCGTTCTTCGTATCACGAACCAAGTACACATTCGCGTAAAGCTAATTACGTTAACGGCGATGATCGATGGAACAGCGAGATTAGAATTGGTTGGGAGACGAGAGTCGATGGAATTTTAGAAAATGAGAACAACGTTCTGAGTGGCTATCTATCTGACTTCCATAAAGCATTCTTTCCCTGTTCCTTTTACCAAACAATCCCACCACGAGCTAACAGATAAACTTGATGCAAACGCCAACGGAAAAAAGGAATTCCTTGCATTCTATCGTCTGTACTCGGTGCTACTATCGTTTTATATGGTAACCTTGATACGATGTTTCAGTCGCGTTGATTAGCTTTAACGCATGGATTATCCTTTGTAGGTTTGCTGGATTTACGAATTACCTGTGAAATCCGAGAGAACACACCTGCATACCTGCGGAACTCGTTAAATTACGACATGCAACCGAGTATCAGCAATTTTCCCACGAATAATGGAATTTTTAATCTGACTGTTTTCCAGTCATGGTACCGTTATTCGACGATTCACCGATTCACCGATTTAATCAAATTATCTTCGAATTATTGTATTAAGATAATCTATTTATTATAAAACACCGTTTCTGTGTATTCCAATCCATGCGGAATTGTTCAGAAAAATTGTGTTATACGTTAATTAAAATATGTTAAACGCAACTAAATAGAAATCATCGTGTATAATTTAATTGATTGAGCTATAACAATTAATGAAACATAGGGCACGAATATATCAATTGAAGTTTATTATCGAAGGATCGTATGGTGTGCCTTCGAAAGGAGATCCTTTTGCGTCCCACGCCTTTCTCAATACTTTCTCCATTTTCTGCACAGAAAATTTCGTGTTAGAAACTCGCGTTTCGCGATTACGTCTGTCATTCTGACGCTTTTGCGACGCTCTACTACTTACGATTTGTTCGGAAGTTGGTTTACCGAGAAGTTTTTGTTGATGATTCCACATTAACTCTTGAACTTTCATTTGCTCTTCTGACCCCATTTCGTCTAAATTTCTTGAACAATCGATCTTAGTCAAATCAATTTTTGGCTCACCAACGAGTAACGCTTCCCACCATCTTTCCGACGCTTTTTCAAGATGGATCTACGATAATTATTTACCGATTATCGTGCCCTGTAACGGACTTATTTCACTAGTCTTTGCTTCCACTTACGCTAATGTGTTGCCCAGGTACTATACTCCATACCGATTCGTCTTTTCGTACTTTGAAACTTAATTCGCCTCGAAATATTGTGCTCCACACAAAATAACGACATTCTTCTGCTTCTTGATTTTGTTCCACCGTTGATGTCCTTGCCTCTATTTTAATTTCTTTCGAATCTAAATGTATTCTCAAATCTTTAGCGGTTTTGATACAATTAGGAAGTTGAACCAATACGTCTATATCGGCGATGGTTTGTGACCAAGTATAATTTTCTCTTACTGCTCCGTTGTAACTATCGGATGATCTATCCCTCTCTGCCAATCGAGCAGATACGTTTGTCGTTTGATTCTCTTTACTCGTCTCGATTTCTACTTCGTGATCCATTTGTGGAATAATGGAATCTTCTTCTATCGCCATTGACTCGTCTTGGTCTTTATCGTTATTCTGGACAATAATGTCTTGGTTGGCCGATGGGTCTGTTCCGTTCGCGAATTTAGAAATACTTTTCCATTTTCGTAAACTGTGCAAAACGAGCTTCTCTATTGTACCAGCTGGAAATCCTAATTTTTCATATGGTCCAGATTCGACGTAAAAATCTGTACTGTAATTGAATTATATATAGTCATTTGTAAACGAGAAGAAAGAAAGAAAAAGAAAATCATACGTATAAAAATAATGCATCGATAAGGCGGTATATATATTGGCTCACCATCTGTACAAAAATCCAAAAAATGCGTCCAAGAAGTTCGTAATATTTCTCTCTTCTTGTAAAATTTCTAAAAATACCTGATCATGAGTAGAATTCATTATGAAGTTCTTTTCGGTTATAATAATTATATTGTTATCAAACGTTTTTAAACAGTATTTTAACCGTAGCGGTTCTTTCCTTCATCAGTACATCATTACTGACGTGCACTATTAACCTGTTTATTGTTGATCTACACGTTTGCTCGACATAAACTGTCTTTTATTTAAAATTTCATTCTCTATTGACAACTAATTGTCATAAATAGGTTATACAAAGATTTATTTGAGAAACACTGTTCAGAATTTTACCTACTGCTTTAATAACATTTATTGGTAATCATCGTCAAACTTATTAAAATCATTATTCTTAATTAAAATCGTGACGTATAAATTCTTTTATACAATTTTGAGCTTTCTGTTTGCTTTTTTAATTAACTCATTTCATTTGCTTCGAATGCCCTCTGGGATAATGTTTGGGCAAACATGCATCACGTTGATCATTGCCCATTGGTTCTTGTTCATGAATACATACAATGTCTTTCGCGGTACATACAATATACACTAATACACTTATACACATATAGCTACAGTTATAAAAGACAATGAGAAAAAAGAAGATATGTTTACCGCATATTTTTTATTTTTCTCGGACCTCTATTGCTTTCGGTTCTTTGCATAAGAAGTTCACTTTTCAAGTGAATCAGTTAGGCCAGTTATAAGCCAGCTAGGATAGAAGAGAGTAGATCAAAAGATGAGAAAGAGAGAGAGAAAGAGAAAGAGCTGGAAGAGACGAATGGTTCGATAATGGTGTCTCGCGCGTCGAACAGTGTACACATTTCTGTAAAAGTGATTTAAAGATATACAACGTAGATATATCAACGACAAAATTATGTCGACACGAACAAATACCCAAGCTGGATTTCAACCGGTATAAATAAATACAGATTTTTTACTTTTTTTTAGATTGTATATTATTAAAATTTCCGTCTAACCTTTGTTGTACACTGTAGGATTCAGACGTTTATGTTACGTATGAAGATCAACAGAAAATTAATAAGTTTGCGAGACAAAATGCTAAAATGGAAGATTTGAAGGAAGAGTTGAAAATCAAGCAGGTATGTACGTATTTGGCATCGACAATTGATTCGTGTTATTTGTAACCTTATTTGGTCATGTATAATTTTACATACATGTCATTGTGATTTATATAGAATGAATTAAAGAATTTAGAAGATGCTTGGGACGAAATAATTTTTCTAGATGATACTACAAAAATACCATATTATATCGGTGAAGTTTTCATTTATGAAGACGTGGAAAGGACTCAGGTATATTAATCTTTTGTATTATGTATAACTTCTATAATGTCTTTATTTAATAATAGAATTATTTTATTCTAAATTTTGAAGAAAATATTATAAATTTTATAGCTTTTGAAAATAACGCATAATATTCTTATATGTTTTATAAGAGAAACTGATATTTTTTTTAAATTAATCATTTATTCAAAATATTTTAGAATTATTTGGACGAACTTAAGGAGAAAAAGAAAACCGAAATTTCCAGTTTAGAAAGTAAATGCGCTGATTTAAAAAACATCATGAGCGAATTAAAAACGCAACTGTATGCAAAGTTTGGTAGTCGCATAAATTTGGAAGCGGAAGAAGATTGATCTAGTCAATTGTGCACATAAAGCTTTTGTAATTTAAAATAAAATTTTTATATTATTATCAATACGCGTGTGGTGTTACTTTATACATTTTGAATTTGAAAACATGTTAATCGTTACTGTATAATAAACATTTAATAAATTATAATTTTTCCACAATGTTTTTATTATAATTATCTTATTTGTCCTCTGATATTATTTTTAAATTTTACATATGTATGTATATATAATTAAAAAGATGCTAGCAACTTACCACTTTGCTAACTATGTCATTAAATTTGGATCAATACCAAATTGATCTTATTATAAACTGCTTAAATAATTTAACTAAAACAAATCACTCCCAAGTTAATGTATACCAGTTAAATATCTTTGTATTTTATGTTTTCTAATATTAATAATTTAATGAACATATTACAACCATTTCTAAACATAATATTTCATAATTAAGAATAACATAAAAAATGTCAAATACTCAAAAGTATAATATTGTAGTATGAATATTCTACTTTAAATTTAATTTCAATTTTTAAATTGTTGCAATTTAAAAAAAAATTGTGTATTATAAAAGTGGAAGATTCCTTGCCCAAAATATTGCAAAAGTTAAAATATATTTTTTATATCTGACACATAATTTATACTTTAATAAATGTAATGTACAACTTGAAGCTTGATTACAGCCATATACTATCTGCTTCCCTCTATCACTTTACTTGAGGTAATTTTAGTTTCACCTCTTAGCTTTGCTTGCACTAGTACCTAGTTAACTACAGCTCATTCAGTATATTCTTATCTGCTGTACAAGAATCATTCCTTTTCAGTTTTTAAAGTGAGCAGTAGATTTGCATAATATAAATGTAATGAATTAAATAAGACATCATATATTTATTTTCTATTGTTCTACCACTTTTTATTAAAAATAAAATATAACAGTTTTTTTTAACAACGTTTATACAAAATATGGACACAGCAAAGGAATTGATATTGAATTTAAAGCAAACAAATAAATCACATGTGGGGTATGGTTTACAGAAAGAATGTGAAGCACTCATTGGTCACATTTTACAAAATATGGTTCAATCCGAATTACCTGAATTAATTCCTGAGGTGAAAAATGAACAAGATTCTATCGAATATAGAGAACAAGGTATTAATGCTTTTTATATACTGTAATTCAATATGTATATCTCATTACATTACTACACAATAATAGGAATATTTACTTACATAACAATAGGAAATCAACATTTTGTAATGGGCGAGGATTTTGAAGCTATAAAATGTTATACAATGAGTTTAGCATACGCGGATAAAAAAGAACTTATGTCTTATGCTCATGCCAATCGATCTGCAGCTTTGTATAGACAACAACTTTACAAAGAATGTATAATAGACATTGATGCTGCTTTAAATCTTGGATATCCGGAAGAAAAAAGAAAAAAATTGAAGGAGAGAGGGATCAAAGCCGTTGAAGAAATTAAAAAGAAACTGCTGTTCAAAGAAAATGATCGTATTGATACAGAAAAATTTATGAACAGATGCCTATCAGAAACGGTAAATAATACACCTATTGTTGTAAAATATCGAAATGGAAAGAATAAAATTGGAAAAGATATAGATAAAGATGCTAAAGCTGACGAAAATAAACAAGATTCGATTAATGGTTGTCGCGAATCATCTGCACACGATAACGAAGACAGAGAACCAAGATACTTAGCGGATGAAGGTCCTTTAAAGCTGACTTATGGTCCCAGTAAGGAGGCTCCAGCTGCTAGCGATGGTGTTAGTATTGCTTTCTCTGAAAAATATGGTCGTCACTTAGTAGCTACAAAAGAATTTAAACCAGGAGATATAGTTACTATCGAAGATCCATTTGCTTTTACTATTTATATGCAAAGGTAATCAATTTGGTAACATTAAAATATGTTTTGATATTAACTAATTTCGTATATTACAGTTATTTTACGCATTGTCATCACTGTTTAGCAAGAAGCTTTAATTTGATTCCATGTTTAAAATGTCCAGTGGCTCAATATTGCTCAGAAACATGTAGGAAATTAGCTTGGGAAATGGCTCATCAGATAGAATGCCCGATTTTGGCATTAGTAGGAAACTTACTTAATGTTGATAAAAATAAAATACGAATGCTTACCAAAATCGTCAGGTTTTTAATTGTGGCAACAGCGAAAGGTAAAAAAATTCAAGAACTGCTCGAAGACATGAAAGTAGCTGAATCTAATCCAGGTAAAGAATAGGTTTGATATTTTATTTCTAGAAAAGAAAATATTAGAGAAAGTTAAAGTATTTTTAAATAATATGAAAGTAATGGCAAGTTATGTCATAAATAGTGAACTTTAACATACTGTTCGTGTATAGATTTTATAAAATTTTCTTTTGCAGATAATAGAACTGCAGGATTTACAGATGAAGGCATATTGGACAGTACTAGTTCACGATCTGCTCTGAGTCTTGCTACTAATATGACAACAAGACCACTCATTGGAATCAGTGCTTTTGCGTGTATCTCAGCTCTCGCAGCTATACTTTTAGCCACACAGACTAACTTCTTCTGCAAGAAATACGAAGTGGACCAATTAAGAGATATTAATGATCTTCCAGAGATCAAATTCTGTGGCAGCATTATGTTCCGTGCCTGTGTTATAATGTGTTCCAATTGTTTCTTAGTAATTTATTTAATGGATAATACTTAACATGTTATATAAAATTCGATAAAGTACAGAAATCAATATAAAACAATGTTACATCGTATGAAATTTATTTTGTAGGTGCAACAAGAACCAGGAATTAAAACAGGTTCAGGCTTATATATAACACATAGCTTGTACAATCATTCTTGTGCGCCGAATACATTTCGGCATTTTGAAGGGATGACAATGATCACTCGTGCACTAGAGCCAATATTTCCTGGAGATCAAATATTCACAAATTATTGTGCTTCATATGCATATATGACAAGATCTGAAAGAAGAGAAAAAATAATGCAAGATTACTTTTTTGAATGCGATTGCATCGCGTGTACATTTGATTGGCCATCATACAATGAAATTCTTCGAAACCACATTGGTTCTATTGCTAAAAATAAAGAGCTCGTGGCAAAATTGAAACCTTACAAGCAGAGATTAGCAAAAAATATGTATGATATTGAAGCTGTAAAATCGGTTCTGGGTATACTCTATAAAGAAGTGACCCAACCGTGCGAGGAAATAGTACATGCAGAACAATACTTGAAGAGCTATTATTTAGGTAAATTTAAGTAAACCAAAAGTGAATTTACTTACATTTGCTTATTTGCTTGTATGCTTTACTTATATGCTACGCTTACTTGCAAATACTAATAGCGTACTTACTTGTATCCTGTAAACCACATTTATCTCAATACTACACTTTGTACACTGATCTATTTTTTGCTTATTAATCTTATACTGCTGCTTTTAAATATTTAGCTTATATTATTCTATAAAAAATACATTAACTGTTTGGCTGCAAAGGTACGTGAGAAATGTGTGTATTAGATGCAATTCGATTTTAAGTTCAAGTCTATACATGAATTGTTTTGTTTTTAGATCCATAAAAGAGGCATCAATATTCTACTATGTTATCAATGAAAGACATGAAATATTCCTAAAAACAGTTTATTTAAGTTATACATGATATTTAGCTAATTCCTAAAAAAGTGTGCATAGCTTCTTTCATGCGTTATACCTGTATCAATGTTCAAACAAATTCAAATTTATGTAATGTAAATTTAAAAACCACATAAAGCGGAAAATAAACTTTTTAATGCCTGCCTTCCTTAGAAAAGAAACATTTTTAGACATAATAGATGCGTGACATCAATAATGCCACGAGAAAATTAGTATTTTATATATCATATATAAATTATAAAATAAAATGCTTTATATCTGTATCTTTCATATATTTTTATACTAAACAAAGTATATTGGACTTAAAAGTTCGACAAAATCACTTTTACTAATCTAAATTGAAGACCGAAGAATGTTACAAAATAATCATTTGACGAAACTAATAAAAATTATAAAAATGATAGAGGCAATGCTAGCAATTCATTAAAATTACAATGCAATAAATCCTACGCATTATTCCAAGATTATCATATAATTGCAATAAACAATGGAATTATACAATTAAATTACTGATCTCTAAGTCAATATGTTACATATTGAAATATTTTTTATCACAATAAACTATTTAGATTTCAATAAAATATAATGTACCTTGAATATATTTTGTTAATATTCAAGATGTATTTGAATCTTGTTTAATTTTGTAGAAATAAAAACAAAGAAACACCGAACACGCGTTAAAAATTTATTAAACGTTACCGATGTTCTAAATCTCTTCCACTTAAAGCGCTATAATAAGTATAATGTACTAAAATATGTCTGTCCGGAAAATGAAAGAGTAAACAAATATATTTTCAGATATCATTATATGTATCTCTGTAAATTATATAAACAGAATCTATAGAACTTATATAAATTCTATATTTAAAAATGTATGTTTTCAGCACAGTGCAGTCTTACTATATGATTTCTATCCGTTTATACAATCTACTGAGCAAGTTCGCCCTCATACTCTCACAAATTTAGGAATTTAAACATTCCCAATGTGGTGAATTTACAAATTTACAAATTGACAAGTTGAAAAATTGTCCAATTTAGAAATTTTTTAATTTTAAGCTACATCGTTAGTTCTACGACTATAATAATAAAACAGTGTATGGAAGGAGTTTCATTTATATGACTCATTCCACAATTTTTTTTGCTCCTATAGCTCCGCTCGAGAATCATACAGCAAGACTTCACCATGCATGGAAAAACATGCTAACATTTCATTAGACACAAATATCAAAATCATGTACTATTGAATTTTGTTAGCATTTATCGGATTTTTACTAAATATCATTGCAAAATATTCAGCTCATATTTTATTAGACGAGTATGAATGCGAGAAAAATAAAGGAGTACCATATCTCCATTTTTCATTATATAATAAATAATGATAAACGAATTAAAATCGTCCGATATTAGAAAAAGCAGCAAATAGAGGTGTCGTAGTTGTAGCTGGTTGCTGATCGCCGATGCTTTTGAGCAAATTGCCTTGTAACAGACTGTCAAGTGCCTTTTGAACTGTTGGATCGTTTAGTAGAGGTGACGGCGAAACTCCCGTAGTAGTTGTAGTTGTGGATGCTGTTGTGGCAGTTGATGCTGCTGGCATAACATGATGTACTCATGAAGTAAGCAGTACCAGCAATATATATGTATATGTATGTGTATGTATATAATATATATATATGTATATACATATAAATATATATGTATATTCGAAGTTCGTTCGCTTTGATCACTGCATCATATAGTAATCACAATTTCACTACACGCACGAACTAAATGAAAAAACCCAAAGCGTACGAAGTTCGTTTACGTCTAATCAATCACGTACAATGACTGATTGAAATCTAAATTTTACCTGAAATTATTTGTCTAAGAAATTCTTAGACAAAATACACATTTTTCTCTTTAATGTTAAATAGATTGTGAAACTTCTTTAACAGAAATTTCTATACGCGACTGAAAAACATTTCTTTGGAAATGTTCATGAAATGGACACAAACAAATCCAGAAAGGAAAACGTAAAAGACAGGTGCTTCAAAATTTCTAAGATGCACCTATAAAAACGATCTTCCTACAGATGAAAGATAATGCAACAGGTCTTTCTTTCGCTTGGAAACCACAATAAAAATTTTATTTCCAATGCTACTCGTTTTGAGTAATAAATGCACCATTAATGGTATTCTTGTAAAAAAACAAAAAGGCAAGCATTCCAATTGTACAATATGTACATAACGCAATGAAATTACACTCCTTCCGAAACTTATACAGCACAAACTGTTAATTAACTTCAGTAAAATCACTACCTATTAAATTTTTATGAAATTTATACTATTCCCAATTTGTAAGTTACGATATAGAAATTGACCATAAACTTAGCAAAGATTTGATACTATATACATTTCGTTAAAATTTAAATAATGATATCTTAAAAACCTTACCTCCCCAAGTAGCTGGTGGAACAGGTGTCGGTGTCGAAGTTGGAGCTGGTACTGGACTAGGTGCTGGCACGGATGAATTTGTTTTGTTACTGTTTAGGATGTTAAGTATTCTAGATTGTAATTCGGCTTGTTTCGGGTCGCTAACTGTTATCGTAGTTGTCGCCGTTGGTAAATCTTTTACGTCTCCTAACTCAACTTGCACCTGTTCTTCGCGTTTAATTTCCAGATATTTTATAACACGATCATATTGTAACACTGTTAGTTGATGATTATCAGCCAACATATTTAAAAGAACTTGAATAGCATCAGGATGTCTTTCGTTCGCGAAAGGTGTATTCAATGGAACCGATCGTCCACCAGCCTTGTAATTAGCAAAATCACGTTGTATTAAATTAATAGCATCATCGACGAGCATATTTCTGTGTTCTATATGAAACAATGAATATATATTAATATCACGATTATTAAATTCTTTGAACATTATTGAAACAAATACCTTGAGGTAAACCGTGAAGAATATTTAAAGTTAAGGAATGATGTTCTTGATTAATAGGTGTAACGACAACTGCGTATAAACATCCACGGCTTGCTATATTTCCTAGAACTCTACTTAAAAGAACATCTTCATTTGGAAATAATAAATCCACTGTTAATCCGATTTTCTTTAACCTCATTTCAATACTTTCAGCATACTCCCTGTACGAATAAATATTAGATAAAAAATACATTCCATAACTATACAAAAACTACATTACTTTTATACATACGTTAATGCTTTGTTCACAACAATAATTTCACAGTCATTTTTTTCAGTTACCACATTTGAGTATTCGGTTGATGTGCTGGTATTGCTGTTAAAGCAAATACAACATTAGATGTAAATTGTAATACCTACAACAAGTAATAAGAAGAAAGAATCACGAATTCTGACGATAAACTTACTTAAAATTGATGTTCATATCTCTAGGGCCAGAGTTCTTGAAATCTTCGTAACGATTATTACTGTCGTTAAATGAATCTCGACCAAAATTGTTCCCCCTTAATCTGTCACCTTGTTTGTGATCCCAATCCCGTGCACCTTTGTCATCTAAACGACCACTTCTATTAATAGGACTACGGTCTCTAAAATTATTCCCACTTGAATTGTCCCTATTTTTATTACGGTTTTTTGCACCTCTGTTGTTCCTTGCTCTACCACCACCGCCACTATTCATACCACCACCTCCACCACCACTTTGACCATGATTATTCTGATTATTTGAATTACGATTTTGATTTCCTCCGGGTCTATTTTGATTTCCCCCTGGACCAAACTGATTGCCACCTCTATTTTGATTAAATTGGTCACTACTGCTCCTGGTCTGATTATTCGGATTAAATTGATTATTTCCTTTATTTTGCATCACATTAAACTGATCGTTTCCACTGTTTCGATTTTGATTTGCAAACTGATCATTTACATTGTCCCTATTCTGATTAGCATCGTTAAATTGATCATTTCCACTGCTTCGATTTTGTATAGCATTTCCTTTTTGGTTATCATTTAACTGTGAATCGCAGTTAAAACTCTGATTCGAGTTAAAACTTGAATTTCCCCCATAATTTTGACTCCCGCTATTAAAAGAATCATTTCCAGGATTAAAGTGATTATTATTAGAATTAAACTGATTATTGGGTCCTCCTAATTTCCCTGGGCCCCCGCCACTGGATTGATTGTCTTTCTTTGCTGGTCTAACATCTGTTCGAAGAGACAGAAAACATGAAATTTTACAACTTACATCCATAATCATTGATAAATTAAAGAAATAACCCTAATAAAAAGTACCTATTCTTCTGCCTTTGAACATAGCACCATCTTCGTTCTGAATAGCTTTTTGAGCAGATTGTTCTTCCTCAAATTGAACAAAGCCAAAACCTCGATTTATCAAAGAACCAACAACAGTTCCATATTTTGAAAAGTGTTCTTCCAATTCATGTTTGGTCATATCGTCCGTTTGTAAATGACCCACAAATATTCGGCTACTTACAGTAGCAGGATCTTTTAAAAGTCTTACACTCATTTTTACGTGATTTGCTTTTAAAAAGCAATCGTTAAAAGTAAATATTTATTTGGATGAATGATTAAATGCACTAACCGCATTCAAACGATAAAAACAACAGAGTTTATATTACAATGCTGACGTTCACTTCTTACAATTTACTTCGTTTAAGTATACTATCGGCAACACAAGGATGATAACATTATACAGCAGTAAACAGCTTGTTTGTACTTTCTGTTTAGTTTCTATTAGTTTCTCACTACACACCGCTATGGTAAAAAACAGGGCTCTTTCATCAACAATCGAAAGCTGAAGAAATTACATATAATGGCGCGTATATATAAAATTTATCCTTCAAGTGTGTTCTATTTTAATACATATGCAGGTGCGTTTATCTAAACGCACCGTGAGGATTCCATATAAGCCATATTGAATTCACAATTGAGCGAATGTATTTAAAGGTCCACACAAACTGGATGAGCATAAATGAACGGAGAAAAAAGAAGTTTATTCGATATGAATAACGTATGATCGTTATGCTCGTACACGGATGCTCGCCCAATCTGTAAGAATTTTAATGACATCAATTATTGGTTTCTTGTGAATAAGCCTTACGAAATCGTACGAAATGAGACAATTCTTCATTGATGAATTCCTTGTTTCGCTGAAACATTACATAGCATGTTAACCTGATGTTAATCACTCAATGTATTTACAGGAAAACGGATGTATACACCCAGTGATAAAGAAAATTATTTTTAATCTAATAGAAACAGTTCGAATTCTGAATTTTCTTTATAAATACTGGTTAACTACAAAATAGTGAAGACGGAAATACTTCTCAGCGCCATCTTGCCCCGTAACATCTAATTCGTCAGTGCCTGTGAATGGACTTGTCATAAGTGTTTTATATTATTTTGCTTCTTGTTTCGGTTAAAATTAGTGGATTAAATTCGCTGTATACGTTACGGTGAGTAAAATGATACATGTTGATCGACGAACAGAGTTACGGAATCGTAACGTCATTAATATAGAAGTGCAAGTAGCACAATCTAGAATAAGAATCGAACTTGGTCAACTTACTTCGATAGTTTAATTCTTTTATATATTTCAATTGATAATGTATCTTTTCATTCGTTCATCTTTTTTGTGTAGTTTTACGTTGTCCTGTATGTGAAATATATCGAAAACGTACAGAATTACGAGGAAGTCACGCCCGAGCATGAGAAAGTGCAGATAGAGTTTCGAAATTGACATATCACGATATATTTTCATGGATTAGCCTTGCACTTAAGTTAGTGTATGTATACCTATTGCATTAGTTACGTTAATTATATCAAGAAAATAGCTCATATAACGTGAACAATCCATGACATTATTCTTAAAATCTATCGAAAGAAATTATCTTATATTCGTGTTGCGTACGATTGTCATTTAATGCACGTACATACATAAATTCTTAAAGTCACTATGCATATAGTTAATTTAAACTTTCAAACGCTACAAAGAAATACGCGGTAATAAACTTTTTATACACGATGAAAAAGTGTTTTACGTAATTCGAAGAAAAACAAGGAGACGCATGTTCAATTACTGCTTTTAATATTTAATATTTAAGGTTAAGAAATTGTAAAATGCTAACTTACAAAGTCTTTTAAACGACATATTATTATTTAGATTTGTTGAATCTTTATAATGTTATTTATTTCATATTTACGAAAAATAGAATAAAGAAAGAAAAATAACGTGAAAATCAATAGATTCATGGATGTTAACAAACATAATACCTTTTAACTGTCTCAAAGAAACCATATAATAATAATCCTGAACCAGTTTAACGTATAAGTAATTCTTTTAAAATTTTACTGGATTCTGACAATTTTTTAGATGAACCATAGTGTCAGTGTTGTTTCCTGTGTATAAAAAGTTGCATTATACATGAGCCATGATAAGATAAGATACAAATATAGTGACGTTAACTAGAAGATAATAAAGATTTCTTCGCTTTTCAGTTTAATATCACAGCTTTCTTGAGGAAAAGTAAATATCCTTTAATTCGTAAATGTAAGTAACTTTGTTTATTCTCATTGTTGCATGCGGCTTATTAATTTAAAAAAATAGTAGTTTAGTTCAAATTGTTTTCCTTCTGATAAAACTTCTGATAGAACTTTTTCCTTTTGATATTTTCTCTTTTTAATTTCTTTCATTAAAATGCTTGCAAAAGGTTATAAACAGGAAGTAGTTTCAATGATTAAGTTACTTTATATACTTTATATCTATCAAGTAATTACAATTTAAGTAATTTTAGTCGGTGCCATACCGGTGAAATAAGCTTAATATTGCACAAAAACTGCAACTTTGAATTAATACTAAAACGTTTTATTAGAAGGGCACATCTTACATTTGGAATTTTTTAAGCGTTTTCTATACAAAATCTTGAAAGCATTATAATCCTGAGATTCCTACTTAAATTTTTTATTAATTCAGAGTTATATTTTATTATAATTGCATTTACCTATAAAGGGATTAAGTAAGTTTACAAGTATAGATAGTTGCTTTTTATGAAAAAAAGTGTTTAGACATAGGATATAGAATTATGTGGTTAATAATATTTTCCTCTTAGAGAATCCTACTTGTATATCCCATATACATTGGTAGAGGGTTTTATTATTTTCACGTTACACACGTAGAGAGGAAAATGTTATAACTTTTAAAATAAGTATGTGCCTTGTACACATTATTTAAAAAAAAGTATCCTTAGCTAAGAAAAGTATTGTGTATCGCGTATGTATGTGACAAGAGTTGTGCCTATTTAGCTTTTAAATATTATCGTGTATAACCTTTTATATGCAGCACAAGATTTGTAAAAAAATTTAGTGATATTCCATATTGTTACACATGTATATGTATGTTAATTAACAAATTCATATGCTTATAATATATATATATATATATTTTTATTTTTTATTAGAACAGTAAAGAATGCAGTATTCTGTGCAATATTTATTTGCATAATATTTTAAAATATCTTTAAAGTTACATATGAAATGCACTCGGTTAATCACGCGATTATTACTATATAAATAAAACTTTGTTCATCATTGACAGATAAATATAACAAACCTTTCTTATTTATTTAATGAACTATCTAATAGTATAGGATTTTATTCTGATTTGAAAAGTGTTCTGGGGTTTTCTGTATTTCTGGACAAGAAGTAGCTTCATCAGCGACACCAGCCATATTTCGTATGCCAACAATGGCTATGCAGAAGGTAAATTTTCTAACTGAATACAGTTAACAGAATAACAAATGTTATTACATTACTAATCAATCGTTAGAAAATGTTTAAAAGACAAATAATGTAGATAAATGTTTTATGAAACCCGTAATGGACAATATACAGGATGTTATTAAAAGATATTCCTTTTTTAGTATAATAATACAAGCACAGATATACAACACAAAAAATACAAGTTGTTACGTAATTTATTAACTAACAAAATTTTGTACATGCAATAGAATACCATCCTGTATATGTAAAAAAATACGATGATTATAGTTTTTAGTAATCTAATTTTTGCACACATTTAAAATCATTTATGTTTTATTTTTGCAAAATTATGTAACAATGATAAGTTATGTACATTATGCAAGTCAGTATTGCATCAACTATTATTTTATAAAATATAATACTTCTAACATTAAATTTTTCTGTAAAGAAAGTGGTCCTTAGTAGGAAATTTAACATATTCTGGTAAAAAAAGAATTATAATTATACAATTTACAGTTAAATACCTTTGAATATACATACCTAGTGTTAAATGCTCTGTTTTGGTTAAAACTTTTTATCTAGATTACATACATAGGCACATCTCGAAAAGAACTAATCTGCTTTAAAGCTTTATATACATATAAATCACGCATTAGAAATGGTTACATTTATTCGGTTTCATTATGTTTATTATACTTTGTTTAGCATATAATTTGCAAATTATACAATGATATCATATGTAGAACAAATGAATATCGTTAAAAAAAGGATTTTTTTTATTTTTACATCAACTGCACTGTTAGTTTAGGTATTTTCATTCATTTTAATACTAACCATATAGAAGGTAGGAATAATACATTAATTTGGTAAAAGGTAGAGTAGCATACAAGTTTACAACGAGTGTTATGCTTTCTTGCTAATGCATATTTTAGACGCATGGCTTCGGTACCAAATGGTTGCCCATATTTATTATCAGTTTTTGTTCAAATTGTTCTTTTAAGGAAATATAGCTGAACTTGTGTTTCAGTCACATTCTGTCGAATATAATTCACCATAAACAATGATAAGTATGGGCTTCTAGAAGAAATTTGAATATTAGTGCCTGCTTGTAATATAAAGTGATAATCTTTTAGATGAGAAGACAAGGTCAAGACGTCATGCAGGTGAATTTGGCAGGTATCAGGCGAGACATTGTTAATCTCGCTCATAATTATAGTAATGCACAGGTAATAATTTTTTACTTTAACATCTATCTAATTGTCATACGTATATAAATTAAAATAATGAATATTCGAATAGAAAGCTGTACGAAAAGCCACCAGCAATGATCCCTGGGGTCCAAGCAGTACGCTTATGGCAGAAATTGCTGATCTAACTTACAATGTTGTTGCTTTTACCGAAATTATGCAAATGTTATGGAAGAGATTAAATGATCATGGAAAAAATTGGCGACATGTGTACAAAGCTTTAGTTCTTTTAGAGTACCTTATTAAAACAGGCACAGAAAAAGTAGCACAGCAATGTAAAGAAAATATTTTTGCCATTCAAACGTTGAAAGGTAGATAATTTAATATTTCATTTTATAAAAATTTAACATAAAATATTGATAATTTAGACATTTTTTTCCTTTGTTTTGTTCATACTAGATTTCCAATATATGGAAGGATCTAAGGATCAGGGAGTGAACGTCCGGGAGAAAGCGAAGCAACTAGTGGCCTTATTAAAAGATGACGAAAGATTAAGGAATGAAAGAGCTAGAGCACTAAAAGCAAAAGAAAGATTTGCACAATCAGTTAGTGGATTTGGTAGCGATGGATTAGATACTATGTCGCCTGTAAGCAGTGATGTAAGTAAAAATTAATGATAGTAATAAAACCTGCTATTTCTCTTTTTCAAATGCTTCCCACATTACTTTAGTTTCAGGATTGGGAACCGTGTCGTTTAGGATCCGAATCTACAGCCAGGCGTACAAGTAAACGTTTGTTCAACATTTTTCTATTAAACTTTATTTATTTATTATATACAGTAAAGTCTCGATTATCGGAGTCGATGTGCACTACATAGCATTAAGTACACAGAGCACCTCGGATAATACGGAACCTCGGTTAATCGAGATTCCACTGTATAGAATTTTACGATACTAATAAAAGTGAATATATCATAGCCGAATTGGAAGCTGCAAGACCACAAACGGTCGGGGAAGAAGAATTGCAGTTACAATTAGCTCTTGCAATGTCAAGAGAAGAAGCAGAACAGGAAGAACAAAGAAGGCGTAGCGATGATGTTAGATTGCAGTTAGCTCTTAGTCAAAGTCAACAGGATTTTAAGTTAGTGAAAATCATTCTAAAACAAGATTTATTTGGTTAAAGTACTTACCTAAAGAAATACATAAATTATAGAGCTCCACAAACTGAGAAACAAAGTCATATGCTAGATCTGTTGGATGTGAATTTGGAAGAAGCATGCGGATATAATGTAAAAACTGATCCTTGGGGTATACCGATTACAGCACCTCCGCCCAGACCGCAGGTATATAATTTTCAATAAATTCGATTTCTGTATACGCTTATTGCACGATAACACAATATTCCACACATTTTGCATGTTAAACAGTCTTTGGATTTATCTCATTTTTATACGTATAAGGTATGTTTAACTAATGTAGTAAATACCGCGACAATAATGCACTATGAAATACTAGAAAATTTTCCAATAGTTGTTTTATGCTCGAATGTCTTTACTATACAGCAACAGAACGATCCATGGAGTGCTCCTACAACAAGTAGTACATCACCTGCGATTGATCCATGGACTCCTGTCCCGCCGCAAAGACCAAGTAAAATTTGTTAATAAAAAAAATCCCGATTAATATAAAAATATATTGATTATATCGTAATTAATTTGCGATTCTATTTTAGCTGCTGCGATTGATCCATGGAGAGCACCTCCTTCATCGCCTGTGACCGTTACATCTTCACCTAGTACAGATCCTTGGTCTCCAATACCTTCTGCTACTACAGTTGCTACCACTATCGAAGCTGATGCAAACAAAAAACAGGTAAAAAAGACCCTTCGTCGATTCGTAGCATTATTCATATCGTTTGAAAGTATATTTTTAACTATTATACATATATGTACTATATTTATATTATTGCCGAATTAATTTGATTATTGCAAAATTATTTAGGCTGGCCGAGAAGGTATAACATCTACTTCTCCAGCTTTTAACAATTCCACTTTAACGCAGAATATCGGTTTTGCTGCACAGTCGCCGCAAAACATCGGCTTTAATTTGCCTACTACTTCAAGTGCTACTTTCAATACTAGCAACGGCTTCAATGGTACTGGGCCTAGTCTTAACAATTTCTCCATTGGAAATCAGAACAGTTCTGCAGCCAGTCCGCTGAACGATTTAGACGAATTTGATATAATTACTAACAGAAATAAGCCTGGATCTAGTCTTGAAACGGCAAACAATGGTACTTATTTAATATTTTTTTCGGCTGCTTTTCAATTACAACGAGTAATCATTAACGTTATGTTTATCCGATGGGGCTATAGGAGGTACGTTATCACCAGATCCATTCGATTTGGGTAGTATAGCTGATAATCTTCCAACAAGTACGGGAGCCGTTAAGAAAACACCGCAATCGTTCCTCGGAGAGAATTCTGCTCTTGTTAATCTCGATAATCTCGTCAGCACGTCTGCAATCAAACCGACAACACCTACACCAGCAGGTAATATTTGCTTTAAAATAGTCTTACTATAGTCTCTACATCGCTCAAAAGTGTAAGGTATTACATAAATGCAAAATAATATGTAAGATAAGTCTTGAAAAACTTTTGATCATCACTTGTCAGAAGTACATAATTATTGAAGGTTTTAATCTAAATTGCATCGAGTCCAATAAAAATAGATAATACGTTACGTTATTTGTAACACGTTTTGTCTGTAAAATAGCATTTCATTGGAAGTAAATTCGTAAGTATTTAAAAATTGATCAATAACTGCATGAATGCATGCTTCGAATATCACATTTGACAAAATTATGAAAATTGTATCTTTTGAGTGGAATATTTCAGCAGAAAGAAATCCGATGGAATCATTGACGTTATATTCATATGTATTATCCTTTGAAATGTTGCTATTGGTTTCTTAGTATTAGGAATGCAGGAATCTAGACAGGAATATAGGGATTTAGAGTTGTAAGGATACATGTTTCGCTTTTATAGTATAGATCATATAGTTTAAATGAAAGTTATTAACAACTTTACAGCGGCCATCACATATTCAGCAAATCCGTTCGCGGCGGCAACACCACCACCCCGTCCTACAATCAATCAGATTCGACAGGACCCTTGGGCAGCGAATACGACTACCACAGCAAATCCGTTCCTCTCGTAGCTCGATGATCATTTCAAAATCTCAGTCGAAAGTCAAGAGCACTGTGGTTTGAAAAGTATTCGAAGTTTTTAGCGGCAACCCTGTACGGTATAAGTTTCTTGCTCGTTATGAAATAATTTAACTTCAAGATATAAATGAGAAATGAACGATAATCATCATCTTGTTAAAACCAGGTATTTATTACGCTCGTTTTAGCTATTTAAAGAAACGATTAAAACGATTTTCATTAAAAACTGATCCGAGTAAGAACGTCTATGACCTTAAGCAAAAAATGGAAAGAAGTGTGAGGAAATATATTACGAAAATTTGAATAGATAAATTTTATCAATCATATTTGCTTCTAAGCAATGACTAAAAAGTGTTTTACCCGTTCCTATTTTCTCTTTTGTTTATTCACAGTAGAGTTTTGCTATATGGTCTTGAACGGGGTTGTTCTACAGAAAATGTTTAAATTAAAAAATGTCTAAATTCCTAAATTTGAGAGTTCGCCGTTAGTGTGCATGAAAGTTCATATGAAAAAGAATTGGCAGGAAGATCGTACGAAAAAGAGTCGTATAGTAAAACTGTACTCTATATAAAAATGTTTATGTCTATTGTCATTTAGTTATTCTTATTTTATTGCGCGTACTAATAACTAACGAGGAACTATCTTAAGAGAGGCAATACATAGTAAATCAAATGGAAAAAAAAAAAATGAACGAAATTGTACAAGTCGTATTTCACCTACAAACGCTTGTGCGCTCCCAAGGTATAACTAAATTTTATAAGGACTTTTTCCATATATAGTATATTTTTTAAGTACTGTTCGAATTGGTAATAAATCATTGAACAACATTTTTATTAGATTATAGGGTATAAAGTAACAATTGATGTTAAGATCATTTTCTTTGTTTTATATTCATGTACATGTTTTTCTACAGCTAATGAGATCGTGAGACTGTAATCGTGATTTGCAAAAATATATTATATCGAACAGGGTTCTTTAATTTATGTTATACGCTTAATGTGACACGCATTAATTGTGGTTCGTGAAATATTCTTGTCATAGCATGCCTTTTACGACTAATACCCGTCTTACGAAAGGAAATATGAACATTAACGATACGATAGATCGTTTCCTAATACTTCATAGTTCTCGAAGATGGGACAATCGAGCAATTTTATCGTTACAAAAGTAATATATCATCTTCAACGCTGTAATGGTAAATACCATATGTACAAGTTAATTTTATTTTTGAAACTTTATGCATTTCATTTGGACGATTATTGAACATCGACTAGATGTACTGCGAAGAAAAAATGCGTCGCGTCACTAATATGCATTTTGTTTAACGATGAGGAGTTAATCGAAGTGTGCTTTATTCTTTAATGAAAACCGTTCATTTTTTATGGCAATTTTTGATGGCAATTTTCCATGTTAGGACAGTGTCTTTATGCGTTCGACTGTCAGATTTAATCAACAATCATGATCTGATAATGAAAGATAATGCAAAGCGCATTACTTTCTTTATACATGAAACGATTTACAATTGTACCTTGATTTATATTAAAAAAGAATTGTAAATATGTTACAGCATATCGTTCCCCGATTGTACACATTACTTTTGCGGTCATAAAGTATGTAGAGTATTCTATTAAAATCAGAAAAGTTTTGTAATATCTTATCAATTAGTTCCTGTTTTTAAGGATAATGTTGCCCAGTTTGTTATTGTATATTTTCTAAATATTTTTTGCGACTGTCACTGCAGCTCTATAAGACAAGAACGTGATTCGATACTTTCTAATTATTGTATTAGCGATTGTTTTGAAGAATTAATTTATTGGTAAATAATTTTAATCCAAACGTGGCATTTCCATTTAAAAAATGTAAATGCATTTCGCAATTTTTTTTCCTTTCTAAAATGCTGTTTCTCATACGTTTAACGAATGACAAAGGGGATCTATATTTGTCTGTTTGTTCTAAGTAAAACATATATGAATTGCACGATTTAAATTGTGTTAGGTAAATATTGCTTAAATAATTCCATTGTATTATTCTCCGTTAAATTAATATTTTTTGTTTCTTTATGCATTTTCAAACGTAATTGCTTATATATTTGAAATTGTATATTTAATGCGTATTTATCCAAATGTTCGCGAAATAATGAAGTTGGGTCTATATGATAGGCCTTAATTTTTCCTATGAATTTAAATTTCAGATTATAATATACAGACAACGATCTATTGTTGCTTTTATAGAAGAAGAAGGAAAAGTATTGCATTCAATCATTGTGCCTATTGATATACGTGTAAACATTGCTATACGCTTTGAAATTTTTTTTCTGCTCGCTAGAAATGATAAGATATATTTTTTTTCTGTAACCTATTGACGAAAAATTCTCGTTTGCATATAAATGTTGTAAATGCACAACCTTCATTTTTACGCGAACAATGGAACACTGTTTAGTTTTTAATTGGTGTAAGAGCAGAAAAAGTTTAAAGAACATTTATGAATGATGATATATTTTAGTAGAGTATTATATTATTATTATTATTATTATTATTATTATTATTATTATTATTATTATTATTATTATATAAATAAATGTAAAAATTTTTAATTGTGATTAAATATTTAATTTGAAACTTCCTTGTATATTATTTTTTTAATATATTATAATTGAAAATAACAAAAATTGGTATAAAATGAAATAATACCAACTGGAAATCATTTTATTTTAAAGGGATGCTTCGGTCGAAGAACTTCTAGTAACTGGAGGTAGAAAATACGAGCGAACTTGGCTATGTAATTGTGCTATTTCAGGATCTTTTCTTTCAAAGGCCCTGAGTTGTTGTGTAAACAGAACTATACCTGTAAGAAAAAAATCATAAATTGTCTATGATATAAATTGCAATTTCTTGAATTTTACCTTACCTTCTCTACCTTCCGAAAAGCCGTACTTCTTAATCACATCCATTTGAATTTGTATAATAACTGGAAATACAAACTGCATCCTGTTCAGCATTCCATTTCCAGATTTTTCTTCAGCTTCTGCTAATTTTTGAATATTTTCTGCAGCATTTAGTGCACTTAAGACATCGGTTAAAACAGCTAAAAATGATTATCTTTATTACAAGAATTTCAAGATTTTTTAGTACTTGTATTAGTTGTGCTTAACATTGTCCAATAATTTTGAGTATAAATACTGATTGTTAAAACAGTTTTATCCAATTTTATTAAGGATCGAAAAATATATTGTTGCCAAGTATCATGTATAATCTTCCTGAATAATTATTAACACTAATCTTTCAATTACCTTTTGCAATTTCTGGAGTAAAAATCGGTAAAGATGTCATTATGCAAGTAAACTTTATAATTTGTTTACCTCAGTCAGATAGGTTAAAACTATCAAATTTGTCTTACGTAGAATTATATATAATCTTATTGTTATTTTGTTTTATCACTGTAAGCATACATTTTTTTATAACAGATTCATTGTAAAATTTTAAACTGCTCCTCTAAGATTTTTCTTTGTTCTTGTCTGCAGTAAGTACTTATTTTAAAAACACATACAGTTAAGAAACTAAACTGCGAATACCATTTTTGCATTTATTGACTTTTCCGATTTGTTAACACTTCCTAAACATTTTAAAGCTCAATAATATAGCTTTTTGAGATGATTTTGTAAATATTATTGTGTATTTAAATCGAAAAGATTAATGTCAATAGAATGTGCTATAAACGGTACAACTAGTGCTATCTAGCAGTGAGCAGCAGAGTTAGTAAAATAGAAAATTGCTTTGCACACGTAAAAACGATATATTTTGTTAATAATGTCATAATATGGTATTTGTAACAGTGGAAATTATATAAAATTTTATAACATATCGAAAACTATACATTAAGAAGTAAACAAATAATTGATCAATACTTTAAAACAGGAAAAAAAAGTGAAGGTCCCACCGAGATTTGAACTCGGATCGCTGGATTCAGAGTCCAGAGTGCTAACCATTACACCATGGGACCTTGTTAAAAGAGTTTCTATTTTATATATTTAAGAAGTTTTACGAATAACACAACTTTTACGTTTACATTATATTGAAAATTTTTAACTCTAGTTAAATGTAATCGTAAATAATGACGAAGGTAACTACTCAAAATATTTATTAGTACAGCAGATACACCTTATGCTTTGTTTCGTAATTACATACAGTTTGTCGAATTTACGAAGAATATATAAATAATAAAAAAGGTAGATGCTGCATGTAATTTGAAGTATTAAATGTGTTGTGTGTGTATGTATGTATGTATATATGTATATATACATAATTGACTACTACAATTATAGTAGTCAATAACAATGATCTTCATCAGTCATTGGATTCTTTGTTGTTATCAATTGTACTTTGCATTGAGTTGGTATTTTCTTTTATTCTTTTTTCATCCGTTTCTGATGCTTTGTTAACATCAGAATTATTGTCCTAAAAATCTGTATGTTATACACTATACTAAAACATAAATTAATTAATATAAAATATCATCTGTTATCACCTTTGTACTATTTGCAGGTTCTTTTATATTACATATTTCTAACAAATTGTATTTTTTAAATTTATAATAATGTGGAGCAACAGACATAAGACAAACACCGCGTATTACTTCAACAATTACAGCAAGTTCCGGAGCTTTTAAATCTGCTTTATTTCCAGGATTCTTTTTGCTTATTATTTCTGCTAAATCCTCGATAACTTCATCTCTGTTTATATTATTGTTACTATGACGACTGAAATGATATTTTGTACACATACTGTATATAGAAAGTAAATGATATTTATAAATTGTAGCTTAAATGATAACAAACTTACTTAAACACAATACTGAATGTTTTTGGTTCTTGTGCAAAATATTTTTCAAGCATTGTGTCTGCTTTCAACTTTATATCATTCATGTAAGCTTTACATACAACTTCAATTGGAAGCAATCTTAATAAAAATCTAGTACGTTGTTGTTTTGTTCTATCTAATTCCGTAATAATTTTAGTAACTAATTCTAATGGATGAATTATAGAGCTTCTTATAAAAATTACATTTTTTACACCAGTATCAACTACCTAGCAAAAAGATTATATTAAAAAGCATTGATAAGAAAGTAAAAATATAATTTAAATTTTGTTTAAAATTTACCTGAAATCTTCTAGAATCCACTGGTTTAGCATATTCTGTTTTCAATTCATTAATTTCTTTGTTTAAAGCAGTTGATATGTCATCTTCTTCGTCACTTTGATCTGTTTCATGTTTTTTTATCATAGATTGTTCAGTATTATCATCATTAAAATCCTTGAATTAAGAAGAAATTTCATCTCATATTTTTGAACTGTAATTTAGTCATATCGATTTTGTGATTTCATTATACCTTTTTAGTATTTGATCCGTAAATTTCATCGGCAAATTCATTCAGTAATTTATACGCATCGCGTACACAATCTTTCTCACGATAATTGCATGTACATAAGAAACCTCTCATACCCGGTTCCAAATTAAATTGCTTATGTTTTTTTTTATTATTATTATAGTAATAATTCCTTTTCCGTTTTTGAACATCCATTTTCAAAAATACCTGAATAATGCCCAGAAATAATTAGTTTCACCTCATATTTACAAATGCCGTGTGAGATTCTTAACCAATATTTATCATAGGAATAATATGCATGCAATTGTATAGATTTATATATTATTTAAATTTTAGATTTCACATACATACTGTTCTACTAAAATGTAACGTTTAATTAATTGCTTCAAGTTTGTATCCGATCAAACTGTTCAATGAATTCAACTTGTTTTTATGTTTACAAAGATTCAATCTACTGTCTCTACAGTCTCCGCGTAACACGTGACCCCGCAGTCGTAACTATAGTACATATCAATGAAATATATTTATTTATAATATAATATATGTATTTAAATACACTGACTCAAGTGTGTACTACTCTAAAAAGAAAGGAAAGCAACAGAAGTCTGAAAACAATTGAATATTATGGAAAATATTAAGAAAGTTACTTCTTGACTTTACATACGACGTAAATAATCTCTTTTTTTTCTATATTACAGAGAAATTAGAAATAGATAAGTTGATGAACAGACAGAGACTTTTTTGTTTCTAACTCTTGTTATAGTCCAATTCCAAGAAGCACTTAGCTCACATGATCTAGATCTAATGTTTATAGTTGCAAGACTAACAAGACAAATTTCCCTAATATCTTTCCTCTCTCTCAGGCTGGATCCAATTTTACAGTTACACATTTTAGTCACTGTCAATTCTAATAGGACTGAACGATCGTGGCATATGTATATAGTTTTAAAGCGACATAACCAGCTGACAGTATAGCTCATGTTATATGTATGCAGGAAATATGAATTATAAATTCTTGCTTTTCCTTCACTTTTTCTTGAGTTCTTTAGTCTTCATTTTTATATAAAAATCTTGTTTATTTATAGACCGTACAAAATAAATACAAAATTGAATATACTAATTGCATCAAATGTATAAATATCGCATCATACTGTGTACATTACATAAATACATACAATTCAAAAAAGTTCCTTCATTTTTATAGTTCGGCGAACAGCGTTACTGAAACCTTCTTTATATTTGTACCATACACCGTGTTTTGTTAAAAAACTATGCGAATTAATGGATTCATTGTCTGACTTCTTTTGTTTATTTTGATCCACTGTAATAATTCTTCCAAAGAAATCCTTATATTTCTACAACATGCAAAAGTTAAACAATATGAGCATAATGTAGTTATATAAATGCGAAAGTGCTAATAATCCTTTTATACTTACAATTTCTTTTGTTTTTGGTTCAATTTTGTTCACGTGTTCAGTACAATTAGATGGACTAGAAGCATTGTTTTGTTCTTTTATGGCAACTTTTGATTCAACAGACTTTTCAGTAATATTCTGTTTTGAACCATTTTTATCTTGATATTGAGTTAAATTCGTTACATTTTTAATCACATTTGCTGCTCGTCGCAATCGTTCAGCTTCTAGTTCCTGAACAATTATTTGTTTCACTCCATAAGCAAGTGTACGACGGTGTTTGCATTCCGGGAAAATGCCAATTTCAAAGATATCGCTAAAAAATGATATAGTTAAAATATAACTATTTATTTGGTATTTTGCAATGTATTTGTAACTTACGGATCTAGTTTGTAATCGTAAGTTCCATCAAGATTTCTTTCTTGTGCGTATGTAAGCCCGAATTCAATCAGAATATTTACTATTCGAACAATATCATCTCTTTCTTTACTGGAATGTAAATGTCCAGAAATTGTTCGTAATCGCGGAGACAATAACTCGGGTAAAAAAGGTATGATATCAACTGATAACACGATATTGTCGCGACCACTGCTTCGTTGAACACTCGTTAGAATACCTATATTTTTCGCTTCTTTCTGTTTTACCTACAAAAGATATTATTATTATTAAATTTAAATTTATTAGTTTTTTATTTTGATTCAATTTGTTCTTACTTCATAAAAAATTGAAGGATAAGATAATCTGGCATTTCTCGCTTTAGCAAAATATAAATGCCAAGTAACGAATGCATAGTTCGTATAAGGCATAACAGACCAAGTTTGAAAGTGTGTGACGAGCGAACAAATTTCATCAAAAAATTGAAACCATTGTAAACAAATAGCTATATAACCTAATTTTTCACTACAAATTTCTGGATAATTATGGAATATACCCTGCGCTAGTTTGTCCGTTTTATTTTGATCCACTGTAATAATTCTTCCAAAGAAATCCTTATATTTCTACAACATGCAAAAGTTAAACAATATGAGCATAATGTAGTTATATAAATGCGAAAGTGCTAATAATCCTTTTATACTTACAATTTCTTTTGTTTTTGGTTCAATTTTGTTCACGTGTTCAGTACAATTAGATGGACTAGAAGCATTGTTTTGTTCTTTTATGGCAACTTTTGATTCAACAGACTTTTCAGTAATATTCTGTTTTGAACCATTTTTATCTTGATATTGAGTTAAATTCGTTACATTTTTAATCACATTTGCTGCTCGTCGCAATCGTTCAGCTTCTAGTTCCTGAACAATTATTTGTTTCACTCCATAAGCAAGTGTACGACGGTGTTTGCATTCCGGGAAAATGCCAATTTCAAAGATATCGCTAAAAAATGATATAGTTAAAATATAACTATTTATTTGGTATTTTGCAATGTATTTGTAACTTACGGATCTAGTTTGTAATCGTAAGTTCCATCAAGATTTCTTTCTTGTGCGTATGTAAGCCCGAATTCAATCAGAATATTTACTATTCGAACAATATCATCTCTTTCTTTACTGGAATGTAAATGTCCAGAAATTGTTCGTAATCGCGGAGACAATAACTCGGGTAAAAAAGGTATGATATCAACTGATAACACGATATTGTCGCGACCACTGCTTCGTTGAACACTCGTTAGAATACCTATATTTTTCGCTTCTTTCTGTTTTACCTACAAAAGATATTATTATTATTAAATTTAAATTTATTAGTTTTTTATTTTGATTCAATTTGTTCTTACTTCATAAAAAATTGAAGGATAAGATAATCTGGCATTTCTCGCTTTAGCAAAATATAAATGCCAAGTAACGAATGCATAGTTCGTATAAGGCATAACAGACCAAGTTTGAAAGTGTGTGACGAGCGAACAAATTTCATCAAAAAATTGAAACCATTGTAAACAAATAGCTATATAACCTAATTTTTCACTACAAATTTCTGGATAATTATGGAATATACCCTGCGCTAGTTTGTCCGTTTCTCCTGAAATGAAAAAGATTATATTAATATATATATATATATATATACCTCAAAATTTTATCTTTCTTAGATGAATTATAATCGTTTAAAAAAAATATTACCTCTTTGCACAGTCTTTAAAACAATACGAACTCTTTCTGAAATGGGAAGTATTCCACCTCTGTTCACAGGTATCGTTAATATTTGTTTCCATGAGTCAAACAATCCTTTTCGACTGTCTTTCAGTGCAAAAGATAAATTGTCTCCAAAACGAATACCACCCATATATTGTAATGCTCCTAAACATGATCTAATGTCACATCCAGATATTTCAACTAACTTCAAAAGAGCATCAGGGTTGACTTTTAAATGTTCTTTGTGTGATATTTCCATTAACCTTTCTGCTAACCTTGCAGGGGATACCTCTGGTACAGGTATAATAAGAGCAATAGCTCTAAGAGCTCTATAATACGTGATTGATATAAAAAAAGTGTAATGTTTGTTCATAAAGATTTATGAACTTGTACTTAACTAGAATTGCATGTATTTAATTAACAAGAAATTTACCTTAACGAAGGTGTATATGGTTCGTTGCAAATGCATATTACAGGACGATGACAAACATTCGACTGTTTATCAGTTTTCATTTTATCCTTTTTACCTTTCACAGTTAGTTTACCTTGTACAAACTTTAATAAAAGATCAATCGATGCAGCTGGTGCTCCATCAATCTCATCTAAAATCAGGCAATTTGGTCGAGGATCACTACCCATCACAGCTTTCATTTGTGTCGATGCAAGAAGAACTTGTCTAAATTTTATAATTTATAATTAACGATGTATATTCGTTTCAATTTAAAATTTTTACTGCTCATTTTTATTACCGAAAAGCATCCGGACTTCGTTCATCGCTTGCATTAATCTCTACGACATTATAGCCAGCGTGTTTAGCTGCTAAGTGAGCTAACGTAGTTTTTCCTAATCCAGGTGGTCCACTAAGCAGTACTACTCTCTGTGTTGGGAAACCTTTATTATCTACTTCTTCAGAATTTTCGTTTTTAAATTTTTTATTTCTAAATATAGATTGTAACTTTCCCTTCCTACTCTGAACATAATTTCGATTAAAAACTACTTTATCCCACAATTTTATCCAATGTAGTAAATTTCTGTTCACACTTTCATCCGAAAGCAATTCAATGTATGTTCTTGGTTTGTACTTATCAACCCATAGCTCATCATTTTCAATGGCTTTGGCAACAGGATTTTCAAAAGTTTCAAAACTAGCATGTTTAACATTTTCTGCTATCTAAAATATAACATTAATATATCGGAATTGCTTAAAACAGGGCACAACGAGCGCAATCAAGTTACTTACGATTTCTTCAGCTTCAGCTTTAAGTTGACTATATGGTACTGATAATAAATTAGAAATTAAATTTGTATTTGTTTTAAACATATACTTTTCATCGTCTTTTATTCTAACATATATACGTTGCGCATCATGTGGTCTGGTTACAGCTACAAAATTCCATCGAGGAACTCTCAACGATATAGATTCCTTCGTGCTAAATGAAATCATTGACCATTAAACATAAATATTACAAATTTGAAATAAAACATATAATTTATTTTTGATCAACATACTCTTTGATATGATTTCTTTTAACAGAAACTCCTCTACTAAACTCATGGTATTTTTCTCTGGCATCTAATACCGCTTTAATTACATCCTGAGGTTCATCCCATCGTGGTTTCTTTTCTTTTGGTTTTTCGTTGTTCTCTGTAGATTATAATTAGCAAGATTATTTATAAACTGAAAATATTTACAATCTATAAAGTACATACCAAAATCATTTATTTCTAATATATCTGAAATATCACCAAAAATTTCATCATAGCCTCGTTTTTTTGTAATATCAATTTCAGGAGTGTCTCTGAATTCGATGTTTCTACCAGTGGTAGATATACATAGATCATTATGCGTATTATTAGGTATTGGATTATTTAATTCTTTATACACATTAGATGTAGTATTTGATGCATTTTTATGTATAATTTCAGACTTTTGTAAAGTTTCAGTTTTCCCAAGTTCTACTACTTTTTCTTTTTCAATTTCTGAAACACAAATTATAATTACATACTATTTTCAAATAATAACTTTATACTATAACTATATTCAAACACGTTTGATTGGAATAAATTACGTAGCTATATGTTAAGGTTAAGGCTTCTAATACCTTCAATTTCTCTTAAAAGTTCATATTCATCCTCGTGAATTAAATCAAATTCTTCATCTGGATCAGGAAATTCAGAATCCATACTTGATATTTATTTTAAAATTTTTACAATTGCAAATATTGTAATAATCACCTACTACAATTTGTATTTAATTTGTGTTCTGTGTTTAAATTTTCAGATCATGTCTGTTACATCTTCCCGCCTATTTTGAAAAACGGAATGCGAGTGTTTTAATATGTTATCTTAATACAAAACACTCACATTCCGCTTTTCTAATTTCTGAATTTCTAAATTCCTACACTTCTAGCTTTTCAAAGTTACGGATGGTTTATAATCCTATACTCATAAATCTCTAGCTTGAATGTACTATTGCGTTGTAATGTAGTACGAGTAGAGTCTATGCAACATATATATGTTTTTAACAAAATAGTTCGGTTTTTGAACACACAGTTCTCATTCCAGTAATACAGATCGTTGTATTCCTATATCCATATTCCCTCTCTCTCTCTCTCTCTGTATGTATATAATATATGTATAATTTTATACAACGAATTGTAAACGGATCGTAAATCTATGAATGTTGTATCTTCTGCTTAATTTATATGAACCTTTTTCATCTATTTGACCATATATTAGAGCCAATACGTAGTACAAGTTTGGTTTTAACCTTTCCAGATACCCGGTATATGCGTGTTTCTTATCAAGTATGCGTTCCGCATTAGAAATAACATGTAGTTGTTTCACAAACGGTGTTCTGAATAACAAAGACCAGTGTGGAAATGCTAGATATTCAACAATACAATCGCAATGTTGGAATTTGTCGTAAATTGTAATGTTAACATAATTCTTTTATACATGAACAAAAGTAGTATTTTAGATGAAGTACTAAAGTTTGTAAGGAAAAATGTGTTTGTTATTTTCACCATATTTTTAGGCAATCAAGTATCCATGTTTTTATCAGAAGCCTGTAAGAGAACGATCCATCTTTGCTAAATATATTTTCGACGCGCGAAAGAACGCGTCAGTCTGTGCACTGCGTTGCACGAGTAAGGTTGTAACGGTAGGTTTCTTATTTCTAAAAGAAATAATATTTGTACTACGTGATAAACTTTGCTCGTATGTATTACTGTAATTGCAACTGAAATAGTAAATTGAGAGAATTTTATGAAATTACGTAATGATCTTATTTCGTCGTGAATTTTTGCTTCTGGTTATTTTCAGGGGTTAAGTTTCAATATCGAATATATAGAAGTGATAAGTGCCGAAATAAGAAAGAATTGAACATTGTGGTTATAAAGTGTGCAAGTGGTTAATTCTTCCATGGAAATGTACGTTGCTTGTTCGTTCGAGATAAACATCATTTTCCCTCGCTATGGTTGTCACTCACTGTAAATCTGGTTTCGGAAAACTTGCGATCAATAACTCATTGTTTCGAGTTTCGGTCTTCCGAACGATACGTCTCGATCGAGCGTGTGAACGTAGTTCAAATATCACGTGTTTTGACAAGCGACAGTTCAACCGATAATTAAATTTACATTATTTTATCTCTACGACTAAATATTAATAATTGGCGTATTTCAAACTAGAGTTGTTGGTTTATTGAAGTATCTGGAAGGGGAGGGGACCTATCGGACAAAAATTATTCGGTTAGTTGAATAAACGAGATTTAAAAAATTTTAATTTCGAAGCAAATCGTATTTCAACAATTTTCGATTAACGATGACGATGACGGACGAAATAAACTGCAATTACGTACTGAGCCATAAATAAATTGATGTGAATCGATTATTCATTAAAGAGACATCTTAATAATTACCTTTTAGTTGTTTCCTTTTAGAAAGTTGTTCGTACGAAAAACAGTGACTAATAACGTCTATTGTTTGCCGTTTCCGCTCTTATTTGTGGGAACTTTTTATTAACCCACGATAGCCGCGTTTAACGTCAAGTTAGAAAAGGCCATTGTCTACAGATATCTGTAGTCTCTGATAATACTTCATAGATTAACATTTGTAGCGATAACAACAGCCGAAGTATAAGAATTTAATTCAGTTTGCAATATTTTCAAATAATTTTTGACACGAGACGTGCATCCTTTGTTTGTAGGCGGAATGAATTATGCAGACCTCTTTATCGAAACAAGTAATCGGTTGTATCGGAAAGTGCACCTCCGGTCTGAATCCTGAAGAATTAGATCAGATTACGGATAATATAAATAAAACTTTGGCACATCCAAGAGGGAGAGAAATTTTTAAAAAGTATTTGGTGCAACGAGACCTCAGGGATAATCTCGAGTGTTTGGAACTATACGAAACTTGTTGCGATTTTATCGACCAAGAAAAAAACTGTTCGTAAGTACCCTCTATAGATATCTAAAAATGGCAATGCCCAACATATCCACCGAGTAACATTTCTCTGTTCTTTTTCAAATCCAATGGTAAATCATTTGGTAAAACATTTGTGTACGAGAGACATTTAAATGCAGATTTAATATTACAGACAGTCGATAAATTAAATATTACAGACAGTCGAAAAAGGAATCATCCCTGGGACCATTAATCGATAATGTCACGAGGGTGAAAGAAATGGCAGAAGATTTGGATGGGGTGCCCCAGATAGATATGGCACTTCTGGAATGTTTTAACAAGGCTTTAAATAGTGACTCGAGAACGGATTTACTTGGCGTTTTGGTGGATACCAGGGATCGTTCTCGGAATCATTTGAGACGCGCTCACGAAGGTTTCAAGAAATATGCCTCCGAGCCCTGTCCTATGACCAAGTAACAAACAAAAGTACTAAATACGAATTACGTATCTATACATTCATTATCGACAATGCCAGTTTCACAGTAAATATGATACTGGAGAAAATCACTGTTTGGCCCTCGTTCGTAATGTTTCGAGCGAAATTTCTACAGTCGAGTTTAAAAGGAATGGATCGATCAAATACAGACTTCCCCAAATTTCAAATAGTATTGCCTTTATTTACAGAAATTTCACTTATAATTCGCGTGGCAACCGATCTTACAATTTTCTATTCGAATGGTAATAGAAATATTGAGATTTTTTGGCCGCAGCGTCCATGCGATGCGGTTATTGCTTTGTGTTTTTTAATACTTTGAGGGCCGATGTCGCTATTCATGATTTTATACAATGTACATTACTTTTATCGGCCGTATCGGGTATCAGCGTACTGTAAGTTGAACTTTAGAACATAATTCAGCTAATTTAAGTATTTATAAAGCGAAACGCAAAATTGCGAGAGTCAGAAGTTTCATGATTTGATCGACCTAAGTTAGTCAGAGTGTTAATTTATAAAACGCGACATATAATGTTGCTTGAATCCGTGAAATTGAACGTGTCGTGCACGTTGTCCGTATCGGTATAAGTCCTGTGATGTTTAACGATCATCAGTTTGTATTTATTTAAATTGTATACGTAATTTAATAATAAAAAAAAAAAAAAAATAAAGAAAAAAAAAGAATGAAAAAATTGGTGCGCCATCAGCTCACTTCAAGTTTCATCCACGTTATTTCATGTTTTATTTTCTTTTTGACAATGTTCAATTAATTTGTGCATATTTCGTATATTATTCGCAAGATGAATCGAACGTGCGCGGAAAATTCTTGCACGCGTACGATTTCAACGAAAGAATACACTATGAAAATAAACGATATTCGTGATACGGTAAGATTCTTAGAGGAGAGTTTAATGGTTTCACGAAGTTTAGAAGCCGAACAATGGCTTTGCTACTCGAAATTGAAAACTAAAAATAAAGTAACGACGGATGATTTAAAAAAAGCGAATAACCGTAATAAAAATATGTTAAGTACGCGTCACTGTATTCGAAGATTAAGAAAAAGTAGGCTTTTTAATTTATCGGAATGCAATTTTTGTAGATTTATTCCGGCAGAGCGTGACGGATATACGTTTGGGTTGCGGGATTGCTTTACCAGAATCTTTAAGGAGAGAAGTGCAGAAAAATTGGCACCAAAAGTATGGTTCTAGTTACATTGTATACATAGTAATTAATTAACCTTTACAACTAAAATTTGATAATCAAGTTGATTGTTAGATATGATGCGCTGTTGAAGCGAAATGAACAGTTGAAACGAGAAGTAACTCTAGCGAATTCGTTGATTAAAGAAAAGACACAGGAGGTACATTTGTTTATCGGTAATTAGAAGACACAAAATGGGCTTCGTTTACAGTTTTATTATAGAAACTCAATTAGTAAATACTATCATCTTGAATATTTTCTGAATTATGGGATTTTTTCAGAAGAAAACCTAACACAAACGTTAGTTGAAAAGAAACGACGTTGTAACCTCTTTCCTTTAACTGCCCATTCAGTTTACAGCTAACTAAACTAGTTTACAGTTATATCGTAACACTTTATTTCAGGATTTTTTAATACATTTTTTTATGTAGAAAGTAGTTATTTTTCGCGACAATTAGCTTGTTATACATTGTTCCTCGAAGCTCGAAATTATTTCTGAAATATCCCTGCTTTCGATTGTTCTTAAAAATCTACAAATTCCAGATTGATGATCTTCAACAGAAACTATTGAATCTTGGTGATAGACTCGTCGAGCGCAACAAGGCAGTCGAAAATATTTGCAAAAAATTTTTGAACCTGAAGAAGAGGAAAGACGAGCAAGAGATCTTGTTACGAGACTTTACCGAAATGTTACAGGTTACAAGATTAAAGAAGAAAAATGCGCAGACTTTGTTATTTACGAGACAATAACGAGCAGGATGTTTCGAAAGAGAAAAATAACGTAATTGGAAATAAGGGGTCGTCGATACTTAGCAAGATAGTTTGAGAAAGAAACGCGGCGATCTGAAAAATCATCCGAGTCGTTCCATCAGATTTCGCGAGTTTTACAAAAGCGTTTCTGTAAACGACTCGAAAAATTCCATAAAGCCATACGATTGCGGATGTTTAACGATGTTTAGCGACCTAAGAGGTCATGTTATATAGCGTAGATACACTGTTTAAGGATATCGTAATTATGCAACTAAAGTTAATAACCGGATAAAAGAGTCGCGTTAAATTGGATTGACGTCGATCGATGGCCAAGTGCTTCGGTACAAAAACCGCGACTCAGCTGGAAATCGTCTTACTTGGTGCTGAACAGCACCCGGAATAACCAAGAGGCGCGTTGTATCGGTTTTACACAGCCATGTAAGTCGATATCACTGATTTAATAAATAAGGGAAAGGATTATAGAAATTCATTGTTTTCATTGTTAACATTTTGTGTGACGATGTACGCGATCAACTTGGTTCTACTTTAGTCTATATACGAAGGACGGCAGGGAAAGTGTTACGTTAGAATCCCTCTAAAGCTCTCCTTGAATATTTCTACGTTCTCGGGGTATCTTCTACGCGAACGCATGATTTCGAAATTCGAAAATTGTCGAATTCCCAAATTTCTACCGCTAATCGTTAACTCGCAACAAACAGTAACGTGTACTCGTTGCAGGTACGACAAGTTTGTGCAATTGTAAAGGAAACGAAGAGGGAAAAGTCGAACGACCGATCAGCTCCTTTCGTCGAACCGTGCTAAAATTCGATCGGTGTAAAATTAACCAAATATGTCGAAAGTGTGTGAAATTTTCCTCACTTTCTATTCCGTTCTTTTCTTTCCGCTTATCGGTCTGCTGCTAGTATGTTCCTATCTATACCGTCGCGTGGTAGACGTCGTTTTAAGACTTCAATTGAAGGAACAATTTGCGGGTCTCTTGGACGGATCTGACAGTGTTTGGGCCATAGAGGAACCTGCGGCCCTTTCCGTGAACAACATTCTACTGATCATAGAGAAGGATGCTCGTCATTCGAACATAAATTTCCTCGAAAGCTTTCGACAGATGGCTAAGAATCGCATACTGAATTCACCGTTCGAGAAATTATTCTTGCGAAGGAAAAAAAAATATGGTTATTATTATTGGGAAAGATGCGACGTGATCGATCTGAAAGAACGAGTCAGATGGTTGGAATACGAACGTACGAACTGCGATGGATCCTGCGACAATATTTACAATGGTCACCTGAAGAGAGTATTGTGGAACGTTTGTAATCAACCTTTACCAGAGAATCATACGGCTTCTTGGGAGATTCTGATCGGTAAATGTTGTCCAAGGGCCAGTTATCATTACCTTAGACGCATGGAAGAACGTGTGACGAGCAAGATCAGAATTCCTGTCTTGTTCCGGGTTCATCATTCTCTGGCCGATGGCATGGCGTTGCTAAAGTTTTTCCGGGAAGCTATCATCGACAAGGAACCGATTCAAGAAACTTATTTGCAATTAGAGAACACCGGTTTTAAGACGAAAAACGATGATACGAAAAAGCTGAACATACATGCAACAGCGAGCCCTTTAAAGCCTTGTCTGAACGGAGAGAAAAGTTTGCAGTGCCCATTTCAGAAAGATATCGTGTCCGCGTCTATGCCGTTTATTCACTTTGCAGTAGCTTGGCAGTTCGTCAAATCGGCGAGAGAGCGAATGAACGTTGTCTTAAAACGTGTTAAAAATATTGCGATAGAAGATTTGAAAGGAGAAACGAAAGCATTTATGAGGAAACACGTTGATAAGTTAAAAGATTTTTTTCTCAAGGTTGTTCGCAACAAAGCGAGGAGATGTTTGCGAATGATCAAAATCGTTATCGATGCTCCTGCTTGTTTGCTCCAACAAGCTTTTCGCAGTATGGACAAAAGGTTTGTTCTTCGCGATCGTGTTTGCGTTTCATCGATTGATTAACCGAATGTTCAATTTAGCGCACTCCATGGGGCACAACTGTCGGGTGAAAAGTTGGTCTCGTATTGGTTGGAAGACGATTTCAAGAACGTCAACGACCAGAAATTGTTCACCAAGATTCAGAACATCAAAATCATCACTGGCGCTAGATTCGGGGACGTGATACTAGCAGCTTTGTCAGTTAGCTTACACAAATACTTTCTTCGCGTAAGCGATCAAAAAAATAATTGTACATATTGTCACGGATAAGACATATAACTTTATTTGAAATTTGATTCGTGCAGGTGAACGAACCAGTCCCGAGTAAACTAAGCGTTGTTCTGCCGACCAAAATCGAAGAATGGAGCGAAAATCTTCCGTTGCAAAACAATTTTTCGGTCGGAGTACTGTCGCTTTGCGTTTCGCGAATAAATGACAAACAACTGGCGAATCCAGCCGAGAATTCTCAGATTTTGGATCGCTTGGAGGATATTAAAAGCGCGAACGACGCGCTGAGAAATAGCTTGGATTATACGGTTAACTTTTTCGTGATGAAATATCTTTCTGCTTTATTGCCAGAGAAACTTCTGCGGCCGATTCTTAATAGTCACAGCACTATGGTGTTCAGCAATTTAGTTGGTCCTCGGGATGTCAAACTTTTGGGACATTCTTTAAAGAATATCGTCTTCTGGATTCCAAACAGGTAATTTTTTCCGAGCTTTTCTCCTTTTCCTTGTACATGTATCATTATGATTTTTAGGAGCTTCACAGGAATTGGATTCTCCTTATTAACTTATCGAGGCTATCTACATTTGTCTCTGATCGCTGATAAGGCGCTAATACAAAATGAAAAAGCGCTCACGAGGATCTTGGAAAACACCGTGAGCGAAATCGACAATCTGTATGACAGATTAACGTTGTCGTTCTTTTCGAAGAAACTCCATAGAAGCATGTCAACACCCATGAAGAAAGGTAAGTTTTCGACAAGATTTCTGATTCTATCGAAATTAATATTTAAAGGAATTTTTATATTTCCAGCAGTCGGCGTGTTGTAAAATAGCGGGGAAATTGTACGTGGAATCATTTTGTACCGAACTATCGTTTTTTCTTTTCTCCTTTTGCCTAATAAATTTTTTCATTTAAAAATTTAACATGTGTCGTGAAACTGTAAATAGTCATATTCTCGTGTTTTATATTTTTTATTATGTATAATTAAAAATATGGCCTTTGCAATAAATAAATAAATAAACAAACAAACAAACAAACGTGTGCGTGTATTTTCTAACTCTATATGGTATAATTTTTAATAAAAGAATAACACGTTTAGAAATCGTAAATTTAAAAAATACCTCAACTATCAATATCCTGTTGATTGAAAACAGAAATGTTTTAAAGAAATCGTTAAATAAACTTAAAAGGAATTGTCCGAATTCGACAGAAGTTTGTTTTTTTTTTCAACGATTCGTTTTCAAAAATAAATACGGCCAAAAGACGATATCAAATAGAGTGTTCAAAAATGAAAAATTCGTTTGTCGTGTAGACATTTTGGGCGACGCATTTACTATCGAACTGATTTTAGCTTGCTGTATCAAAGGATTCTTCGTTTTAAATCGAGACTTGTTCTTCTTTTGATCGTTCGTATTATTGCACTCGGAGGAAGCGTCCACGTCTTCTGAACTAATAATGTACTTTCGATGCTTCAATGTCCTAGTGGAAAATAAATCGATAGTGATTACGTAATAATCGTCGAATTCCATATACATATATTCGCATACTACACGGGCTTCTTTAAGTGAAGGAGAAACACACGGTTTGTGACAATGCGACGCGTAATAGATTAATCGATGGTGTGCCCTAACCGATGCGTTTCTCTTAGATGTTCTCTTAGATCACCTAGAAGTCTACTGCACTTCCGAGTCTATATTTGCAAGTTTAATTTTCGTAGAAAATTAAATAGATGAAAAAACATCGTACTCCTCTCGTTCGATCGTTTCAAACCGTTTCAAATAAAAGCTTATTCTAACCATTTTCTCTTTCTGCTTTCGTCGGGAGACGAACTATTTAAATCACTGTCATCCCCTTGTCGGCTGCTCGAAGGAGGTTCGCAATCTTGATTGCTGCACGATTTACAAGGGCAATTTGATTTCAGAGTCCGTAAAATCGTGATAATTCGTGGATCGTCGACATTGTTAATAGTTGGAGATTCGTCTGTAGAGGTAAATTCACGATCTTCTTCTGTTTCTTCCTCTGCCCTGAATCACGCGAGTTTAAATAAATTAACTTTTGATGTTTAGTTTACGCGTTACTAGTCCGAGACAACTACTAACTTTGCATCCTGTCGAAATTCTTCGAAGCGTACCACATCTTGTTTACAGTTTCGTTCATGAAGTTTATCGGTTATCCTTTGTATCTTCCTTTTCGCTACTTCGATACTTCAAATTACCATGTAACGATACGATAACAATACATACGAGCAAACATCGATTAACGTCGATCGCGTTTGTATTACACGTTTTCTATAAGGTGAAAGTCACGATTCAAGCGAACGGTAGTACAATTGAAATGAAAAGGTATCGTTTTCAAAATTCTGCTTGGAAGTGACGTGTAATACAAAATCACTGCGATTAGCGTCATCGAATGTGACACTAATAATATACTTGTGTTAATTTCTTTAACTAACTTGGGCGTACGGTTGACCAAAGTACAATTCAAACATGGTGAATTTTTTATTTTGTTGTTTTCTGCCTTTTCTAGCTGCCGTATAAACAGTTAGTTATTATTCGGTCCATGATTGCAATTTCGATCATTATCGTTATAAGTACCGAATGAAATTCTTGAATCGTGTGAGCCGGAGTAGTCTTGATTTTGGCTCTTGGAATTTTGCTGCATTTCAGTCGAATAATCGATGCTTTTGCCATACTATTACCGTCGCGATCGTCTTGTCTCTCACTGTTTACTTTCTTTCCTGTCAAATGGTTATCACCGATCTTCTCAATTACTTCTTTCGTTGCGTCCTTATACAAAACAATTTTTTCATCTGCTCTTTCCCGGTTCTGAGTAAAAAATATTCTACTAAATTATATATTAACACTAGAATCTTTCAAGATTTTTACGATTTTAACAAAATTTTATTCAGCGTCAACATAGAGAGATAGAGCATTTCGATAGAGTAAACACTCTGTACAAATATATGTAAAATAGCAACGAAGCTTAACGATAAGTCTAAGGAAGAACACACCTTCTGGCGAACCGATGAATCATCAACATTTATTGTATTATTACCGGTAGCACTCTCTTCTTCAACGACATCGTTTTCGTCTTTCGATACGTCAAACGGGACAATTGTGTTTTTCGCATGATTCGTGTTCTTGCAATTAGGTGATCGTATTTTCGCATGCTTTTCGACAGTTGACTTCGGCCTAAATGTCTGAAATCTTTTCTGAAAATTCTTCCTTGACATAATTCGACATCTTACGCGAGCTTTTATGGGTCTCTTTTTAAGCGGAGCTCCACTAACCATCGTGCCACGGCCAACCTTCTTAAAATCGAGAAAATTCGGTACATCGGGTTGACTAATGGCAGCATCATAGTCATAAGTTATTTGCGGTTTTGGTGCACGATTTTGCGGATTCACCCTCGGTGTTGGGGATCGTTTCGCTGTTGTTATCATCGTCGACGTCGTCGTTGTCGTTGTCATCGTCGTTGACGGCGTCGTGTCGTGGATACCACGTTGAGATTTTGCGCTCATCTTTCCTTCGACATGGCTAACGTTCCATCTGAGAACGTAATATGTATTGGTTCAAGTCATATAGAAAAATAGATTTTTATCGTAACGAACGTATGTAGAAACCTACATGGGAATCAGTGACTCGCTCGAGACAGGTACTAACTGCGTTTTCGAGTTTTTACGTGGCTTCAGCTTCTTCCAGAACTTCAAGATCGTTTTTATGGATTTGCGCTCGGTCTTCTTTGACGCTAAACTATGCCGATCAACGGAGTTTACACGTTCGACCGGTTTATCGTTCCATGTTGAATTCACTCTTCGCGGCCGTGGAACAGGCGATGTAGAATCGGTCGATTTGAGATTGATTCGAGACTGAAACCGAAGGCTCTTTATCTTGAGATTCGCCAGTATTTTCGATGCTTCTGTTCACATTTTCTAATTATACGCAACTACGCGACGCATGATGGTTTGTTCTGCAATTCGACGCTTTTACGGTTAAACAAAAAAGATGTGCCAGAAATTTCAAGGCCAATTCGTCGAATATTCGAGAGTACTCACACATAAACAATTAGTAAAGTTTAAATAATAAAAGGACTCGATTCTTTGAGTTTAACGATATAATTATTTCGTTTTCATTTATTCGGATCTGCAAGGTATATTACATTAAATACAATGTTCCATCGCGATATAAATTAGACATATCTATGTATTATCGCGATAAATAAAACTTTGTCAAATAATACTGCTGAGTCTGTAAGAGGTTTCTCTATCTTAGTACTGGTCTCCGTAACAAAATACGAAAAACAAATCTTGAGATTTTCTCGTACGTCAGAAACATCAATGCCGCTGTTAAAATAGTTTGTAGCAATTTGGCCTCCATTCCCTTGTACAATGCTCCTATCCCTTGTTTTCTGTAAAGACGAATACGCATGAAATTCTGTTACGTTTAAAACGCTACGAAAAGAACAAACATGTGTACTGACTTCAGTATGTAAAAAAGAATTTCCAAAGTACCAGCATCTGGGGGTAGATTTGGATATTTGTGACCATGCTGAAAAGAATAAACACCGATTAGATCGTATCATAAAATATTTACAAATGTTTAATAAATATCTGTATTTACGTACTCTTAATTTCGTTTGAACTAACTGTAAGGGATACGTGATCGCAGTGGCTATCGCTTTAGCTGCTGCACCTATGGCGAAGAACATCCACGCAGGCGGTTGCGAATTACGTAAAGACGTGGTAACTTTTCTTTTAATAGTTTCGTAAGTCATAAATTGGATGGCAGGATTTGTAACTAACATCAAACTGGGTAAAGTTCCTGACCAAAGCTTTCCTGGACCTTCGTATTTCCATATATGCGTAAGCCCATCTGAAGCAAAAACTCTTTTATTTTTATGCAAAGATTCATTGTATATGCAGTCAATGCCAATATTATATGCATCATTAACCGAGTGTAATAAAACGTGGATCAATACGACCACTTCTTTCGGCATAAGTATTCCTTATGTAAACTGAATTTTAATGATCATCCAAGTTTATTTATACGCGTTTTTGTGGAATCACGCGTTGACTTAACATTTCAGACTTTGAAACCTTGTACAGACGTACCGAACAATGTATTATACTCGTTGTTATTTCGTTCATGAGCCTGTTCGACTCCTCTCATTTTCAGCCTTGTATTTACTACCCACAATGGTGTCGTCGAAAGAACGTTAATTACACCTGCTATCGAGGCGAACAGTAAATCATTACTAGCCGTTTGATTTCTCCTAGCTTTGAGCATCTTCAAACCATGGAATGTATAAAAGTAAACAAAATTGCTAGCGCAAAGACTCTGAAGAACAGGCACCATTCCTCTGTACAATGTGCATCTAACGAAAGAGAAATAAACAAAATTAATAGTCAGTTTTTTGCAAACATATGCTTCGCTTTTACGATATAGCCAAATTCTAGTTAGTTAAAAGATAAGACGTACATTCCTTCCTTTTCTACAAGCTCACGGATCGTTGCGAGTGTACTTTTTGATCGATGATCTTCTTCCACTGTACAAAAGGAAAGAAAATATTAAGATTATTGATTCATAATAGGAACAAATAAAAAACACAAATAATCTGTACGCGTGCATAAGTTCTTTAAAGGAGCTTTAAAATACTTTGAAAAATTGTTAATTTACATTATTTGACAAGATATTTGCTAAAATCGGACAAAAAATGTGCATGTGTATACAGTAGATTGAATATGCGTGTGCGTCCATGAGACGCGTCAGATATTTCAAACGTAATGTCATCGCGCAATGGTGTAAAGGTTAATCTAATTTTTTATTCATACACATTTGAGTGTATTCTTATCAGTTATTTTAAATGCGACGACTGATCATACTTCGGACCAATTGGAACAATAAATATACATAACGGATTCCTTATTTTTATTTATTATAATGTTTACTCACGTTGTAATCGACTTCGCACCGTATCCAAAGGGAAGAACGTTGCCATGGCAACAACGCTACCCTGTGTGACAAAAAACATCGATATTAATGAAAAGATAACTCGTCTTAACGAAAGTTTCAGTAATTTATCGTTACATACGGCAGCTCCGGATATAGCGTGTACCAGCGTTTCGTATGTAAAAACGTTTGAATTATGTGTTCCACCACCCATTTTCTCGGACGACTCGTATTCGAAAATTTCGAAATATTTCACAGCGATATTGGATTAAATCGTATTATTGATAAAAGTTCCTATAAATATACGATATACGTGTTTGTTTCTAAATCCTAGTTTTGCGGCGAATTAGTTACAATAAAATGATTCTATACAACTTTAAATTCAAATTATTCGACTCGATGTATCGGCGGGTTTAGCAATATCCATATCGATATACTGATGAGGTCAATACGAAATGCGTTGCACTTATTTCCAAGATAAAAATTTGCCAAATTCAAAATCGATTTAACATCGTTACATATTTATGGATTATTGAAAGCCAATTGTATAGAATCCATAAAAATACTTCTATCGACTCGATTACCACCGTCGATAATCGAGCAACATTCGAAGCGAAATTGTATTTCACGGTGAATCGCGAAGGTTGTACTCACTATCGTGAAACCGAAAATCTACCGGTGCCACATTTGAAATTATTCGTCGAACGATCGTGTCCGCGTCCACGTCCTTGCTCGACGAACGTCACACTTCACCTACGGTCACTGACGATTAACAACCACCGAGAAAAGATTCAGATTTAAGACTGTCGCATATAAAAACGAAACTCACGTGCTAACTGTTTAACTTTGTTACGCCAGAACGGCTTACACGCACGATCGTTTTGCTCTACATGCTTCTTTATCGCGAACAAACGACAATTCCCATCACGAGCCAGTCACGAATGACGCGCGACTCTCTGCTCGTGGTTCATAAGCCAAACAATTTTAGCTGGATTTATCGTGTTCTAAACGCGGCCGATAATATTACTTCGATCATGGCGGAACGTCCTGCGCACTCTATGGAGTGAATTTGTCGTCTACCGTAGTCAGTGGATAATACGCTTGCGCACTTTTTTGCGAGTTTGCGGTTACATCGATGACTCGAGAGGTCGATAGTGTAGCTCGCGTGTAACTCACGAGTCGCGTATCTGCATGTGTTGTACGTTTGGCCGAATATGTTTGAATTTACGAGTCGTAATTGTTTGGTTTTTTCGTGACCTCGCTGTTTTTATTACTTGCTATAACTTTCATCGAAAGCGAGAAAAATTAAAACGATATATTTCCGAAACCTTTTCTTCCCTTTTCTTTTCTTTTTACCGTTATCGGTCGTGTACGATCGTGAAATCGAATCGATAGTAAGTAGACATGAAACGTAATCTAATCTGATTCGCGAATAATAAAAGTGAAACGATAAAAATGTATATATTACGAAGGGATATCGTGTGTCGTTTTTGTCTTTCTTTTAAATTCATTCAAGTCGAATTTGCAAATCATTCCATAAACACGATAATAATGTTAATCTACATACATGTGTATGTATACATATGTATATTATTCGAGCAAATTATATCGATCGATTTATTTTTCGCGTGATCGAATTAAAATACGCATGAATATTTGATTATGAGTTTAGTATGTATACCTGGAAGAAAACGTATAAAAACTGATGTAAACGTTTCCGAGATACGTATTTGAAGGTCTAACAAGGTTAACAAGCATTAAAAAATAATTGTAGTTGGAAATGTTACATTCGTTACCGATAGAAAGTTTAATTATCTTAAGCTTAAAAGAATATTTGAACTGTTGATCGAAATATCAATAAATTTCTACAAGATTGTCTTTCGTATTTGTGCCGGTGTTCTTCTACGAAAGTGGCGTAGAAGATTCTGTGAAATGAAGGAAGACGAATCTTTCGATCGTCGCGAAATTACGATTATAAATTGTTGCGGAGAAATCCGTATCTTGTTCGACGAATACGGAAACGTAACGATAACTCGTTGACTTTCCTCGGCGTGTTACCATCGCGTTGTACAAAAGCAGAGAATTTCATCGGTTTCAGTCGAAATCCCGCGTTCGTCTTCGTCTTTTCCGTTTATTTATTTTCCGTTTTTATTCTAACTGCGCGAAGAAAATTTTCGGAACATCTTTGTACGAACCAATGTATTTGAAAATTCGTAAGAAACTCGATAACAGCGCGATATTACTGGGAACAGGGTAATCTAATTATGCAGCATAAGGTCAATTCATTTTCATCGTCAAGGGATCGCGTTCTGCACGCAATTCGCGAATAATAAAGTTCGATTCCTCGATCCGGTTAATTTATGGACGTCTAGGTTTTATGACGAATCGCATGTACTTATGGAAAAACGGATACGCGGACTGAATGTATTGACCGCGAGTTACAGAGGCGGAGAGCCCTTTAATTAAAACAGCGTTAAGAAAAATCAGATTTAATTACGTGGCAGGCTTGCGAAGGAACTGTGTTGTATGTTCTCGATATTACGGTTCTGACGATAAAGGAGACACTCGCATGATGTACGAGCTTTGTGACGCCTCGTCCGAAATTCTCCGAGTTCTTGACGGAGTTTAATTAAACATTCCGCGAGCCTGGAATTTTGTGGTCACCCTCATCCTCTTTACTGAAACTGCTTCTAATGAGTTCTGCTTTCTCGAATCTCGATACTTGCTAACGTAGCGTGGTCGGTGTCGTTCTTATCGCGCGAAAAAATGAAAAATTCGAATCTTATGTATGACCTGCATGTCCTTTCAGTGCAAACGTTATGTCCTTAGAGTATTCATCCGATAAATACTCGTCTTAACTAGCACCGGAACCGAGCGAAGGACTTGTCTATTTAAGAAATTGTTCGAGGGTTCTTTTTCCGGAATAAAGTGCTCTACCGCTTAATTTATAGTATCCGGGTTCTACATATGTATTTGTGCGTACATTTATCGACGGAACATATCAATTTCGAAGCGTACACTGGTACATGCATCTACCGTGTACATATTTGCAGGCGTATACGCGCGTCGTTTATAAGCTCGTTTTGTCGTTTGAAAGTATAAGGCCTTTTCTCGATTACGGTGGATCCGCGTGAATCTGTAACGGCAGAAAGGTGAATTAACGAGCATCGTTAATTAAGCTGTGTCGCGATAGAGACGGAACTTGCTCGAAAGCCACCGAATAGTTCTCTTATTCGATGTACGCTCGTTATAATCGCGAATAGAATCTAATTCTGATACGATGATCGCGTTTGCAGCAGCTGCGTGCAATCGTTTTATCGGAGCGAAGAGATCGAGAAGACGCTCGTCAGAATCCTGTAGATTCGATTTAAATAAATTTCAATGGTAATTTCTACGAGTGATTTTCTGTAAGGATAAATCGAACCGTCGATGTTCCAGAGAAATATAAATGGTACCTCGAGCGTACGGGACAGTGGCCCTTCAACCGAATTCGATTCCATTTTCGATTGGACGCGAGAAGATTCGTTATACAAGTATCACGGATGACGATTAAAACCCCGTTTAGCTGCGATCGATATCGGTCCCAGAAATACACTTCGCATAGAGAGATTTTCGAGTAGAAAGATATAAAGTCGTAAGAATCTGGGATATGGAATCGCGTTTCGTTTTCGTAGAGATGTACGAGAACGGACAACGATATTGTAGATCGTAGACGATTAACACTTTGAAATTTCTCAAATATAATATAGAAGTATATTTCACAGAACGTAGAACAGTAGAATATTCGAAATCGCGGAATTATCTTTGTTTAAAAGAGGAGGCGCTTTTGCTCTTTGATTAGAAGCATTCGTTTCTAACGAGGGTGAAACTGAACTATCTTTAATTCGTAGTTCGTTTAAAGAAAAAGGAAAGGAGCGAAATAGGGGCGAAACGGAAGCGTAGCGGGCTGGAAATTAATTAACGTATTAATCGAGTAATTGACCTCACCCTAGGACTCTCGGGAAACCTACAGGCGAGTTCCTTTCATCCCTGCCAACGGCGAGGGTTAATTAATCTGTTGGGAGTTCTGTAAAAATGTCTTTTCATTACGTTGTTCGGGGCGCTGCCACGAAAATGACCCACTCTTACTCTTCAACCGCGTAAATACAAACTGCTACTGTCAATTCTCCTCCTACTTTCCTAGTAATTATACACTCGTCTCTAGTATTACCTCGTTGTGACTTATTCCTTCGAAAAATGTTGTAATCGCCGACGATCTTCCCTCGATCGTTCGTATTGAAATTGTCGCGCGAGAAATAACTGTTAAGGAATTTTCTTTTCCGGGATACGAGCGATTCAGAGTCGCGTGACTGACTTTTCAAACCCTCTCTACATACATATAGTTTGTTAATCTGTCGTCTATGGCTTGTGCCGTGCGTTTCAAAAGTCAAGCGTCCAATTTTCAATCGTGAAAGTGGCTTGAATACGATGTTTCGAATTGAAAGAACTTTTCGATTTTCATCAGCATAGAGAATTTCTCATGTAGTTTTTCGTCGCCTACGTCTTTTTATTAAACGCTCTGTATAGCTGTCTTACGAATAACTAACAATGAAAAGACACGTTTTTTATATCGTTTATGCATTTATTATAAGAAAACGGAATGCTCTTTTGGTCCGAAAATTAGAGGCGTTTCGGTCGTTACAGTATAATGGTTGTGTTCACTTTTGACTTTTGAATAGCACGTATATCGAGATTAATATAAATGCTGTTTTTCACGCGACAAATAATAATCTAATACGATGCTGGAAGCTTCGAAAATTTGTCAGTATTGTACGTTTTTAGCGTCGCAAAAATATTATGACAACGGAAAATAAAGGAAAGAAATTTGATGTTCCGACTGCGACACGAATGGAAGAAATCCATAATTGTCGGAAAACTTGACTATTCGAAGCTTCGCGAAACTTGGTAAACGCATCGAATTAATTATATATATATACACGTATACGGAATTTGGTTCGCATTGGCTTGACAATCATGCTTATACAGAATTCGAGTTTCACGATCAGTCGACCATTGCGACAATCGTAAGAACGATAAACGCGATTCGAGTAAATTAATCGCTCGAAATAATTTAAATTCGATAAAAATTCTTCGATCAAATATGAAAGTAATACCGCGCGAGAATTGATCAAACCCCGTATGGCAACTGAACTTGCCATATGACGAGACAAGTTGTCAAGCTCATTGTCCCGAATAACATTTTAGCCGATGTTCTTTGTTTAACGGAAAGTTCGAAACGGAACACGTTCCACGAGTTCTACGTAATTGTCAGACTCTGGAGGTATATTCGGAGAATCGGTCACCGATATGCGCGATTCTTTACGTACTCCATACGCTACTGTTACTACCGCTTCTATGCACGGTCTTGTTAACAAAACAATATACATCTGATTGTTTAGTAGACATACATATGTAGAGAGGAGGCAGGGAATCCACCGCGTCTACGCATATTATAATTTGCAAGAAAGAGCAAAGTACTCTCTATACTTTATATTCTATATTCTGTATTCTACGTTCTACACGCTACGCTCTACGTCTAATCTTGATCCGTTTGGATCGCGATAGGTACATGTACAGAACTTTCCGTATGTTAACGCGGTAGATTCCGTTTCTCCCCCAAAGGAGTCGTCCTACTTCCAGGACATATAATCTAATCGGAACCTCTTTCTGATTTACCGTTAACCCTTGTTAACGCTGAAATTGCTTTCTTCTTGCACACTGTACGCGCGGATACAAATCACCAACCTTTTTTGGTTCATACATTTTTAACGAACATTGAGCGCCGGCTAAAATTTCTAGCATGTTAATCAGGGACATGATTTGATGCGCGAAGATCAAGGTCTAATGATTTTCGTGGAAACTGGTCCCTGTACAGCTCGATGACTCGATTCAGAAACGTTTTTGCGAGGAACCGTTTAACTCGAAATTACAAATGATCGACTGTTCTTAAAATATTCTCGAAATATTCAGAAACGATCAGGAAAACGTATCTTTCATTCGTTTCGATCATAATTATACGGCAAACTTTTCCGCGTCGATTACATCTTACTTTAATAATATATGTTACTTCGGGGACGCTATGCTACAGCTATTCCTTTAATTAATTAAGGCGAGCAGCGTGGTCGGTTTTTTAATGTTTCATTTTTTTCCTTTTTGCGACGATCCCCGCTTACGACCCCTCCTATCCTATGTCACTTCCGTAGAAACACGCGATATACACGTATTAATTTACGTCTTTTAACGATCCTCTTCGTTGAACGTTCATTATCACTGTACAGTTCGCTATACTCTCATAATTAAATGCCGCATAGAAAAGGCTTCTTTTTTTTTCATTTAAATATACATATTTTCTTTTCTTCTCTTTTCTTCTCTTTTCTTCTCTTTTCTTCTCTTTTCTTCTCTTTTCTTCTCTTTTCTTCGATCGATCGAAACAGAAGTACGAAACTTGTGTCGGATGATAGTTGTTGAATCGTAGCTACTTAGAAAAGACATGTTTATGTACAGGGTGATTCGAAAGTGATCCGATAAATGTTTGTATGTTATTAACGATATTATTCGATAGCGTCGGCAATACGTTTTGACATATTGAGACCGTTATTAAAATAAAAATAAATATGCAGACGTTATTTATTTGTTACTCTACTCTATTTTATATTAAATGTTCTCGATCTTTTGGCAAAATATTACTAGCACAAGTTACATTGAGAATTTTGTACGATCTTCGAAAGCGATCAGTCGCTTTTAGCGGACAGTAGGTATTATAATTATACCAATATCTAATAGATCGGAATAAGGAAGATATTTGCGAAGGCATCCAAGACAAACATTCTGCAAAGCAAGACAAGTTGAAGGTGAAAAGTGAAAAATCGAAAAAAATCCATCTCGTCTAGTTAATCTGATGAAAATATACGCGATTAAGTAGAAACTTTTGAAACTACCGATAGGTTGCTTCGAATCACCCAGTACGCAGCTAGATATTTGTTTATTCGAACAGAAGTAACAATTTGTCCGTTAAAAATTGTTCGGTGTTCGGTGAGGTGGTGTGGCGATGTCGGCGATCACGATTCGTGTCGAGAGTCGCGTAATCGCTGGGCAAAGATCGTCTTCGAAGCCAAGTGTCTCGTCGCATCGTTTCGAGTCCGATTATCGATAAAACTGCTGGGTATATCACTGAATCGAGCATGTCTTCCTGGCGTCGGAGGATCTCAGAGTGATCCTCGATCCCGGTGCATTGTTCTCGTTCCCCGCAGCCAGGGAACACGTTTTCGTCCTCATGATCATCAGATCTGTTCTTATGCTGGGTCGACGCACATTGGGCGCCACGACGCCGCAGGCGTCGCTCAGCCGTCGCTTTATACTCAGGGTCGCTTTGTGCCTTGGCTGGAAACAAATTGTCGTTCTTTTCAGACATTTCCACGCGTTTTCCCGAGGAAAAATGCCGGACCGTTTCGTCGGTTTAACGCGTCCCTAAGCCGTGCTCACGAATTCTCCAATTACCGCGTTTATAAATTTTCGAGGGTTATTTACGTTTTCTATCCGGATTGCTCTTTCGTTCGTCCCTCGCTCTGTTTCCCACCTCGGTAACTTCTAAAACGTTTTCCCCGACGACGAC